ACAATCAATCTCGAAACGTTATGATTCAGTTCTTTTAACTCTTTATCATCCTTAACTGTTATCTGTAATTCATCATTTTTACCATTATTGGGTCTTGTAGCTGTAAGGCTCTTCAATATAAAGCGAATACTCTCTTTCATTCCTTTAACGTACCATCCATCATATAAATCTGTTCCTAACTGTTCTTTTCCATTAAGCCAATTACCTTCACGAATTGCTACTCCAGATTCTTCATCAATCAAATAACCCTTCCCATTGCGCAAACAGGATCCATTCAAAAAGCAATAACCTCCAATATATACAGGAACTCGATGTAACAAGTCTAGATTACTGTTTTCTCTATATTCGATCATTTCTTTTTTGTCAGCCTTAAATTCACGTATGATGCGAACTAATTTGTCTTTTTCCCAATATCCCATTATCTTTTCTTTACCAGTATCTCTATCATACTCCATTCCATAGCCATGCCGATTCATTTCATTATCAAATTCTCCTCGATAGAGATATTGTTCAGTTGCGTTTGGTGTCCCTCCTGAGCCCCCAAACATAGAACCTGACCCTCCATGTGTATTTTTAGGATTTGGATTCTGATTATTATTACCGAATAATCCGCCTCTATTTTGGACATTCGTTGTTTTCTCTTTACTCTTTTCTTTACCTTGAACTGTCATTGTTAATCTATGTGGAGTGTTCTTTATCAACCGAATATCATCAGTCCCTAATATGGAACCCCAGTTTTGTTTCTGTAAAGCCTTTCCATTTGAGTATTCAGTTATTCCATGGACACGTTGGCCGTCTTGTACTATCCAAGATAATGACAATATTCCTCGATCAAATAATTGGCAATAACCTTCATTCGTCCCATTGCTTATTTCACAAAGCAAGTACTCATTTGAATGGCTCCCCTGGAAGTATTTTATCTGGTACTGCTTTCCGTTAACAGTTATTTCTCTAATATCGCCATGGATATAATTATCGAGCAAATATCGAGATTTCTGTATTTCCTCTGTTCGGCCTGTATGTTATGTATTCAATCTACTCATACCTTCCATTCTTGTCACCAATATTAACAAATAGTAGTTATGTGCCAAATCTCTTTTTCCACATTATTCTTGTACACAAGAAATAGAACCTTAAAATATTTAAAGAATATCAAGATACACCACACTCCACTATATAGAATAGTTTTCTCCACCCTTCAGAGACATGTTAACAAACAGAGACCTTCGGGATTCTCCCAAAAAAAGTGACTTTATTAGTTGTCCATAAAACTTATAGTGACATGCCGATTTATTGATTCGTAAAGTAACTGTAAATGTTGTGTTAAAAGTGTAACTTTATCATATATAGAACATATTATTGTTTTTTATAAAATACTTTTGTAGTTGATTGTTTATAGTAATGGCAGGAGATGGGAGAGAGGTAGGAGAACGAGGGTTGACATTTACTCTTTAGAGAATTATTTCTGAAAAAGAAATTGAATCCAAATCCGCTCCACTTGGACTAGGTCATGTTGGAATTGTAAATAACTCAAATATGTGTTTCTTTAACTCAATGTTACAAGTAAGAAAAAATACTGGACCTGTAAACTAGATAATATCCCATATTCCACAAATTGTAGTGGGTTTTCTTCAAAACTTGAATTCTACTGATGTAAGCCTCTCCCCAGCATTTATTATTTTAGATCCCTTCAGACACTGATAATAGGCATGAAAATGATATAGTCAGTGAGTATAGACGTTTTTTGTATGACCTGTGGAACAATCGTTTGAGAACGGTAAATCCACAGGCGCTAGTGGTTTGTATGAAAAATGAGTCAAGAATATTGTGTGATTATGAGCAACATGATTGTGCTGAGTTTTATGTACTTTTTTCTCTACTCTTGATATCTCTCAGACTTTGTTTCTCCAACTGCTTATAAAGGAATTAGCATCCTCTTCGGGTGACCCAAAGGTGATCCTGAATCAACTGTCCAGTTCGGAAACGACAGCTGAAGTCGTTTGGAACCACTGCAACTCATTCTACAATAATTTCGTTTTCTCGAGTTTGTACGGCCTTCGCTCCTCCTCGTGTGCTTCCATGCCGTACGAAACTTTCAACTGCCTAACTCTGCCTGTTCCTGAAGTCGACATCCATGTAAAAGTGAACGTTTTTATTAGCGTTCCGTGTATTTTCGCAACCGAACAGAAGAAAGAGGGTTTGAAGTACAAAGAAATCGCTCAGAAGAGCGTGGTTTGCATCCTGGAGCCTCAATCCATGTGCGAAAATCTTTACGACCAAATGGCTGAAACCCTCAACAAATCAAAAACTGAAATCGATTTGATTCTGTGCTGTCGCGAGAGTAGAATCAAAGTGGTGTCTTGCGACTTCGGTGAATTCTAGGCGCGCGTTTTGCAATACTCCGATCCACAAATGCTCGTTTTGAGCCACATTAGTCCCTACTGCTTTCTTCTTTGCGTTTTCGTACTTCTCATCCTGCAAATTCACTCGTTTAGAAGCCAATCCCAACCATGAAGCCGATCATGATCCAATTCGACAGCTGGCGATTCGTGAAAGAGTACGTGGGATACGTTTCGAGATACATTTCGTACGGATTCCCTCGCTTTTTGTACTGCTATCCGAGCGGCAATTTGGATTGGATCGTTTCGCAGATCGAATCGCTTCTTCTCCCCGAATATCGGCAGCATTTCGATCTGTTCTATCCACGAATCGAGAAGTTGTACTCGGTCATCGTAAGCCAGTACTTATCAGAACCCTCCAAGTTTGTCAAACAAGAAAACACATTAATAAGTCCCAGCAAACGGCAAAAAATCCTTAAATTATCGCTGCAAGGTAGTCTTCGATCGAATTCTTTTCCGGTAGATTTCATGTCGTGGAATTCGACATCGCCTCGCCTTCCTTTATTCCTCAAAGATCAGTTTTTATCAAGAAAACTACCAGGTCCGTGGTTCTTAAACGTGTTTCGCAAGGATCAATTGAAAGAATGCGTGAGTTCGTTCTTCTCTTTCTCCGAAAATATCGACCAGTTCTCCGTTCTCTTCGATCTCGATGATGGTGCGACCAAATGCATTCCATCGACTCCCGAAGCCGATCAGAAGCGAGCCAGCATCAAGAAAATGATCGCCGATTCGAACCCATCTCCGCTTTGCAATCTTCTTCCCATCGACGATGAGCATCTCAGTTCGAAGAATAGTATTTCCTTGGAGAAGTGTCTGCAGAGCTCGCTCGCCATGGTGCAGAACGCGGAGAATGGACAGGCGGAAGAACAAGGGAAATGGCGCGTGTATTACCTCCCTCCTTATCTAACCCTTCATTTGTCGCGCAGTACATATCACACGTTTAAAGACTCGCAGTGCAAATGCGATGCGAACTCAAATTCGAACTCGAACTATTATGTGCAGTATAAAGTACAGACCAAAGTGGACTATCCGTTGAGAGATCTCGATATGAATCCGTTCGTGTTTTCGGAGAATCCACGAAGGGAGTATGTGTATGACTTGGTGGGCGTGTGTTGCCATTCGGGGCAGACGGATTGTGGGCATTATTATACGTTTTGTAGAGATAAGGAGGAGAATGGAGAAGTGAGTTGGTGGAAATATAACGATGAAATTGTGATGCGTGTGAAGGAGTCAGAGGTGATGACGATGAAGGCTTGCATGCTTGTTTATGAGCAGAAAAACAAGGCTCAGTACACGATCAAGCAAATCAGAGAACTCATTCAAAAGTCCATGGCAAAGCCAATTTTAGAGCATGAATCAGAGGCTAGTTGATTGTTTTTAAATTATTGATTTGGGTTGGTTTGGTTGCTACACACAAACAGAAAAAGAATGTCGCTTCACCACCTCCGTGTTGGCCAGCGCTTCCTCGCACGCAGGCGAAGCGAATTGAGCGCCAAAAATGCGGCGTTCTTCTTCCAACAATTCGCTCGAAATCGTGCCCATTTCACAGTCTATCTTTCAAGCTTCGCGTCATTCCTACTTGCAACCATTTGCTTTATGGCCTGACTGCTCGTGGGATTATATTGTGTAAAATCAAACAAAAAGTGTTTCGCTCCCTCCATTCCATCGCCCGTCACAATATCGTCCACCAGCCCTAATTCGAAGGCTTTCGCTGCAGAGAGCTTCTCTGCTCCCAACATAACGCGCAGAGCGGATTTTCTACCAATGATCTGCGTTAAGCGAGATGCGCCGCCCCAGCCTGGGCAAAGTGACAAACTATTGTGGATAAAGCGAATGTAGCTTTTTTCCTGGCTAACCATCACGCGGAAGTCCGTGCTGGTCGAAATCTCCGCACCTCCACCAATAGCGTAGCCTTCGATAAGGGCAACGCTGACAAGGCCGAGGCGACGCAGCCGGGTGAGCGAGGTCTGCATAAGGAGGTTTAACTCCAGTTTTTCAGGAGTTTTGTGGACATAGCTACAATTGGGAATTGTGGGCGGAAGTACCGCTTTGAAGCGAGTAGGTCAAAACCAGAGCAGAAAGTGTGATTTGCTCCGCGGAGAATCAGAGCATTTCCATCTTTCCACTTTTCGAGAGTGTCAATATGATTAGCTAGATCTACCATCATTTTCTCTCTATGTGGAATGGACTGGGAATAGGTACGTCATCGCGTTTTTCTTAGGAACGTTATTTAACGTCAAAATCGCGATCTTTCCATCATACGAAAGATCTACAGAGCCTTCGTTCGCTAGATATTACGCAAATCGCAATCAAACTACTCCTAGAGGCAATTCGCTTCTTGAGTTCGTTGTACTGAGTCTCTGAAATGCCAGTAGGCAGATAAAGGCATCGCTAATCGATGAGCTTAAGTGAAGGGTAATACGGCAAAGGAAGGAGAAACAACACGACGGAGAGAAGAAATCATATCGAACAAACAATAAAAGCACAAAATGCAGGTTTGACAAACTACAATTGTGATAACAGGGAAACAACAATCTGCTTCTCTTTGATAAACGTGTTGTTTTCTAAGACTCACCGCTCTTCCCATCCCTTACTACAATCACTGAGAAAAGACGAGAAAAATGAAGCAAACTGCTGACGGTTCTGACATAAAAGCTTGTGAATGGGGACCGTCTTTTTAGGGTTCACAACGAATAGCTAGAAATGATTTTTGCATTCAGAGAAGCCACTTTGAAAACCTGGAACGCTTCCATCTGAATCGATTGATAGGGAGAACACAAATGCTGCATTACCAGCATCAACGCTTCGGATTGCTCTAAAAACGCGATCGTAATATGCACATTCATCCTCTCGTGTAAGATAGAGTAGAGTAACCGAAGACTCAGAAGCACCGTAATGTAATCACTGCTGCTAAGCAAGCGCAGCATCCACGAACAGAACTGTACAATCAGTACTCAAACAAACAGCTACATATTGAAAAAGGGGCTCTCCCGGGTTGAGGAGAGTGGAAACAAGGGCACAGTTTTGGCTGAAGAGATCGTTTAGGATGGACAAAACGTCGCAAGAGACGTGAAAGTAGCGGCTGCGAGAATGAATGCGAATGAGAGGATCCACTAAACTAGGGTGGGAGAGGATTTTCTCGTGGATGGCGTTTTGTTTGATACACTCGCGTAACAGTAGACCTAGGTGGGAGCTGAGCTCGTAATGAGAATATCTAAGTGAGAGAGCAGAGCAGAGCAAACAAGGAAATGAGCTGGTAAAGAATGTCGCTTCCTTCCTGTGAGAGCATGTACTGAGACGAAAAACAGGCGAAATCACAATCGAGCAAGATGGAAAAAACGTGTACGAAAACTGTTCGCTCCTACCGTTTGTGAAAAACAATAAAACGAACTTGGACTTGAAGATATGGAAAAGACGCAAGAATTTGAGGAATCAAATGTGAGCGAATGATACACTCGGAGAGTTCTTCACACTCCTCCAGTTGAGGATCCGATTCTCCCTAAAAGAACACAAGATGGAAAAAAGGTAAACTTTCCCTAGTAAAAACGTTTTCATTTGACAGAACCGTTTGTGTAACTACACATTACGCCAACGAAAAAGCTAGGTACAAGTCGCCCTTTCGATGGAACGATACCGTTAGAAATACACTCCAATTCGTATAGGCAAGCTGCCACCAACACAGGTGGCGTTTTATGGATCCCCAACACGCGTTTGATCAAGTCCATGAACAATAATATGGAATGAGGGAGATTAAAGATAAACTTATGACTTTGATACGAATTGTAAAAAAGCCTAATTCTCTCTTATCATTTCCAAATGTTACGCTTTTCCAAAGTTTTGATTGCTAACCGAGGAGAGATAGCAAGCAGGATCATCCGAACGACAAAACAAATGGGGATTAAGTCTCTGGCGATCTGCAACGAGATTGATAAGAACTCTCGCTATGTCAAGGAGGTTCGAATGTGAATGAAATGTCAGATTCTAGGCAGATGAAGCCGTTTATGTTTCCGATTCTTCGAACGTTTTCCTAGATATCGACAAAATAATCGAGATTGCAAAGAATAATAAAGTAGATGTAGGCATTATTTGTGCTGTGGAGACCAGGCAATTCACCCAGGGTACGGATTTCTCTCTGAAAACCCCGAATTTCCTAAGCGATGCAAAGAAAACGGTATCAAGTTCGTGGGACCGTCCTATGAAACCATGCGCTTGTTGAGTTCGAAAAAGTGGTTATCTCCTAACGATTTAACAATAGAGACGCAAAGGAACTAGCACAGCGTTGTGGAATCCCCACAATTCCTGGCTATTCCGGTTCTGACCAATCCACAGCTCGTCTCCTCGAAGAAATCAACAAAATCGGTTATCCGGTGCTTCTCAAAGCCTCCATGGGTGGCGGCGGTCGCGTACCCCCTCTCCCATAATTCTTCTGTAGGGCATGCGAATTCTCTCCGACTCCAACTCCAATCAACTCGCTGAAATCATCTCCAGCTGTCGCAACGAGGCCGAAAAGCACTTCGGCGACGGCCATCTCCTCCTCGAGAAGTACCCTTTTCCCCGTTTCTCCGTTTCTCCAGATTCCTCCCTCGCACACGACACATCGAGATCCAAGTCTTCGGCGATTCTCACGGCGACGTCGTCCAGCTCGGCGAGCGCGAGTGTTCGCTCCAGCGCCGCTACCAGAAGCTCATCGAAGAGTCTCCCTGCGTTTCTCCATTTCTCCTTTTCTCTCACTTGCAGTTCTATCTCTCCGACGAAGAACGCTCGCGTCTCTACTCCTGGGCTCTCACTCTCACGCAGCAGAGCCACTACGAGGGCGCAGCCACCGTCGAGTTCCTCTGCGACGCCGCTACGCGCCGCTTCTACTTCATGGAGGTCAACACGCGGCTCCAAGTCGAACATCTCGTCACGCAGTGCGTCAACCAACAAATCGACCTCGTCGAACTCCAGCTACGCGTCTCACCGCGGGAATCCACTCACTCATAGATCGCACAGGGAGAGTCTCTCCAAGAAATCGGAGTTTCTCCGTTTTCCACGAAACCGTTTCCACGGTTCGACGCCTCCATTTATAAACATGGGCTTCAGGCCGGGCGTTTCGCCATGGAATGCCGCGTTTACAACGAAGATCCCGCCAAGTGGGTTCCACGTTTCCACTTTTTTGGATAGTCACTTTTTACCGGGAGATGGGTTCCCGCGGTTATGTAACGCGGTTTCGGACCCCCACACCCAAATCGAGAACAATATTCCGTCTTCCCCCGCGGCAACCGCCTTCGACCCGCTTTTATTGAAGATCATAACCGCGGGGAACTCGAGAAACGAAGTAATCGAGCGAATGGAGGCGGCGCTGCGTCGCTGCGTCGTTCTGAACGTTCCAACGAATTCGCAGATGCTTCTGAACACGTTGAAACTCCCGAAATTCCGAAGTGAAGGCGCCGATAGCCGATTGGTGGACGAATTCCCGCGGGAATTGATCGAAACGAAGGAAATGAGCGAATTCGAAGTGCTTTCTTCGCTTGCCGCCTTTTTGTTTGCTCGGATTCCCCGCGGAAATTCACGTTGCTTTTTTTGGCGCCTTTGATGCAGAAAATCCGTGGAATTCGATTCGGTTCTTTAGCAATTCCGCGGTTTTACCGCGGTTTGGGCGGACTTCGATCAATGGAATTCCATTCGAATATCGCTTGGAACCCACCCAACTCGCCGTTCGATCCCCCGGAAAACCGTGGGGAACCGCGACTCCGGTGGAGTGGCTAGGCGAAGAAAACGGGGAACTGCGTGTTCGTGTGGGGAGCGAAGTGGTGCGGAATTTGGTGCGTGCGGACACTCCAGAAATAGCGCATATTTTCCCGGTGAGCTGTACGGATCGATTTTCGAGTCTGCGATATGATGTGAGCGAGGAGGAGACGGAGGGAAGAGAGATAGAGCAAGCAACGAGCGAAGGTGCGTCGATGATTACATGTCCGATGCCTGGTTCGGTGTGTCGTGTGCTTGTGAAGAATGGGGAGAAAGTGAAAAAGGGGGATATTGTGGTCGTCATTGAGGCGATGAAGATGGAGGTGGGCGATGAGGAAGGGAATGGGATTGTAGCACTCGATCACGGCGCCACGCGATGGGGTTTTGGAAATCGGAGAGCTGGCAGAGAAGCAGTTTTTGAAGAAAGGGCAGTCAATTTTCCGAGTTATTTTTTATGTTTGTTGGAAAAGAGAGAGATAAAACCAAAGGCAATAGGAGGTTCAGTGAATGAAGTGGGAGGATCACTTTACAATATGTAGAAGTGATTAAACATGAGGACATAGAAAAAAATGAGTTCTACTTGAGAAATACATTAATAACCGATTCAGATCGATCACAAAGGCTCCAAAGCAGATACTGTCGTTATTGGTACAGAAAGACATGGAGTGCTTCTATTACGTGTTGTTTGTGAAGAGACATCGTATTATCATACAATTCCTCAAGAATTGCTGTTTTTACGTAGCAAGTTGTTTCTTTGGAGAGTATTATTCAAATACTTCGTGAAAGTATTGCCATTCACGTCTGGATTCATTTCATCACATCTATTCTACTTAGAACTACATTTCATAGAGGTCTCACAAATCTTTATTTTGTATTCTATTTATCATTATCTTATGCTCTTTTGTATTATACAGCTATATACAACTATATATATTGACATAGTACAAAACTTGTTTACTATCTCTATTGTCATTTCATTTCATTTCATTTCAATTCATTTCAATTCATAGATGGACTGTCTATATCAAAACTCGAAATACTTCAGTTCATTGTTTCTACTTCTAACATATTCCAAAACACTCCAAAACACTCCAAAAGCATATATTCTTCGTTATCATTCATCTAGATTCACTCTTCCAATACAACGCTAAGTTGGTTGTTTTTCAGTCTAAATGGATTATAACTATCAGATTCTTATCTCTAAACATTTGGAATGGTTCTACGTCAAATTTAGAACCAAATTCCAAAAATCCAGAATTAGGAACAAAACGGTTCTCCAATAATCGATGCTGTTAACGTTCGTTAATTTAGAGGTTAGATAGAATTGATGATGAAAGCGATCATTTTGTTATTGGTTGTTTCACAGCTAATTAATGCGTTTCCTGCATATACCTGTGATAGAGAAGGTTTTTCGAAGTATCTCGAATCTTATCCCTCGAAGTGTGGAGAAGATTGTGAAAAATATATAGAGTAAGAAATGAATCGTATTATGAGTAGTAGAGAACGTTTGATGATTTGGGAAGAAAGTTGCTTCGAAATCGAAAGAAAAGCAATCTACAGAAACTATCCTATGAATTTTTCCATTCTGTCTGACTTCAGCAACGATGATCTGGAACAGTTGATGACACTCGGAATAACATACTCTAGAGAAGGTTCCTATGCTGATTCGGAAGATATTACTACCGGTTCAAAGTCAATCAACATCATTCGTCGCGATTTGTGTTCTGGAGCTGAGAAATATTCGATTTCCAATTCGAATTCTTCTTCATGGGCAAGTGCCTTGATTCTTGCTGCAGAAACTGCATTGCGAAATGAAAACTATCATGAACAACTGTCCTTGTCCTATGTTCTTCAATGTCTTCCCCAAACTCAAGAAATCCAACCTAACGATGTTACTCCTTCGGATATCATTGCATTTGTGAGAGAGAAAGGACTGATGAGCGAAGCGGTGGCTGGATTGCTCGATGAAAACGAGCTCTGTTCAGCCAATACTCCCAAATTCTATTTTGATATAACCAGAAACGATATTCCGAACAAGAGTGGATTGATGAACTTCATTGCTGAGGGAAATCCTGTGATTGTGCTGATGGCTCTCGATCTGATTCGAATGAAGACTGTGAACGATGTGACAGGTGATGATATTTATACTGGCGGTGCTTATCAACCTTCTCTGTATGGTGTGATGAAGGGATACGATGAAACAAAATGGACTGTGACATTCAACGTGGTACCTTGCGAGAATATCGAGATGAATCTTCCTGTTACTGATAATGATACAAATGCAAACTATGCTGGAATTGCTGGATATGCGATGTCGATCAAACTGAAATCAGTACCTCCAGAAACCGTTTCTTATGATACACAAGATGACATAGATACGATTTCCATGAGTGTTTCCGAACTGCGATTCACACATTATGATCCTAGCGATGTTACAGTATTAAACATTACTTATCACTATCTGCGAAGTTTGACTCTCGAAGATTATACATTCCCGAATGTTTTCACGTTTACACTAGATTGTCCTATCATCGAAAATATCAATATAAGTGATCGTTGCTTTTCTCAATCGGTATCACGCAGATTGATAGATATGGATGGATACTTTGGTCTGAACACTCCTCTATTGATAAATATGGTTGTTGGAATTCAGTCCTTATTGAATTTCTTTGTGATGTCTGTGACTCAGATTAGTTCGGATTTCACATTGGAATTGGGTGCAAATTCGTTGAGTAACGTAACACGCGTTGAATACAAAGCTGATGTCTCGATAGAAGTAGTACAACAAATTCAAACAACGATCGAGAAGAACGAAGGACATGAAGGAAGTGTGGAAATTGTACCGGTTGATCCTATTCCTACTACAGAAACTCCTACTCTTCCAATTCCCACTACTTTCCTACCTACCACTCAGCTTCCAACTACAGTAGTTCCTACAACTATTGTTCCAACCACTCAGCTTCCAACCACCCAACCTCCTACTTCTCAGCCTCCTACTTCTCAACCTCCAACTCCCACTCCTACTCCTACTCCTACTCCCATTCCAACTACTCCCACTCCGACTCCTACTCCTACTCCTACTCCTACTCCTACTCCTACTCCTACTCCTACTCCCATTCCAACTACTACTCCTACTCCTACTCCCATTCCAACTACTCCCACTCCGACTCCCACTCCGACTCCCACTCCCATTCCAACTACTCAACCTCCTACTACAGAAGTACCCACTACTCAACCTCCTACTACTTTATCTCCATCCACTCAATCTCCCACTACTTCAATATGTCCCCTTGGTGAAACATTCTATTCGATCGAAAGATGCTATGGATCCAATCCTGATACTTATGAAAACATGATAATGTACTATGGAAATGGGCAAACTAAACTCCTGACTTTGTCTTATACTTCCAATAGCACACAGATTGTCACTGGATGTATTAAACCACAATTAATGAGAATATATTTGGAAGGAATCAATAATGGATGGAATGAAGATTCTTATTTTGTAATTCAGAGCGAATTTGGAACAAGTGAGAGAATCTCATTAACCGGAAAACTCTCTACATCTATGTTCTTCCATTTCTCTTATGGAATCCTGCCAGAAACTATAATATCAAATTGTCAGGACTATTATGACTTAGACAATTCTCCCAAGATCCTTCATATCGATAGTAAAGCATGTAATGATGAAGATATCTTAACATTTTCGATCACAAACTTCCCTGATTTGATATATTTATGGATTGAAAGTTCCAACTTCAAAAATGTGAGTACTTTCGAGGTTCGCGATAACACTCATTTAGAGTACATATATATCCAAGATAATGCATTCACACATACTTCAGAATACGATTTGGAAACTTCTGAAAACGAGACAAGATCCAAATCATTCCACATATTGAATTGTAATGAATTGATATCAATTGATATTGGACAATATAGTTTCAATGATTTTGGAGGCGAATTTGAATTGAAGAATCTACCAAAATTACAATTCATCAATATTGGATCTATTGGAAATTATTATTATTCCTCTAATTTCTATTATAGTTCATTTATAATTCGAGGTATTTATATTCATTTCTATATTCATTCATTTCTATAGATCTACCTAGTCTACAAACGATTACAATAGGTGATGAGGCATTCCGTGAATCGAAAACAATAATCGAAAGTATTCAATTTTCATTTCTATATTCATTCATTTCTATAGATCTTCCACAATTACAATCTATTAATATTGGTTCTTTTGCACTTAATAATGTATATTCATCTAATTCATTATTACAAATGCGAAGTAATAACAATTTGAATATATAGAATTCATCAATTAGATCTTCCAAATCTAACATCCATTACTTCACGGGGAGAAAGTTTTGAATATCCTAATACAGTAATATTAGAAAGTATATCGATTATTCGAATATTGATCATAATTAGATATTCCAAATGTTCATAATGTCGATTTGCCTGATGCATTCCAGAATGTTAATAATGCAGAAATCAACAGTATGAATTGATATTTCTAAATTTGATTCCATTTAGATGTTCATTATGAATTAGCACAATATTTCCCTCAAATCACTTATTCTTGTGATTTCATTCAATCCATTCCTTCTTCTAATTCTTCAATCATTTTACCTAATTGGACTTGTAATGATCATAATTATACTACATTTGATTTCTCTCGATTCACAATTGTTGAATCAATCGAAATTAGAAATGATAGTTTTGGTTTCGTGAATACATTTAGAATTGATGGATTGAACAAATTGAATTCATTGAAAATCGGAATCAATTCATTTACTCAAGATAAACATAGTGGAAGTACTTCTGAAAACGAGACAAGATCCAAATCATTTCACATATTGAATTGTAATGAATTGATATCAATTGATATTGGTGAAAATAGTTTCAATGATTTTGGAGGCGAATTTGAATTGAAGAATCTACCAAAATTACAATACATCAATATTGGATCATTTGGAGATTATGATTTTTATTATTCCTCCTCTAGTTTCTATTATAGTTCATTGATAATTCGAGGTATTTATATTCATTTCTATATTCATTCATTTCTATAGATCTACCTAGTCTACAAACGATTACATTAGGTGATTATGCATTCTGTGAATCGGAAACAACAATAATCGAAAGTATTCAATTTTCATTTCTATATTCATTCATTTCTATAGATCTTCCACAATTACAATCTATTAATATTGGATATGGTGCACTTAATGGCGGATATTCATCTAATTCATTATTACAAATGCGAAGTAATAACAATTTGAATATATAGAATTCATCAATTAGATCTTCCAAATCTAACATCCATTACTTCACATGGATACAGTTTTGAATATCCTAATACCATCATATTCGAAAGTATATCGATTATTCGAATATTGATTATAATTAGATATTCCAAATGTTCATAATGTCGATTTGCCTGATGCATTCCAGAATGTTAATAACGCAGTAATCAACAGTATGAATTGATATTTCTAAATTTGATTCCATTTAGATGTTCATTCCAATCTTGCTGATCTCATTCACATTGAATCGACATAATTGAAAAGACATTATCTTAGGCCTGATAAGAATGCTGAATGAATGAATGACCTTTGCTGTTTGTTAATATCTATTATTTTTATTATAATCTGAATAACTAATATTGTGGAAGAGATATCTGGATATAATGGTTTAATATAAAATAGCATCTAATCAACAAATGAATCTCTTTGATTTTGGATCAAACGATAAGAGAGTGTTGATAAATAGATTATAGTATGTACAGATTTCTATTGGAGTTATTTTGTTCCTAATTAGTCTGTATGCTTACAGATAATTGATGTATTCCGTAATATAATAGAATCCCTTTATATATGGTTAAGATTATATTCAGTAGTGATATTAACATAATCATTATTGTAATAGGAATGTATAGATATGCATTTACACATATAGACAGCATTTCAGTTTTGCTGTTTTGATGTAGTTTATTTATTTGCCATCATATAATACAGCTCTATATTATGCTTTATTCATGATATTGTTCTGATTAAGGATTTTAAAGGAATATAAGACTATATGACAATGTCTGTTCTGGTATTTGGTTAATAGAGTTATTTCTTTATTTATACACACACTGCTCAAGATAAAGAATCTTTTTTATTTATTGATTTTTTAAATATTCACTTCATTGTCTTTGCTCTTATTGTTTTATATTGCATTATGTGATCTTTGTAATTATTGGATGGGTAAGCATACTCATTAAAATACTTTGTCACTATATGTCATTTATTACTATATTATGTCGTATTCTTTCTGTTTTATCAATTATTTTTGTGTGTAACACTCTTTACAAAATCGATTATCATAATGTTTGAATCATAACACATACTATATACGAATAAGGAACATCGGTCTGTATCCATTTTTGCATACTTCTTTGTGAAAAAGTCAACTAATGAATGCAATATATTATCTCTCACACTGTTATTGTTTTCATTATTTTCTTTCTGAATATGTGGCAGGTGTTTTTTTATTAGAATAGGTTTTATATCCTTCTGTTTGTAATTATTGGTTATTTATAGTGATTTTTTATGAAATAACAGAACTATAACGTTTTTATTATTTTGTACGAATCAAACTGAAATGAAACTGGAATATCTTATAGCTATTACTTATTATTCCTGAAATGAATTACCTTACTCTATAATAATTCAATCTATTGAGTGTGCAGGATTGCGTTTCCTCTACTTTAATGCACAATAGAACTACTACCGAATCGGGTAATACAATTATTTATAATTATTATATGTAATAGTCACGTTCGTTTTATACTATATTTATTTCAATTCACCCTTATTCTCCTGTAGACATTTTTATGTCAAAGCAGCCGATTATTCCTCTTCACATATTTGTTTATTATTGATTGTGTATATTTATAAAGATTTCTGATTTGTATTGGAGTTAATGCAGAGTGTTTCTTATTCGTGAATCTATATCGTTCTATTTCTTGTGTTCTTCACTCTATATTACAAAGGAATCTATCTGTTGAGTATTATACTGGTTTCCATGTCCCTTTCTACTTTCCATATCACATTTTGTGCTCCAAGTAAAAACATATAGTATATACTTCTTTGCAAAAGGATGTGTTAACTATTTTCTTGAGAAAATATCGTGTCAAGGTACTAACCAAACTGTATTAACCTCAGTATCATTTGTCACAACTCTAAATTCGTTATATTTTTCATTTCAGCAGTTCGGCATTCTCTCTTGGTGTATACGAGTATGAATTATGCATGAACTTAAAACGTACCATTCTTGTCCATTATGTGTGCTCCTCTACACTAATCCACCTACTCCCTTCCCTTTCTGCCCTCCTATCATCTCATCATGACTAAAACAAACACTCATCCACAACCATTCCAATCCTCGCAAGTCCTTCCATCCTCCTTACAAAATCACACAGTCACACCCCTACACATCACTCACCCAATCCTCCCTCACGTCTGACTCACCCTCACTCGGAGCGAACAACACAAATCCCTCAGAATGAGTAAACTGATACTCTCTATCGTCGTCATCGTCGTAATCTTCTTCCTCGTCGTCATAGTCTTCCTCTTCCTGTTCCTCTTCCTGTTCCTCTTTTCCTTTTTCTTCTCCTTCTCCTTCTCTTTCTCCTTCTTCCATCGAATTCTGTCCTGCCACGTTCTCCGGCTGGAACGGCTGCGCCGGATCTTCGAACGAATATTCTTCAGAAGGCTGCGACACGCTTTGCGACACCACTTCTTCCGATGGACCCGCCGGCTGCGTCCCGTTCTGAGCGTTGTAGTAGGAATCGATCTCTGCTTGCTGCGCGTTGACTTCTTGGGTGTCTAAAAGTGAGGATTTTTGGAATTCCAAAAACAGCGGAGATTTGGTGCGAATTGGTTGAGGAAGTCTTGGAGAGGGCGGAAGTTCTGCGATGTAACGAGGTCGAATTGGTCGGCAAAGAAAATGAAATGACAAAGACTGAACTGGAACTGATCAAGAAGACTGAGATGACGGAGGAGCGAAATATGGCTGTAGTAAATGTGCTCGTATACGCGGAGTATTCGGCGGAATATATTTTTCACTTTGTCCAAATAATCACGAGGAAATGGAACATCTGGGAATCACCGACTTTTTTCTACGTACTTGGCTCTGTGGGAAAGAGACTATCATCTTGCAAAAGGCCCAATACCCAACTAACAAGGTATTCGATGTATGTATGGGCAGGAAGTCTGGTAGGCTTCCTGTACTTATACTTGTCCGTCCAAAGAAATTCGTATCTAGTTCCTCACTTTGCATCAAGCACTTACACTTTTCCGGCAGACATCACAGGACAAGAATATACCGTGCACTCCTCCTTTACAGAGTTGTATATCATTATAATATCATTATAGAAATCAATTGCTAAAAATGAGGACAAAGTGGTGCAAATACTGTGTACTGCAATCCACTCATTGGGATCAACACCATCAGGACATACCACGGCTGCCTGAATGCCTCCTCTAAAGTTCGTACAAAAGAGGAGTACAATTACTTTAATAATGTTTCACTTGCAGTTTGGTGGAGGGTATAACGTAGCGTGCCACTCTTGTGTGTTAGGGTTCCATTTGAACTGTAGGTACTCATTCTTATTTTTTAATCTTACAAAGCCAATATATGTCTGATAGAACGAATACTCTAACCAAATCCCTAAGCAGGACACAAAAATAAAGCAATCTTTGGGTACACCAAAAGCAAAAACCCTCAAAAATGGTAATTCAGAACAAACATACAAAAAAACACCGATCACGACTTCTTTCGGTCTTCAATATCCTGCAGAACGTCTTCTGCCTTCAGCATGTACTCAAATCGGTCAAGACCCTGCACATCAAACATCGAAAATGACGCTCACTCCCTCCGCGTCTGCTCGCGCCTGGTAGAGAATTGCGAGGTTCTTCAGCGTGGTAAGCGTAGATTTATGGTTCTTTCCGCACGTCTGAACATTATCAGCACCCATCGACCTCACATCTTCGTATATTTGGAGTGCTTTGTCGTAGTAAATCGCAGCCTCGTCGTAATCCTCCATGCTTTTGTACATCAACGCCAGGTTGTTTAATCCACAGGCATAAACAGGATGGTTCTCGCCGAAGTGGCTTTTAATGAGCTGCACGTCAAAACACAAAAATGAAAATACAGATAAAGCCTCTTGGGCTACGACCAAGCCTTCATCGTATCTCTCGGCTTCGTAGAGTTCGTTTACTTTGGCCTGTTTCTATTTGTTACAACGAACGATGCCATTTTTACCTCTTGGATTTGACTCTCGATGTCCATAAACAATTTATGTGATTTTTCATCAGTTGCGATATACTTGTCGATCTCCAAATCCTCAAAATCTGTATAGGGATGAGGATTGTCATTTGGTTCAGGAAGATCACCCGGTCTCTTTATATTTGAATTGGCCATGCCTTTGCTATCTAAATATAACGCTTTTCCTGTGTTTCCTACTGTCTGTGTGAATGCTAAACGATTTGGAACGATAAACATACGGAATGAGAAACCTCCTTCTCGCTGACCCCTGCGTGTACATCCGAATTGATTTATATTGCAATGTACAGACGCAGGGTTTCCAAACGCTGCGAACGACTGTACGCTCAACAGTACCAAACACCTTGGTGAAACCAAACATTTTGCGCTGCTATGGAACCTTAGCGATTGGATAAAGCGTAATTGGAGAATTCTAGAATTGGAACAAATGGCACAAAAACGCACTTGTTTTTCTCTCCTTTATGCTAGTCTTATAGGTTGTGAACCTTTGCTCTAATCAGACCGAGCTTAGCTCAGTTGGTAGAGCGTTAGACTGTAGTGGCTGCTTCGCAGCAATCTAAGGGTCGCTGGTTCGATTCCGGCAGCTCGGACTTTTTTGTTTATTTCTAGGCTGTGAAATAGGCATTCCGTTGAATTGATTGTGCTGAGTCTATATAGCTTGCTTTGAAAAGACGTTTACGTCCATTTCTAGTAAGGGTAGTGATTCAGATTTTTGTTTCATATTGTTTTTGTCAACAATTTGAGTTATTCTATATTGAACTCAGGGAATGATTTCTCTGTCTGATGATTTTGACTGTATTGGAGGGGAAGGATGGTACAATGTAAGCTGTGCATATCTCGATGCCATATTTAGCTACGTCGCTCAAAGGATTTTTTAATCAATATTCCAAGGGCGTTATTTAGCGACAATTCGATCATTGAATCTGCTTTTCGCAAGGATGCTTCCATCAGTTTAGGAAATATTCAGAATATACGGTTATCGGAAAGAGATCGAGAGGAATGTGGGTAATTCTACGTTTTGTTTGATATTAGATTTCGAAGCAGCTAGATTATTTGTTCTTCGCGCAAGCTCTGGTATTTTGGCACAAAAACACGACCAAAAGTACGAGCTGTCTTCTTTTTATGTACTCTTGTTCTTTTATGACGATTTCAGGAACTATCGCTTCTGGTTCATGCTTCTTCGCCATACGAAGAAATGTTTGTTCGTCGCAACGCTATTCTATTATTTCTTCAACGGTAGCTCTCTCACTCTGTACTCTATTTGCAGTTTATTGCGCTCTGCTCAGATATCACACGGCTCTCTCCGTCCTGCCTACCCAGGCTCACCGACTTGCTGTACATGCGGGTATTCATCATCCTCTTTTCGTGTTGCTAATCTGTATAGAAACATTCCTCACTCCGAATATTGTCCAGCTCATGATGTATACGACACTGAACGCTCCTGTATGCCCTTCTCTCTCTCTCTTTATCCTCAGTCTTCTACCCTCGCTTATTCCCAGGCGATCGAGTCGCGCGTGGACCTGACTGGCAATGGGGAAACCAGGGAAACGGGGAGGAAGGCGAGGTGATCGAGGAGAAATCCTGGAAGGGAGTGGAGGGCTGTGCGGTGCGCGTTCGATGGGATAACGATGATCAAAACGTGTATCGATACGGCGCGGAACACTGTTACGATGTGATTTTGTGCCTTTTTCTGTCATGGTGCGAATGTAGAGTGAATCCAATGCTTCGCGATGATTTTGTTCCGGATGGCGGATTTGATGCATGCTCGGAAGGTAGCAGGGAGAGACTGGAGCACTGAACGGTAGTGTCATGGAGTGCGTATTGCACGCATTATTTATCCTACGGCGTTTACAAGTCGCACGGGTTTTTCGCGGGGAAGTTTTCGTGCGCACAACTGAAGTCGTTACTTCCGGACTTCTCAATAACCGCGGTTCTGGATGGTAGTGGTTCTCTTTGAATTCGAAAATAGAGTCGGTGGCGAATGCATCCATCACGCTGCTTCACGAGATTTTCGAGATAACGGAGAAGGAATTCACGGTAAGCAGCGCGGCAACTCTCCGAATTAGCAATTTATCAAGCAGGATTCGCAGCGAAATTCGGTGTTTACTCCCTCGAAAGAGAGTGGTCGCATTCTCAACGAGGTGCTCTTCCCCTTCCAGGTCTATCTTCTCTCTCAGGCCGAAGGCGATCTCACGCACTCGCGTACTGAATCCGTCATTCTAGAGGAATACTTGAAGATTTTGTTCCACGCAGCGGTGCGGTTTATTACGAGTTCCATTACGCGGGTTCTCGAATCTGAATGCGTTTCCGATTTAATGATGTCGCTTGAAGCGACCTTTCTGAACCACCTGCTTCTCTATGTGTTGTCTCGATTATATTTGGGCGAGTTCTCGTATCGGATTTCCGATTTAATGAATGTCGCCATCGACGAGCTCGCCTTATTATGGGGAAAATTCATCTCGTTATGTAGGATCGAAGCCTCCTCGCTGGACTCGATCTCCATTCCGTGGGATCCCATCTACAGCGCGAGTTATGGCACATCGATCCAGGCTTTCCCTTGGTATCTCTCTCTGTTTAATTTGATCGTCTCTGTCTCCACGTGCTATCATTACTCATTCCGCTTGAACAATCTCGTGGAGACCCGAGAAGACGTTCGATTTCTCCTCGAAAGCTATCTGTTCAGCGGTGGTCTCAACGAATCGGACCCCCATTTCGATTCGTCGAGCGCTGAAAACGCGCCGCTGCCGATGAGCACGCGTCGTTTCCTCTGCGGTGTGTTCGATAATGAAGTGGCGGAATACGAAATTCTTCATCAATGGCTGGATCAATGGAAACCAGAACCGGCGTGGCGTCGCAAGCGACAGCCGATTCTCGTGAATTTCGAGTTGAAATTGTTCATCACGCTGGTGTCGCTCTGTGGATATGGCGATCTCGTAAAAGACATTTTCATCCAATTGGAAGGTTTGCGTTTTGTCTTGCTATGCATTCTAGAAAACGATCAAGTCGATTATCCGTCTGAGATCATCATTCTTTGGCGTTATGTGCTGCGAATTCGAGAGTTTCTGCGCCATAAAAAACAAGAATTCCAGTCCCAACATCATCTCTCGATTCCTCGCTCCTCCTCTGTGATCACCACCAAAGGATCCGGTCTGCAGCTCCGCCAAGCCTCCGATCACACCAATTCGACTTCGCTGCACTCCAGCGGAAGTCTGAAACGCCTCATGACCTTCTCAGCGATCTCGCAGTCGCCTTCGTTCAGAGAAAACACGGTGGTGATCGAATCAAAATCGCCGAAGCTCCACCAAACACTGTCGTTCCGCGCGTCTGCGAAGGAATTGAGCGATCAGTACGCTGCGGAAGAGGGGGAAATGCAGTTCCCCGCGTCTTTTGAAGACTTCGTGGATATTTTACTGCAGAAGCTGGATTTGCTAATGAACATTAACGAGCCATGGGATTTGAATGAAGACGAATCGGACGAATCGGACGAGATTGTGAGGAAGGGGAGAGAGCGAATCATTCAGTCGCTGATCAAAAACAATTCGGTAATGGTCGATGAGCGAGGCGTCATTCCGCAAACACGAGCTGATTTGATTATTTCGTGCGTGGATAAGTTCTTGGTTCATTCTTCCACCGTCTCCGTTCATCATCTGCGCGATTCGCTGAAGCGTCGAACCGAAAATGCGCGGAATAAAAAGCGAATCTTCGACGAAGGATTGCAGTTTATGCAGATGATTTCCCCGTTTCCACAAGCGTGCCGGCTCTTTTTGCTTGGCGTGTTCCACGAAATGAACGAGTTCTCGACGCTTTATGAAGGCGGATATCACGCTGGAAGACGAAAACGCGAGGGAAGCTATGGAATTGATTATTTGGAGAACTGTGAAGGCGCATCGCATCCCGTGATGAAACGCCTCATCGAATCGTTGTGTCTATTCTGTGAATATTTGAAGAGTGAATTCGATCGATGTGTTGAGAATCTTCACTGGCGATTGGGAGGAGCGATCGTGTGGTTTTTGGCAACCATCGCTTCGCCCAAACTGCCGTATTTCGCAGTGCGGCTCAACCTTCTTTCCTTCCTGGAATCAAACATTTTGCGATTGAACAAATGGTACGAAGTCACCAACGGCTACTCCAAGGAATTGCTCATCTCGCCCGGGATTTTCTGGGACTCCACATCGCAGAATTCCATTTCGTTGGCGTCTTCGCATTTCCACAGCTATCTCGCCGAGCTTCATTTAAAGAAAATCGACCCCTCTTCGATCACCATTCCAGGCATTTTCCCGTCCGCCGTTCTTTCTCTCGCGAATGAAATGCGTCTTGCCTACTCTATCCTGCTCATACAGCAATTCTCGGACTATTTCTCGCGCTCACGTTCCAGTCCTGCCCAGAACACAGACACTCTATTCAACTGGACGCTCACCGACGTTTCCAATTTCTTCGTGCGGCAAAGCCTTCCCTACCTGGCCGACACACAGCAGCAATTCGGCCAGTTCCTGCGGTTTTTCACGCGGATGCAGCGCATCACGCGGGAACGCTGCGAATCCTGGCAGCCGTTCGCGCCAATCAGCTACAGGAACAATGATACAAAGATCAATATGTACACGTGCGTGAAGGTTTTCGATGCGAAAAACACCATGCAGGGCATGATCGCTACGGATATGCTGATCTCCGCCGCGGAGGGCGTGCTGAGTTCCTACCTCGCATTGATGCTTTTCATATCGAAAACGCGTGCGGCTGCGGTGTTGCCATGGGAACAAAACGGAAATCTGATCTGGGAAATGGTGTATTTCTCGCCGCGCCACCAGAAACTCGCGACGATGCTTCTCCAGTCCATCATTCCCTTCACCAACTACATTCCCCCGGTTTTCAAGCCTTCCACTTCTCTCTTCTACGAAGTTCCGCCGGGAACCCCGAAAGCGGACTCCATTCGAAGGAACCCGCTGCTTCAGCCGCCTCTCTTCCCTCAAGAGAGTGCTTCTTCCTTCGAGAAACGCGAAGCCTTCGTGTATTATCTGCTTCATCTCGTGTCGCACGAGGATTGCTGCCCTGCTGCATTGGTGGGCGAGCGATCTTCGTGTGTGTTGTGCTGCTCCTTCTTTCCCTTCATCTACAACACGCTCTGTCCTTCCTCGCCCGCGTTCCAGCATCCCAACAAGGCCGAGTTCTTCGCAGAAGTGCTGAACACGCAAGAAAAAGTCTTCGTGGGTCCCTGCAAAATGCACATTCGACCGGATGGACACACAGCCTCCTTCTGTTCGCTTGTGTTCGCAGAGGAAATCGTGTATCTCCTCCGGTTGATGCTTCGTCAGCCCCAGTGGAACCAGTTGATGATTTCAGTGTTTCAGAATATTCTGGATAAAACGCTGCAGCAGCTTCAAAGCGAATCAGATATTCGAAGCATCGAAGATCGAGATAATTATGGATTTCACGTGATTCTGCGAAGTCGATCGCCGTGGTTCTGTATGGGAACCGCGGTTCTGAAAGTATTGGGAGCGATTACTCCGCGAATGTACGCAGGGTGTCGAATTCGAATCCACGAATTCTTAATGGAGGGAGAGAACGAGATTTCGACACTCATTCAAACGGCGTATCAGAGTCATGGAACGGGATCGATCATTCAGTACCATCGATCAATGAGTGAATCGTTGGTTTTACTCGACAAAATCGAGACGCCTCAGTTCATTAATAACTATGTGTTCGATGTGGTGGATCGAGTCGAGCCTCCTCGCGACGATCTCAACGCATTCCAGCATTTGTTGCAGCCCATTCAGCAGATCATTCAGCGCATTAAATTGAATTCGGAGTTGTTCGCTTTGCCCACCGATTCGATGCCTTTCTTCAACACTGCCGATCTACCGTTAGCGCCTTCCGAGTTGCAGAACGCCATTCTCTTGTTGTATTGTGTGCGTTGTGTGAATCATCTTGTCATCGCAAACGATTCGCTTGTATCGCAGATCACTCCCGAGACGCTCCAACGATTAATTCAAATCGCTGTGCGGCCACTTCCATGCCGAGTTTCGATGAACGCGCTGATTATTCGCCAGTATTTCAACTGGTTTATCGAATACGTGATTGACACATATCCTGGATCTTGTCGTCTGCTTCCGATGGAGCTGCAGACAGAAACGTTCCAGCCCGTCGAGGATTTGTTCCAGGCGGATTTCGGAGTGGGGAAGGACGATTTGGCGGAGGAGGACGAAGATTACGACAAGCCGACGATCATTCGAAACGAGAAGCGAATGAAAATGGCGGAGATGTTGGCTCGGACAACGCAATGTTCGGTCGAAGCTGCGTATCGCGTCTTGCTGAGTTTCAACGAGGACTATGCGCAGTCGCAGCAGTTTATCGAGAAGCACACGCAGGAAGAACGCGAAGCTTTGTTTGATTCGAGTTTGGAACTGCCGACGTTTTCGCAAGGAGTGAGCGATGAATCGGTTCTTTCGGATTTGGAGCTGGGAATCCGCAGACAGCAAGTGCCCTCGAGTGGATCGGAGCGACAAGTCACCAATGCTCTTTTGTCTACGATCTTGCCGCCCTTCTCGCGACTTCAGCATATCAACCAGAGCGATCTGAAGAACCAGAGCGGAATGATCGGCGTTGTCGCGTCGATCACGTCCAAATCGGTTACGTTTTCGCCTGTCGCTGAAACGGGAGTGATCACTTCGTTCGATCTGGCATCGGCCACGCTCTCCATTCTCAACTCCAACAGCGGGATTTCGGAAGAGAAGAAGTTCCCCGTGGAGTCGCTCGCGCTTCACAAAGACCGCTTTCTCTACTTTTTGGGGAATGTGAAGTTGGTGCGAGGCACGGTGGGTCGAATCTGCACAGTTCTCTCCATTAAATTCATTCGCGAATTGCTGATCTGCCTCATCTACTACGCCAAACTTCATCAAATCGACGTTCTGTCCGCCTGGCCAATCAAAAGCGACGAGTTGATTCAACTCTTCAAATACACCTACGTCACCTACTGCAACAATCTCATCTTGAAGCCTTGGAAGCACAACCACGTGACTTTGGTCAGCTGTCTATTCCGCATTCTCAAAGAAAACTTCAAGCAGATCGTGTGGACGTCCTCCCATGGAAGCGATCTTCTCTCTTCGCTTACTGCTGGATTGTGGACTGGCTCTTCGGTCACGCTCTCTCATCCCTGCGTGCCTCGCCTCCATCGCAGTTATTCCGATCTTCTCCATTCATCTGCGTCCTCTTCTTCGATTTCCGGTCCCGCTCTTGTCGAATTCGGTCGAACCGCGTCCTCTTCCGAATATCGCGTTGTCTCGCTCCACCCCAGCAAAACTCGCGTCAGCTACTACGACCGCGTCATGCTCCCAGCCGCTGCGGGTCTACGCGTAGTCTTCGACAAGCGATGCTGTCTCGACACCGATAACGCCTTCCTCACATTCTATCGCGACGAAAAGCACACGCAAGTGATCGCTCGTTTCACGGGCGGTCCTTCCAACTTCTGCTCGTTCACTGTGCGCGGCAGCACGCTCCGATTCCTCTATGAAAGCAACATCCACGCGCAGCCGACGTGGGGCTACGCGTTCGTGGTGCAACCCTTCGAGAACATTCAATGGGGAGGCGATATGGAGATTCCAATATCGCCCTGCTTCGATTGGAACTGCCTCGCGTTGGATCTCGTTCTCCACATCTCCAAACGCCTCGCGAATCCGCCTACTGAATACTTCCAGCGCGTCTTCTCCAACTTACTGACCTATTTACGAACGGCCGGACTGCCCTTCAAATCGACCATCGTGGAATTGCTGATTAAAATGCTGCATCTCTGCATGCCATTGGCGAAACTCCCGGATGTGAGCGGATTGTACAAAGTGGTGATGGATTACTGCGAGGGAATCGACGAGAACTCGATGGTTCCCGAGCATTTGCCGCTTCTAATCGAGTTCTTAACGTCCTGCCGACTGTCTCTGCAGCTCCATCAAATCTATGAAAGTCGGTCGATAGATCCGAAAAGTGGAAACCAGCAAATTCTCTATTATAACAATTTCGTCCAGACGGAAAGTCCTGCAACCGACTCCCTCCCAGCCAAATCAACCGACGCATCCGTAAAGAATTCGCCGTCGATCCTGATCTCTCCGTCGTCCTGCAGTACGATTTGCACGTGCGTCGAAACGGTCTATGTTCTGGCCACATGTCTATTCTACCAATCCATTCCGCCGCCTTCCTTCCTTTCCTTCTTTCTCACCTCCTGCAATCAGCCCGTTTCCCAGACGTCTCTCGACCAAATCACCGATTGCTTCGCGCGGTTCACGCGTCGACTCGATCTCTCGCTCGTCAGCGTTCTCGAGCAGCACTGCAACGCCAGCGACACCATGCTCACCTTCTCTCTCCTCGACTTTACTCTCAGCGAAGACGACAAAGCGCGCCATTACGGACTCAATTCCTTCTCTCGTCTCGATATCCGGCTTCGTCTCTTCTTCCTTCAATACTTCAACGCACAGCTCCAACGCATCGTTCATTTAGTCGACCTCGGTCTGCCCCGCGAGAGCGGAATCATCACACTTGGCCGCATCCTCGCAGGCCTCACCGGCTATATCTTCGCCCCCGTCAAAGAGCACGTGCTCGCTCTCACCATTTCGCAGACAGTTTATCACGGAAAGGACTGCTATCCCGTCGTCGAGCTCGATAATCGCCGCGTATTCACTGCCATGGAGCGCGACGCGCTGCCGTCACGTGGCAGCGACACAGAAACACAACACGCGCTGAGTTCGCAATGCACTTTCGCGCAGCTCTTCCGCGAAACGCGCGATATCCCCGTGGAAGTGCTTCGTGCGCCGCTCGATGGCCGTGAACGCTTGCTGGCAGTGAAGCTGAAGGGAGAGCAAGGGTTGGACTGGGGCGGAATCTACCGCGACACGATCGAACGGTGCATCGACGATCTGTTTTCAGACCGAATCGATCTGTTTCTGGCGTGTCCGAACGCGCGCGAGCCGAACAGTCCAGGCGAAATGAAGTATCTGCCGAACCCAAAATACCGCGAGAGCAGCGACGCGCTCGCGATGTACAGCTTTGTGGGGAATCTGATCGGGATCGCGCTGCGGACGAAGCAGCGAATGGCGTTCGAACTGTGCAGCGCGGTGTGGAAAACGATCGTGGGAGACGTGGTGACGATCGACGATGTGGATAGTGTCGATCACGCGTTCGTTTCCACGCTTCGCCAAGTCAACGAATTCACGCAGACCGACGACTCCGAAGACTTCCAAGAGCTCTTCGTGCTGACCTTCTCCGTTCTCGATTCGGCAGGAAACGAGGTCGAGTTGATGCCGAGCGGATCGCAGGTGCCGGTAACGTATTCGAACCGATCGAAGTTCTATCAGCTCGCGTTGGAATCGCGACTCACCGAAGGGAAACAAGCCGCCGAAGCGATCGCTGCGGGCGTGTACGCGTTGGTTCCGCAGCGAGCGCTGTCGCTATTCACGTGGGAGCAGTTAGAACGTGCGGTGAAGGGAGAGCCGGAGGTAGAGATGAGGAGGAGATGCGATGTAGATCTCGATCGATGCGCTGAAGCTTCACACGGTGTATATTGGGTGGACGGAGCGGCATGAAGTGGTGCAGCGGTTCTGGAGGGTCATGCGAGGGCTGAGCAATAAGGATCGAAGTCTTTTCTTGCGGTTTACGTGGAGTCGGTCGCGGTTACCGAAGAGTGACGACTGGTCGAAGCCGTTTAAGCTGTGTTATAAAGATGCGACGGATGAGATGCTGCCCGTGGCGCATACGTGCTTTTTTCAATTGGAGTTGCCGCAGTATTCGAGTGATGCTATTATGAGAGAGAGGCTGCTCGTGGCAATCCATTTCGGAGCAGGAGAGTTCATGTTACGATAGGGTTACTGATTTGTTTGTTGGATGAACGGTTTTGGGTAGAATCATGACGTGGGGTTTTAGACTATTTTCGTTTGCTATTCTTCTCGGTTTAAGCTTTTCATCAGGTGAAATTAGGAAAGATGAGTTAGGGATAGATCTTATTGTTCTAAATGACGCAAACTTCAGTTCTAATGTAATAGTCAACAGTTCGGATGTGTGGTTTATTCGTTTTTATGCTCCTGTATATTTTCGAATTTCCAGTATGAAATAGTGGTGTATACATTGTAAGAGAATGGAAAAGGACTGGGAACAAACGGCAACTTTGTTGAAAGGGGAGATCAAAGTTGGGAATGTATTTCAATATGGAAATTGTTGATGTGCAGTTGGATGCCACTACAGAACTGGAAACAGCCTCTCAATTCCGCATTCGTGGCTATCCAACCGTTTTACTTATCTATAAAGTAGAATTTTATATTATTTGTAATTTAGTCATCCGTTTTTATGTATGGCGGCTCTCGCCAAGCTTCTGATATGGCAGAGAAAGCAAGAAAGGCGTTGGAATTATGTAGTTGGTTTTTAGAATAGGAAAAGCGTATTACTGGAGAATGGTGGAATTCCCGATGGATTCAGTAGCTATTTGAAGTATGAGCCGAAAGAAAACAAGTCTGTCCAGCCTATATCAAAGACGAATCTGCGAGTCAAACGACCGAATCTACCCGTGAAAGCAGCGCTGAGCACACTTCAAATCTTACTGATGAGTCTGTTTTTGCTTATTATTATCTGTGTGGTCTTGTTTTTGCGATATGTTTCGATTTCTTCGAGAGAAGAAGGAGAAGATTTCGAAGGACCCGAAGCTGAATCGTTTTTGTCTTATCATGAACACAAACTGTGAATCGTTGATTAATTGATTGAATGTTGAGTGTTTGTTGTTCACTACGTGAATGGAAAAAGGAATCTGATGAAATGAGAGGAAATCAACCGAATTTAAAACGAAATATATTATGTAAGAAACAATAGAATTAACATGAAAGGAGATTAAGAAATACCAATGAATCGCTTGTATTCAGTGATGGCTGTCTGTGTTACTACTTGTACGAAGTTTGTCTCTGTTGTAACTTCGGCACTATCAACGATTTCAGGTCCCAGAGCTGATCGCATAATATCTGCTGTTCGTAGTAGCAACTTGTTAGAAACGGGCATGAACATAATCTTTATTCCTTTGAATTGATTGATCATCCCATAGATATCCCTCCATACTTGCGAAAAGCTCTTGTTATAAGCAATGTTATGTGTATAGTCACAACTATAATCAGTTTTACCATCTTCATGATTATGTGCATCTGCTACAACCAGAATCAAATGATTATATGTATTGTATGGGACCTGTTTCATTTGTCCTAAAGCACGAATCAATCCTCCTTGAATATCTTCACATGCATCTCCACCGCCACTTGCTACAAAGGTAGCGAGTTTATTTCTCAGTTTTCCAAAGTCATGAGTAATGTATTCTGCTGTTTCTCCTGTTAATGTATCTTTGAAATCCTTATATTGAACAACTTGACCAACAATTCCTCCCTTAGGAAGATGATAATCTCTTTCTATTTGTTGTAACTGATTCAAAATTTGGATTATATTCTCTCTAGTAGCATTAATATAACTGCCCATTGATCCTGTCGTATCCATTACAATACTTAAGCAGAATCTCACTTCCTTACTCTTGATTTCTCGTTTCTCCATTGGTGTCAAGCCAGGAAGTGTTACTCCATTCATTTTGATTCCTGAAGTTAATTTTGGATTACAGAATCGTTCTTCTTCAAATGCTTCCGTGTTACACAACCAAACTGCAGCATTGCTGATCCATCGGGCTGTTCCATCTTCAGTGAATTCCAAGAATAGTTTGGATGCAGCTGTATCAATGATTATTCTGCCTTCACTGCTTCCTTCCTGCTTTTCTTTCACCATTATCGACACATTTCCTTCGCTCTCCTTTGCAAATTCACGGAATCCAATTCCTTCGAGTCTCCTTTCATTCAGTTTGCAAAGCGTTCTTCCTTCGAAAATGCGAACAATGCCAAAATCCAATTGAGACAGATTATATAAATCAGTTGCTTTGCCTCCAATAGTAATAAAATGACCAGCTTCCGGAGTTTCGCTCTTCACTCTTTCCATCACTTTGCCTCCTTTTATGTTTTTATCTTTGTCACCAACTGCTTCAAATCCATAGAATTTCTTAAAATACAGGTCAGCTTCATAAGTGAATGGATAGTTTTCTAAGAACCAGAATACACCTCCTCCTCTCCTATTGAATTCGTGAACACAACCCACAAACCTATCTGCATATTGATCAACATCATCATCACATTTCTTTGCCATAATTCCATCTCCAGGAGAACAAGTAATAAATGTCATTCGATACCTTCCACTCATTAATTCATCGATAGCACTTTTATAATCATAAGCATATCTGATGTTAAATCCCTTTCCAATCGGTTTTCCATTGATTACTTTATCTCCAAGCTTCAGAATGGGAGAATATTGCACATTCTTCACTACTTGACCATTTCGCAAAACTTCATCTGTGATAGACTGGTCAATCACTTTACCATTTTCATCTTTCTCTCCTCGACACAAATAGAGAATTATGAATAGAATTGTATAGTCTTTAAAGCCTCCATCCACTCCCAAATCATATTTGCTATCATTGATATCGCCAATCCTCGTCATTGCATCGGGTCCATCTGTTTCATCAGCAAATCTAACATTACTCAATGTAGTTTCGTAAATACTAGGAATATTGCAAACCCGCTCTGTGATATCAACATAGGTTTTGTCAAATGTTCCATTCATTATCATTTTCTCGATTTGTTTCTCTGGCACTGCATTTAGATTCCCTTTCATTGATGCTGTGGTCAGATTCATAATTGTTTCAGACAATTGAATTGGATTTGAATTCCAAATCATTGTTGGGAACAAATCTTCAAATCCACACAAATACAAACCAATTCCAATTCCAAGATAAGTCATTTCGATTCCACTTACAATCGATTTGATTTCTGCTCTTGAATCATTACACAACACACCATTCGTTAACACCATCATTATAGAGTCGAATGATCGAGCGTTACAAGTACAGCAAGCATAACGAATACAATCAGGTAAACAAGTATTTTGACATGGAGATAATAACGATTGATACAATGCAGCAACAATATTGCTTTCCCATAAATCAGTGGATAATATGCCTGTTGCAATACGAATAATATGAGAAGTAGCCACCCACAAATCAATACAAGGCAGTTGCATATTACTCAGATTTCGAAGCATTGTGAAGATCGTGATCAATGAATGAACTCGGTTCGTTTCACTGAATGCAATTGAAGAGCAATCAATCACAATGCTAGCATTGTAGCTTCGAATCTTTTCACTTCCAAGCTTCTTGAAGAACTTGCCATCTCCTGTTTTGCTAACCACATATTTGATGTAGTTTGCCATATGAATCGAAGTTCCTGAAGTGGATGCAACATAGGCTGTTGATTTATTAGGAACGAACAGAGAAATGCTCATTGCATCAAATAGATTTTCACCTTGAATCAATCCATTCAGCTTTCTCAATAAAATGTTTTCATTCAATGCCTTTGGTTGAATCATGAGATTTTCGTCCAATATGTCGACTAGTTTTGCAGATTTTGAACTTGATATAGTGTTGATTGACACTAAAGATTTGTTTACCTTAAATTCGGTTTGTAAATCATCTTGAAGATCAAGAGCATATTTCATTATTGGAGAAACATTATCATTAGCATTCATCTTCATTACTTGGGCATCAAATAGTATGTTCATCAAAATGTTGTTAGGAGATTTTACTATATCATTGATATTCTCAATCAGTACCATATTATTATGGAAGTTTGCCTCCAATGATTTCTCAAGTAAAGTTTGATTTGATCCACTCAATGCTTCATCATCTTTTCCTTTTACGCATAACAAAAATAGCTTGGAATAGACTCTAAATACATGTCTCACTTCATCATCTTGAGACATCAATTGCTCGCTGAATCCATCACTTATTATCACCACTGGATCTTTTTCGTTAAATTGATCCTTCACTGTCAATAGATCCAATGGAGTTGAAGGCATTTTCACCACTTCTTCCATATCAAACAAAAACGAAATGATTTCACGAGTTGATCGATCTTCCATAGAAACATACACACCTTTATATCTTCCACAAAACACATACAAATTGAAGGAAATGCCAAGTTCTTTCATTACTGTTACCATAATGCACGAAATGATTGTTCGCATTCGAAGCTTATTCTTTCTCAAACTACAATTTGTATCGATGATGATATTGATTGTTGAATGAGGTTTTCTGCTCATACAATTCATTTGCCTTAAGGAGTCAATCACATTAACAGATGTACTAATGGTTGCTTGAGCAATTGCAGGATCAATCAAGTTTCTGTTCTTGCTAAGAATCTCCTTTGTTAATGAATCTTTGAAACTCGAAGGTTTAACATACTTATTTGTTGTTTTTCGTTTGTAAACCATTTGGAATATCTCATCCATCTGTAACTTATTCACTATTTCAAGATAAGCCTGATAATTAACAGACTTATACTCTTCGTTTTCTTTTAATTCATTTGGATTACTCTCATTTTCGCTTTCTTCATTTTCTTCATTAGCTGTATTATTCACATTTTCATTAATCATAATTACCTGTACACGTTTGCCAATCTTATTCTTAGTAGCATCTGACAATGTTCCAAATGAAATCGTGGCCTTCTTATTATCTGTTTCCTGTTGTGATTCTGTATCCATATTTGGTGAGATTGTGTACGCTTCTTCATGAACCACCTTACTGCCTTCGATCTCCTGTCTATCACCATCATTCACATGTGAACTCAAAGTATTAATAACAGAGTCCCACTGCAATGAGGACTTTTCACTGATAATTGCATTGAAAACTGATTCAGCAGCTATTTTAATGGAAGGCAAGATCAGATCATTGGTACAACCATTCAAAATTGATAATATCTCTTGTTTATCGTGATCGTTAGCGGATAGAATGACCAATGATAAATCAGAAAAAGCTGACACAAATTGGCAGAAGGATTTCGAGCTGAGATTCGCTATTGCTGTTGATGGATCAGTTGAGCAAACACGAGGGACTGAAACAGCATTTTTCGGTGGAAACTCTCTTTTAAACACTGACAATCCTGTATCATTCCATGTGAAACACCGAGCATAATTTGAAGAATTATACTCCGTCATGATTGAAGAATAAAAAACCATTTTGATTGCAGGTTTTGATACAATAAAGGTCCATTGTCCTTGTCTACACTGAATAGTTTCTTTCTTATTATCTATATAAACATCCACGCTACATGGGAATGAAGAAGGAGACAGATAAAACGCAGATTTATTGGAATAATATTTATCCGAGATACAGCAATCAACAGAAGTGACAATATGATTTGGCATTCGTTTTCTTTTATAACACAAATAGAATTCTTCACTTGCCAACTTTTCATTATCTGATGTTCTATATACATTGGCCACCAACTTGACTTTCTTATCCCCAATTTCATTGTCTTTCATTACAAATATAAAACTATTCGAACTCTTCGATATATCACAATCGTTTCCTGTCACAACTAGTTTCACTTCATTACTAGTAGTTAAAAAGGGAATCGTGATATGATTTCCATCTTCTCCAACATAACTTATGGGAAGAAAGTATGTTTTATCCTTAGGAAGACCAATTGAAGCATTCTTTCCATCATATAATACAACAATTACATCATTTAATGTTCTACTAATACACATAAGAGATGTAGCATGTGTTGTTTTGGGGAAAAAGTAATCTATAATAGAATCATATTCTTGTTGTTTCTTTGCATATTTGTCTGCCATTTTTCTTTCCTCACTCGTGACATGACTGTTTTTCCTTTGGATAGTCAAATATCTCTGATAATCCTTTTGATATTCACTCACATCATAGTTAGATATTTTATCAATACTGATAAGAGAACCAAGATCATCTCCATAATCGAGATAATCTTTCACAGTCCACTGTTTTTTAAATGAATCAAACGACACTTGATTATAGGGCAATAAGTCTAAACCGCTTTTTATTTCGATACATGCAATATAATATTGATAATAATATCTCTCTATTTCAGAATTGAAAAAAGAAGAAGGCTTTGTATATTTGTATAGGCTGCAACTGAATGAAGAATACGTTAGAAAATACACCCAAGAAGATAAATACTTGCCATAAGAGGCACTATTATATTGATTATATTGATTTAGTTTATATTGATCAATAGGAATATCATATCTCAAATGAAAATCGTCTCTTATAGTAACCATGCATCTCAAGAAACAAAGAAGTTTATACATATCCCAGTTGTTTTTGTGATTCCAATATTTCGAATAATAATCTAGTTGACCTATTTTGTTGGTATAATAAACCAAACTAATACTATCATATCCCCACTTGATACGTTGTCCTCCAATAGATATCTCAACACTCCATTTAAATGGTGCTAATGGAAGTACCAGCAAATAACCATCTTGAACAGGAACGCCATAGTAAGATATTGTGTTTCCATATAATTGAATCTTATTTGATTGAAGATAACTATTGACTCCTTCAGGTGCAAACAACGATACGGTAATCATTTGACTCCATTTAATTGCTTCATGATTATGTGGGATTAATAACATCTGAAAGTCGAATGGATGGTAGTCTTTTGATATTGTGTACCTAACTTCATGATTTGCATATTGGGGAGTATTGATATAACATGAAAAATACTCCAATCGTAAATTATTCACCGCATGCATATATGTGAACATTCCAATCGTATTTCTGTTTCGCTTTTCAAAATTCTCAATATATTTTGTATTTCTCATTTTTTCTTCAGCTATTCTTGTATATTTTTGAATCAAAGCCTGCTTTTTTGAGTCTAAATTATCGTACATCTTTTTATGCTCTGCGTCACTTTCCTTCATTCTCTCTTCTGCTTTTTTCCATTCTTTTTGTAACTTGTTTAATTCCACCTTGCAATCTGCCTGAGCAGTAGCTATCACTCTTGATACAAGATCATCAATATCTTGTACTTGTCTTATTACTTTGCTAAGAGCATTTCGCAAAATATCCACTTCCAGCATGTCCAATACTACCTTTCCTTGGAGTGTTCGTTTGCGTGGACAAATGATAGCCAGCTTATCTTCAATTCTCATTGGACAATGGCGTGTCCACATTTCTTCCAACAAGTAATTTACGATTTTCATTTTACTACTTGGATGTTGAAGCGATTGTTCCATTATTAGTATTTCACTAGGAATAGTAGTTCCTGGCTCAACATAAGAAGGAAGATCACATTTCCACCAAACATCAACTTGAGACACTTGCTCATAACTGTATTTGTTTAATCCTCTTTGTAAATCTATAGCATCCAAAATCAATGGAACTCTCAATACAATATCTTTTGGATGTTGAGTGAAATAGTACTCTTTTGTCAGTCTAATTTTTAACTTGTCGCATGCACTTTTTCGAGTAGTTTCTGTGTTATTAAATGACTTCCAGAAAGTTTTATACCAATCTTTTTCGAACAACATTTCAATGGCTGCTTCAAAGTCTCCTTGAGTTACATCAACTGGAGTTACGAATGGATATGCACAGTAGTAATCCAATAACCTTTCCCATTTCATATGTTTCATCTCCTTTTTCAGCAATACATTCAGCATTTTCAATAAGTGGGGAAGGAGAATTGATGAACTTCTGAATTCTTTTAGAATATCAACCACATTCAATTCCAATCGATTCAATACATCTGCATATTCACTCAATATGAACGGATAGTTTTTGAATGTTTTTAACTTGTAAATCAAATGAGATGTCTTTACTATATTTGTATTTATATGATCATTATAATTGTAAATAACATACTTTGTTTCAATTACATTGAAATTCATTGACTTATATGTTTGGCTATCAATCATTTTATCTCCAAATGCTTGCTGTAAATATCTTTTTAATTCCTCGTTTTTGCCACAACTATATTCCGCTTCAGTAAACATATACTTCATACTGTCATCATCATCATCATTCTCATACTCATTACGTCTTGATGCACATTTCTTGGCAGCAGATTCTATTGATTCAAGAGTGGTTAATATTTCTTTCACAGAGTTCGATTCCTTTATCTCAGATGGGAAACATTCAATTGACTGTTCGACCGACTGAATCTGATTACGAAGATTTGAACAATCAGTAAATCGAGCTTTCTCTCTCAAATGTTTTTCATTCTTCATTACATCCAAATAATAGTATCGAATATTGATGACTGCCTTCATCATTTGTTCTGTCAAATCACTTCGATCACCGTTCTCCAACATTGCAAATACTTCAAGTGCCAAATCATTCAATATTGTTTCCTTCATTAACTCCATTAATTCCTCTCTCCTGTCACAGATAAACAGCAATTCCAAATATATATATTGTTCGGTTGTAGGAATGTCAAATAACTGCTTGATTGTGATTTCTTGGTTAAACATCCATTCAGACATTCTGTATTTGCTTCTCATTTTCGGATCAATCGATGAAATCAAAAACCAACGACGAAGAACACCTGCATTATCTCCTCTTTGTTTTTTCATCATACAATTCTGAAGATTATCCATTTCAAGTACATTGATTGTACGATCCATTACATAGTAGATAAAATGGTTTTCAAAATACTTTATACAGCTTTGCAATCTTTTAATAGTGTCTTCAATCACAAATGCACTCTTTGTACTTGAACAAATCTTCTCCATTATAGCAATCATTCGATTCATTCTATCAGTTTCTGATAAACTATCTACACTGTCCAAATAGTCATATAATTCGTAATCAATAGATTTGGGGATTTCAATCTTTGAAACCAAAGCATTCTTCTTCGGTGTATATCCAAATTCAAACAAGAATGCATCTCTCTCTTTACTGTTTATCACTCGAATACACCGACGGAATGTTTTTGATTCTTTGCTTCCAAAATTACAAGGATCGTGTTTTGATTCATTGATTTGGCAGATTTCTTGAACATTTGCTTGAGTCGATATTGGATCACAATACACAATCACACAACGACTCAAGAATGGTCCAGTGAAGTGTTTCAATGTATTGTCCGATATTGTAAAGAAGATTCGGAATGCTTCGTCAATTTTCCTTTCGCCTTCTTTTGGTCGCATTGAATACGTTATTTCTTCATTTCCTGCTAATACCTTCAATGTTGGGTTTTCTTCACACAGAGAATTCAGCGATTCCATCACATCATTGTTTGCCAAATGAATATCTTCGATCACAATCCAATCTCCACTCTCCATTGCTTTCAACAGCGGACCTTCTCGGAATTTGATACATTCATTCCCATTTTCATCAATTCCAAGAGTACTTCGACCAATGAACACATCTGGAGAGCTTTCGTGATTCAAAAACACCGAAGTGCATTGTTTATCCCACATCAATGCCAGATTCGAAATACAATACGATTTGCCAGAGGGAGAAGAACCATAAACCAAAATGGCTCGTTTGGATTGTAAAGCAAGACTCAACTTGAATATCGTCACTTTCTCTGTTGAAGTGAAACAATACTCTTTGAAAGATCCTGAATACATTTGTTGTGTTTCAATGTCCCAATAACCACGAACAACACATTGGTCGTCTTGTTTGATAATATCAACTTTCAATGTCTCTTCCAGCTTCAATATCTTCTCGATTTCTTTTCTCTCTGATTCTTCATAACGACAAGCAAACACCAACCATAAAGCAGTTTCCAATGATAGGTTATTTCCATTGTTCACAATCTGATCCACTTTCAATACATCTCGAAGTGAGAATGGAATCGATGTCTTTTGATAGGAGTTGTAGGAATATTCAAACAAATCAAGAATCTGATTCTCTGTTGATTCTTCTTCCGATTCCATTACATTACTCAAGATTTGACGAGCTGTGAGGAATAATTCATTCAATGTGTATTTCAAGTCACGATGATAGATACAATACTTGTAGAATTGACGGGGCAATGTGCTGCGATTTGCTGACATGGATGCTGGATTCATACAGCAAATGATCAGCATGTTCGATGGAATGTTGATCACATCGCCTCCTGGAACTTGGAATGGATTGTGATTCACATAACAACGAATCAGAGTGAGTAATACTTCAAGCACATCTGATGGAGCCAAATTCACTTCATCTAATAACAATGCTATTCGTTGATCTGAGTGATCTCCTCTCCTCAATAGTTCTGTAATACTTCCATCTCTGAATTGTAATGCTCCATTCACAATCGTATAACATCCAAACAAACTATCAATCGTTATGGTATTCGAAAAATTGATTCGCTTATAGTCAAGATTCTCCTTTACGAAATAATTCTCAGCAGAAACAGTTTTGCCTACTCCAGGATCTCCTTCAAGAATCAGAGGAAGATGACTTCGATCTGCCAATACAATGGATGCCAATAACTGAATCGTGGTCTTTGTATGAAGTAATGGATGCTTGGATTGAAGACTGGATTCTATATCACCAATAACATCATTTGTAAATAGGAATGATAAAGTTTGCTTCAAGTCTTGAATCATTGCATCATCCTTGTTGCTTGATTGAAGGAATTTACTCACTTCCTTCAAATCCTTATTCTTCATTCCCATTTGAATCAGATTCTCTCGAGACGCCAAATCAGATTGAAGGAATCGAAGATAGAATGGAATCACCTTCTCAGCATTCACAAATTCCTTTCTCAGCATATTTGACTTTCGTAGAATGTGTAAAGGATAGTCATCTCGATTTTCAAACTCATATTTCGCCCTTTCTAATCCAGAATAGGCTTGACAAAACACTTGAATGAATTGGTCTTTCTTTGCAACTCTTCCATAATCTGGATCTTCGCATGTTACAATCGCGTTTACAGATTTACCAAGAATCTCTGTTTGAATTTGGGAATAATCCTCAAATAGACTAAACTCTTGTGAATCCAAACTAAACAGCAATGAATATATTCGAGGAAGCAATCGATCATTCAATAAATTGATATTGTTCAACACGATCGAATTGTTACTCATTATCGAACGGAGAATCGGACCAGGACGCATCATGAGCGATGATTCATCATCTGCCATGCCATGCAATAACCTCTTCAAGTATTCTCGATATGCTTCCATCGGAGTTCCATCAACATTTTGGATCGATGTTTGTCTCAAAATGTATTGAATGTCTTCTTTACGACAAACGGAAATCTCACCAAATGTGTGAGACATTTCCATTGAACGAGACATTTCCATATGAGCAGCATTGGGAAACAGCAAATGAGTCACTTCAAAAGCAATATCTGAATCACCAACCAATAACACAGGAAGGCGAGTTTGCTTGAAATTGGAAATAGAAAGAGTAAACAATGCAGATAATACAGAAGAATCCAAATCCTTAAGTTTTGAGTATTCAATTGGAACTGTTGTTTGAAGAGGACCACGTTGAAGCAATGAACTCAATTCATTCGTTGGGGATTTTATTGCTGTTACTGTTGGAGTTGACAAAACCACACTTGCTGATTCAAGTTCTTGCTTCACTCCTGCGTCAGCTGTCTTTTTCCATTCTTCTATCACTCTCTCAAGTAGTTCTTTGCGATCTTTTCGATCTGCAAACAATGCTGCTACAATCCAAATTGGATGAGAAGTATTGAAGCAAGTCTTATCCAGAGTGAATACTTCATTCAATGGAATCCCACCACTATCAATATGATCACATAATCGTTTGCAGATTTCACTATTTATCAACTCTTTCGCTTCATCACTCTGGATTGGACTCATTTTACAAATATCGAAATAAGCAGGAAGAGAAGGCAACGAATTCACTCGACGTGTTGTAAACACGAACAAAGCTCGGAATGAAGGATGAATTGAATGATTGATAAAAGCTGGATAAGTGAACTCATCAGTGAAAGGATCACAAACAGTATCAAGCATTTCCAGTAATTCTGCTGACATGTTTTCAGCATTTTCGAATATCACTAATTCTCCACTTTCTACAGCTTGAAGCAATCTTCCAGCTCGGAAATCACCTTTCACATCCACACTTCCCATCAAAGTGGAAAACTCGGTTTCTCCAGATACACTGAACACTTGATATCTCTCTACATGGCGTTGCTTGATGATTTCGCGAATTGCATAGGACTTTCCACTGCCTCTAGGTCCACACAGTGCCACAGCCTTGTTTTTGCAAATACAATAGAACAATCTCGAAGCTTCAGTCCAATGGCTTCGAAGGGATTGCAGTTCACAAATTGGTGGTTGTTTAGCGAGCATTTCAATCAGAGATTCATCCAATTGATATCCAGCCAACTGAGTAGCAAAATAGGCCATTCGATGGAGTTCTTGCTGCTGAAACCAATCGATTGTTTGAGAATAATCATGAATCAAATCATCAATTTCATCTCTGTTCTCATTATTCTCAAGCTTGGGAGAGTTTTCAAATCGCTTTGCATCTTCATGACTCACAAATACTTCCAAAAATCGATTTCTCAAGGCAGGAGAAAATGCCAGCAAACCTTTCTCAGATGTTGTTGCGATTACACGGAATTCGGGACTCATTTCGAATTCGGGTCTTTCTCGACGTTCATCAAATCGAACTACATGATGATGGCCATCTGCAGGTGATAATTCCAACACAGAATTCAATCGCTCGATCACATTCGATTTCATCAAATGCATCGACTGAAGAACACAAATTCCTCCATTTTCAATCGCTGTAAGCAATGGAGAAGGACAGAAACGAGGAACTGGTTTGCCTTCATCATCATCTTTCTCGAGTGAATAGCTTCCAATCACACTTTCTGTTGAAGAAGTCGAACTGCAATGAATCACTTCACAGGATGTTCCTTCACTCTGCATTATCTCCATTATTGCTCGACAATACTTTCGAGATACATATTCCGTTTCTCCAATCAATAGAACATGGCATCCAGATTCCAATCCTAGTCGAACTCGATCATACACATCCTTCCAGCATTCCTTGTCTAAAGCAGCTTTGCTGAAAGTAATATCCGCTTTGAATACTGGATTTGTTTTCAAATCTTCATTATATGCGATTTGTAAAGCTCGATCTAATGCTTTGCTTTCACCGATTTTCTCTTTATCCATCAATTTCTCCTTCATCCATTTAGTTCGACTACAATCTCGAAGTGTGTAATCCTTCCCTTTATCAATCTCTCTTCCAGACACATTCTTTCGATTATCAGCTCGATCATGAATCTCACACACTCTTCTTCCAACTTTTGTGTCTCCTCCAAACATCGCCGTTATGATATCCAATCTTTCTTCTTTCTCAATCATCGGGAAGTATTTCTGTTTCGTTGAATCGTGAGTGACAAAGCGGAAACAATCGCGAATTGCAGAAGACAGATTGCTTCGCTTGTATGAGCTTCCAGCAGGATTTTGAGTGGCAATAATGCGGAAATCTCGATGCATTACACGTTCTTCACTTCCATCCTTGCCTTCATGGAGAATCTTCTTGCCAAACAAATACGATAACACACTCTGAACCACAGAAGGAGGAGCCAGAGACATTTCATCCATCAATAGCAGTTTGCCATGAATGAATGCATCCGTGAAAGCTCCGTCCTGGAATTTGATCTTCTCTGTATCATCGTTCGTAATCACCATATCTCCAAGCAATTCCTCAGTTGTGGACGAAGGACTGAAGTTGTATCTCACAAAGGGAACGAGAGAACGTCGACAGTATTGTTCCACCGTGAATGTTTTGCCTGACGACGTCACTCCCTCAATCACCACTGGAATGTTGTATTGAATCACATCTTCCACGATTTGATTTCGAATTTTGGTTTGATTGGTTTCTCTGATAAACGGAGGATCTTCTTTCATTGCTTCCACATATCGATAAGCTTTCGATTCGATATACTCCCAATCCTCACTATCAGAACGTATTGCCTTTATCAGTCGAACATATTCCTCTGTGGAATGGAAAATGAGCACATTGGATCTGCAGCGTACAGTGATAACCATATTCTTATCAAGGGGAGACAAAATGCCAATCGTAGCATTCTTCACTCCAGAAATGCAGTGGAAATAGATTGTTTCAGGAATTATGTTATGAGTTTGAGCTTCATTATGATTGATAAGTGGAAGAATGAATGTTGTTTCATTTTTCTGAAGATGAGGTAGTCCATTGAAACTAATCGTATCTCCCATATGAACATAATCGCATCCATCAGTCAAAGCAGATTGAAGGGAACGAAAACCCTCCATAATCTCTTTTTTGATTAGCACCTTCTCGACCTTTTTCCAAAGTGTACCACTAGTTTTTTCTTGCTCTTCAACAATATTCTTTCTGTAAACCACAGTAATAGAATCAAAACTCTCAGACATCACACTATTGCTATTTGCTTCATACATCAAAATCGATTCATCATTTCCATAACTTCGCTGATTATTCTCTACCATTTCAAAGTCTTTTTCTTCAAAATCACTCAGCTCTATTCCTTATATAGTATATATTTTATTATACCTATCGAGACTTTAGGTTCTTCTTTTTTCGGTGTTTGAGGTTTCTCTTCCTCTCTTTCTTCAGACAATATGGAAATATCCTTATCATTCATATATATCACGAATCTTGCATTTCCCCTATTACTCTCTGCTCGGCAATAATGAGTAATTGTATCAATGTACTTTTGATTTTGAGGTGAATCTATCCATTTACTCGAATGAACAAGCATTACTAAGTACTATTCTGAATTCTTTCAGATTCCTGCAAATACCTTTTATAAACATCGCCAACAATTCATTGATTCCATTTGCTAATAGAATATTATCTACAAGTTAATACCATCAATTTGCCGTTACAAGGAAGACACACTGATGTAAACAACATACTTGATCGATGTCTACCATACTTTATGTCTATTTCCACATTGGGAACTTCATCTATTTGTTATTTTAGAGATGTACTATAACCTGATATGCTCACTACTTCAACGAAATCACATTTTGGATCAGAAAACACCTCGTTAAGTTGCTGAATATTCCTTGATGTTAATTTCCCTATTGTTTATATAATTCTTTTATATGCAACAAGTGCTGTGAAATGAGACTGTGGGAATTGAGTAAGAGGCAAACATTTTTTGTGATAATGGTTGGTTAGATACAATTGATATTAGCTCAATCCATTTCATTTTTATCACGCTATCCTATGAATAATTAAAAGCAATGAAAGCAACAGGAATAATAAACACACAAGCACTTGAATCCTGCGCTTTTGCCACTTCTAATGGAGTTGTCATTTTTCCATCTGAATTCAGCATTTTCCATTTCTGTTTATCAGTTCTTGGTAAGTCTTTCTACATATAAAAATACTTAAATACTCTGCTACCTCAACATAGTTTATTATACTCTTTGAATTTTGAGGAACAGTGCCATTTTTAAAACTGTAAGTAAAGGTGTTCTTACTCGATGCAAAACAATGAATTATCACCAATTTATATTTCTCAGATTTACTAACAGGCTGTGGATTCGCAATAACTGCAGAATCTTCACCTGGTCGTAACCCTCCATATGTAGTCTCAGGTCGATTTCGCAAAGGTACCTTTGATTCAATCTTTATCTCCGTTTTATCGTTTTTCGTCGGATCTTCTTTGGTTTGGGAATCGCTCGTATTTCGAATATCAGATGTTGTTTCTGATTGATGATTTATAGATTCTTCTTTGGGTTGGGAATCACTCGTATTTCGAATATCAGATACTGTTTCTGATTGATGATTTATAGATTCATCTTTGGGTTGGAAATCACTCGTATTTCGAATATTAGATGCTGTCTCTGATTGATGATTTATAGATTCTTCTTTGTCTTGTAGTATGGCACTTGAATTATGTTCGTTGTGAGGACTTGATGATACATTAGGTACAGGATGTGTAGGTGGTGCAGTACCTTTATATTTAATTGATGCATTTGTTTCTGCATTCTTTTCCTCGTCAGCATTTTTCATTTTCTGGGTTGAACTGGTATCACCCGCAGATTTTATATAGGGTTTATGTAGAGCTGAAGGAACAGATGGTGTTGTAGTCATTGGAGGTTTGTAATTTTTCTTCTTCCATACTAATTGTAATTAATCTTTCAGTACTGGCTTACTTTCAAACTTCAAAGGTTTTGCTGGATCCAAAGATGATGATAAACCATCTGCACTGATTGATTGCATATTTTCTGTATTTACAATAACTAACTGCTTAAGAATGATGTTCTTTAACTGTCTTTCATGAACATTCTACTCGTAACTGTATGACATTGTTATCCTACTAGCCAATGCTCATCTAGATAATCTTTAAGAGCTTTATTCTCTTCGAACTTATATTGTCTTTCCTCGTTTTTAATCTTATCAAAGAGAATAACGACCTTTTCTGAAACAGCAGTAGTCTCAACTAATATAAATATACGATAATAAATAGTTACTTGTTAGTTTACTACCTGTTTTCACACCTTGATAATGTAATGATTCTTCGAGTTTGATTGGAGTTCCGTTCTCTAACAAAAGACAGTATTCGTCGGTTTTGTAGCCTAGTGAAAGCATTATTTCATTTCCTGTTGTATCTTGAAGAAATTCTATATGATATGGAGTTGATAGTGGTTGTTTTGATTTGTCTATAATATCTATACTGATTGTCGGATTATCATTGCGAGTATATACTATGATACATAATGAATAACAATTAATATCCTACTAGTAACATCTGTAGATGTTGTAATATCATTGACAAGAACTATCGAGCTTCCTTTTAGAGTTACAAAACAATCATCAGTGACATCGCCACAAATGTCAAAAAGCAATTTAGAAATCGATATTGATCCTTCAAACTTGATGTTGTCGGTTTCCTCATTATCGCTATCAAACGCATGGACATAGTTTTCTTCGACCTCAATAGATTCAACCTTAGAGTCAGATAATTATAAATCTCTCACAGTTTTCGGTTCGTTTACTTTCCTGACATTATCAATAGTATCAACTAATATAAATATACGATAATAAATAGTTACTTGTTAGTTTACTACCTGTTTTCACACCTTGATAATGTAATGATTCTTCGAGTTTGATTGGAGTTCCGTTCTCTAACAAAAGACAGTATTCGTCGGTTTTGTAGCCTAGTGAAAGCATTATTTCATTTCCTGTTGTATCTTGAAGAAATTCTATATGATATGGAGTTGATAGTGGTTGTTTTGATTTGTCTATAATATCTATACTGATTGTCGGATTATCATTGCGAGTATATACTATGATACATAATGAATAACAATTAATATCCTACTAGTAACATCTGTAGATGCTGTGATATCATTGACAAGAACTATCGAGCTTCCTTTTAGAGTTACAAAACAATCATCAATGACATCGCCACAAATATCAAAAAGCAATTTAGAAATCGATATTGATCCTTCAAACTTGATGTTTCCGGCTTCCTCATTATTACTATCAAACGCATGGACACAACTTTCTTCTTGTTCAACAAGGTCAATCACACAGTCCGACAATTTCAGATCTCTTACCGTTTTCTTTTCATCTAATGCCAAACCATTCAAACGAAGGGTATATTTTGATAGCTCATCCTGCGAAGGAACATGGCCAATAAGTTTCTTCACTGTCGATTTTTTTAGATTCCATAAATAATACTTAGCAGCATTGTTGAAACGAATTTCTTTGTTTTTGTATTTGAATGTAATCATCACTGTTTCTACTGGCAATTCATCTTGTTCTGTGCTTCGTTGTGATACTACAGATAAATATATTTATATAAACGAAGGTTACCTCCCAAATTCGTTGATGTTGAGTTTAGGGCGCAATTTGACTCTAAGAATTAATGTTGAATTGTACTATATACGCTGTAATTCAGTGATTTCGATTTCGTCACTTATCCCTTCAAATGGAATCAATTCTTCCAAAGAAAGATTTTGAGTCTTGGTTTTTAACCTATATTTATTATATTCTGTTGGAGGTATTTTGAACTCTCGATACATAGCATAGGCTAGGTATTCGAGCTTCAAATTTGTGTAATAGGTAATGGACCTCCTAGTGGCCTTCCATTGAAACAGATACTTATGCACTTGACATATGGATAATGTATCGCCATTTTGGCACTGATTAGCCAAAGGTTGCATCTTATCAACAGGCTTTGTATCTTTGAAAAAATACAGGTAGCCTATATTCACATGCAGCTGGAAGTCCGTCTATATCTCATTTGACACATTACGCATATTACCGAAATGAACGTCCAAAGGTCGAGTAGAGTATGCCTCGGACCAATGTCATATGCCCTTTTTGTTTCACCAATACATAGACTTATCTGCATTGTTTTTATAAAGAAACACACAAATCCATTCTCAGTTTATTCACTGGTACAGTACACAATAGTTTGATATTACTTTATATATTTTGAATGGGCTTTGGTTATTATATATAGCTATGGCCTCACATCTTCCCTTTTCTATTAATTGCGCAGTTTAGTGAAAAAGCGCTCTTTAGCATCGTTAGCTACACTTATTCCTTCTTCACTTCTCGTTTTGAGCTAAATTTGGCTTTTACCATCCTGGCTGATTCTGCTGTCTATTTTTCGTGCTCTACTCTGTATTCGTGTATATACTCATTTTTAATATGTCTATTATGCTCCAATTCAAGTTTGATTATTCTGGTAAGACATTTCTCTATTTTTAGTTTTTTCTGTACTATTTGAACATAATTAAAGCAATTTAATCACTTATTTTTGTTAACAATTAGAGAATAGTGAAATGGGGACAACAACTCGCTGGGAGTAAAACTCATCATTATCGATGCTCTCTAGCTGCTGTAGAATGAGATCTTCTTGTTTCAAAACAGATTGGACAGAGAGGTTGACTTTTTTGGCTGCTACCTTGGCAGTAGGATGTGCCATGAATCCCACGGTTCTAGTCTCTGTGATAGTCCGATATTCGGTCGAGAATAGTTCCTGAACGTTACTATCGATTTCCCAGAGCTACATTCACAATATTACTAGGTGATGGAGACCACACTTTCTGAAGCGCGATCTTCATGCAACGGACGATCGAAAAGAGTGATATGATAAACAGAATGATCAACAACGATAACTAGCCATCATTTCGCATATGCAAAACAACAGGATTTGAAATCAAACCTAGAAAAGATCCGTAAAGATCTTCACTCTCCGCTGGGAAGAAAGCGATTCCTGAGGTAACTGCCAGGGTAAGGAACCACAGCAAGACGCTGACAACATCAAAGATGATCAGCAATATAGAGTAAGCCGAAGAAATGAAGAAGATCTCAATGTTTGTCACGAGAACGAGAATCGTAAACGCTAATACACCCAAGTATGAAGAGCTGATACTCTACACCACAAAAACACTTCTCTTCTACCATATTTTTACTCACATCGCCCATTCCGTTAAGACCCGAAAACAACAAGAGGAATCCAATAATCACGAATCCTTCCCCTATGGAAACAATAATGTTGATAATGAAATTCTTTGTGTTGAGGGGTGGTTCAAACCATGATGGCTGGTAAAGCTGAGGGATTCGTGCCAGTAATTCCTTGTCCGAAAAAAAATCAATCGCTGCGATCGTTAGGATCGGTACAGATGTAAAACTACCGGTTATTCGAAATCTCAAATCGCACTATGTGTTGAAGAAATCGACGCCCCAAGATGGCATTAGCTTGATTCCAGAGAACATTGATAGATACGACAAAATTAGCGTTAAAATAGAAAGTAGCGTGTTTTTGTATAGAAAGTATAACACCAGTACTTGAAGTCGGTTTTCGTTTGATTTCCCATGAACAAACAAGAGTTTCGTCATAGCTTGAAAGGATGGAATGCTCACATCTGCATTGTTAAAGGCTTGAAGACCTTCCTTTCCCTTTATTCCAACGCCTACGTCGCTCTCTCGAATCATTCCCATGTCATTCGCACCATCTCCAACACACAAAACGTGCACAATTTGCTTGCCTTTCTTTCTACCATATTCTTTCAGAGACTGCGAAATCAGCTGCTTCTGGTCTTTCCGCATTCGAGCAATGATCACGGAAGGAGCGTCGCAAAGACACTTCAAAAACAAGGAAGTGATCGATTCGTTGTCTTGCTGAAACACTTCATCAATGAGATTTCCATCTATTAAAAGTGAGGGACTTTCAGAACGAGATTGAAGCTCTTCGAGTTTTGGAACAATTCGCTCTTGAAAAGGCAGCTCATTTCTAGTATCGATGCTTAAGTGTACCAACTCTTTGTTTATGTCGATCACTCCTGCAGAAACCTAAAGTCAATGATCGCTCCGTATTTTACAGCAATCGACTCAGCAGTGCTCGCTTTGTCTCCTGTCAAAATCCAAAATCGGATTCCAGCTGCTTGAAGACGTCGAATTGACAGATAAACATTAGGAACGAGATTATCACGAATGGCCAAAGCTCCCTGGATCTGCAGAGGTTTCTCCAACGCTTCTTGGATTTCAATAGGCGGTGAGGAAGAATTGGCCGAAGAGTGACTCATTGCCTTTGGAGTGTGAGAGAAAAAATGAATGGAAATACCTTCCAAGTCTTATAGTCTTCCTCTGTAATTTCCTTCTCAGCAAACATGAGACTTAGAATGTGAAAATAGCATGTAAGGCTTACGTACGCAATCCTCGCTTACTACAATCCTCTAGAAACTGGTTGATTAGCGATAGTGCTGGGTCGTGACTCGCAATCAGCGGAAGTAATGCAGAATCTGCTCCCTATGCTCAAGAAAGAGAACCAAAAAATACCTTGCATAGCAAGATGATTCTTTTATTTGCACGAACAACGATAGTAGTCCGCTTCTTTTCTGTTGTGAATGGAAACCACTCCAAGATCTCATATGATTGCAGCACTCCATCAGCTTCAATATTTATTGTATGTGCAGAGCGAGAGGAGAAATGATAGCCGAATCGAGCCGCTGCGTCCAGTATTGCCTAGCAAGTAATCCGTCTCATGCAATCGAAACTCGTTCATCCTGAGAGGAACAGAACACTTGAGTATTTGAATCACAGCTCTTCGATGGAAGTAATGACATTTCTTGCATTCTCAGCTCTTCATCAAATGAGCAGATTCGTATTTCTGAGAAAGACTTTGAAAATGAAGGTTCGATTTTCAAAATGGATGACTCACACTTCGAAAAAGATCGGCTTTGTCCCACCGAAAGACAGTCCAAAAATGCATTGGAGTCATGAACGGAGGGATTGGTAATGGAAAGTGCAGAATGATTCAAAATCATGTTGAGGAGTAATGGTTTGACGGAAGGGAGCGATGAACTCACTGAAGAATCCATTCCGTAAGAGGTTTCTCGGGTGCAAAACTCAACAACACACAGATTGTTCTCTGTGATGGTTCCAGTTTTGTCGGAAAGAATATGTCTAACTCGCAATCAGTAAAGAAAGCAACGTAATATGGCCGAGCTCATCCAGTACTCCTGCGTTCCGAACGTGAATGTGCTCGGATTGTTCGTCAAAACACTCAAGATCATTCTCAATGAAAAAGGATTGAAGAAGAAACCTGAATGATAAGCAACCACCGATCAATACGCAATTTCAACGCAAACATAGAGAGAGGCTGGCACAATCTGATAGCACAGCTGAAAATAGACGAAAAATGTTTGAATGAAATGCAATATAAGATTGTCATGACTGACATCGATATTACCGTGTGGCTTTTGATCCCACAGAGTCGACATGACCGAACTAACCTGCAATTCACAACCAAATAGACAGATGGACGGTGCAAATAAAGAGCAGCAAAGCAATGAGATAGATGTTGCACTGATTTAGAAGCTGTAGTGTTTGTGATTCCTTCTTGACTGGCCGATTCCGGGTCGAGAACTCGATTTTTGTGTTACTACCTACAGCAATGGCACAACCAATCACCCAATCTAATGATAAATTAATTCGTGAGCTTACTCGTGAAGACCACGCGGCATCCGCGAAGTATCACAGATCCGATCCCTATGTGCTCCGAAGCTCCGCTGCTCAAACGAATGATTCCATCGAATGATGAAGTGTTGGCGTTTTCGTTCTCGCAGAAGATAAGAGGTGACTCGTTGAGGAATTCTGGGATCGATAGACTGGCAGATACTTGAAGTGGTAAGCGATTCTTAATGTCCGTTTCTCCGTCAATGTTTGTGGTTGTGATAAAGCAGGGATCAGAACTATTACAGGTATTTGTTGATAGGATCACAAGGTCGCAAGGAACGTCTTCGTTTTTAAATACTTTGATGATGTCTCCTGCCTACATTACAGAATGCGAATTAAACTACAAGCACATCTTTCCACTGTCTTTCTTCCCATTTGCTATTCTCTCTGCTCCACACCATCACTGGGCGACTGTTACACTCCCTGTCACTTTTTCTGCGCTTTGCCTCCACAATCCCCATGTGGACGGCCTCTGCGCCGATAATTGTTAGCAGAGACGGAAGACTGCTCGGTAATCCATTTGTCAGCGAAATCGAAGGAATACATTGCAAGATGGACACGATCAAGAAGAAAACATTTGCTAATTTGTGCTTTGGGTTGAATACATCCCATAAATAGAGAGGAACCACGTTCAACCAGTTATACCTTGTAGTTGTGACTTCATTGGTTCCATATTGCAAATTCTCCAGAGTCTTTCCGCAATACACCTACTATCTAAGCCAGAATGGGGGAAATTACCTTCTTCGGGTAATTATAGGGTGTTGTAGTTTCTTGAGTTACAGATCTATCTTGTTGTAACATGCCAAGTATAGGTCGATAGAAAAAGCAGTAGGGGATCCATTCGAGCGAAGAAATATCCTTTATTTCTCGTTGACTGGGATTCACCCATCGATTGTGCGTGTTCAACAAACAGCTAATCTCCTTAAACGATTGCTACCCTTCTTCACATCCTTCTTGTTCAAACTCCGATACTTTGCGACGATCCGATCAATATCATTTGGAGAGAGCGCTTCTGCCTCCACCAGGCAGAAAGGACAAATAAACTACACATCACGCGACGATTCCGGGCCAACATCCTTCACATCAGCCGATCGCAGACATGACACATGAAAACCGCGCGGACATCGAGAGCAAAACATCAGATCGCCCGGAGAAGAACAGATCGTGCAGATATCGTCCTTGAAACTAGCGTCCATATGGTAGAACAGGTCAACGACGTCGGTAGATCGCACATACGGGAAGTAATTGTGCTTTGGTTCATCCTTCGCCACACAACCTACATGGACTAACGGCATTTTATCCGTGTTCTCTTCGAGACGCTTCCGATCTTCCGGACTATACCGAGTGATCGGGTTTTGAGGGGGATGGTCCATTAACTAGAAATGAGGATGTCCAGAAATCCGGACTTCTTGGTATGCCAGATCTAAATCGTAGTTCTTCTCGGCGATCATATCATAGACTGCTTCTAACGCATCGGCAGGGAAAAGCCCGACAAAGGCATCCAAATCTGCGTCTGAAAGTTTTGTGGGATCCCAAATTTTCTCGTAGGAGGTGTGGATTTGTCGAGTTTGCTGCGCCACGGAAGAGTCAAAAAAAGAAACGTTGGCTTGGTGGCGATCTCCAACCCTTGCTTGATGATGAGGATAGCTTTCTTCTTCGGAATCGACGGACGCGGGCTCCACATGAGGTATCTTTGGAGGCTTTGTTTTTGCAGGTTTATCTGGATTGCGTTTTGCTGATGGAGCAGACGATTGCGATTCCGTTTCGCCTTCATCTGATTTGTTACTGCTCGTCTTCTCGGTAGAGAAGAGAATGGCGGGGTGGTTCGATTTGATGTTCAGTTTGGTGGGGGTCAAAGAATTGGGATTGATGGAATTGATCGAGTTGTTTGAATTGGCATTGGCATTGGTATTGGCATTGGCATTAGCATTAGCATTGGTATGGGCTTTGGTGGGTGATAAGGTGTTTGTATTTGTATGAGTATTCGTATTGAGAGTATTGTTATTCGATTTCTTAATTGTATTGATAATGGGATTTGGAATTGTAATCTTAATTGTATTCGGTGCAGCACTTGTAGTGGTAGCAGTTGCTGTTGCTTTTATTGTTGCGTTTGATTCAGTAACCTTTCCAGTAGTTAATTCACTGATCGATTCATCATCCATTTCATTGATCGATTCATCATCCGATTCATTGATCGATTCAATGTATGACTCAGTGCTCGATTCAGTATTCGATTCAGAACTCGATTCAATGATCATGTCACTATTCTTTTCACTATTTGATTCAGTGTTTGATTCAGTATTCGATTCCGTATTCGATTCCGTATTCGAATTTATCTTAACACCCACATCTGTTTCCGCATTTGATTCATTCGTTTGTTCATCTTTTGACTCCGTCGGATTTTCGTCCTTTTTCGGCGATTGATTCCTCAACATTTGAGGACTCGACAATCCAAATCCTTTCCACAGCAGTTTCTCCGATTCTGCTATTCATTAAAACAAAAGAGAATTCCATTACAAATCGGCTTGAGGAAGTAGCCGCCCTCTTCATCAAATACAATCCACTCGTTTTGGATGTACAGCAAGGAATGGCCTTCGTGTATTTCTTTAATGGTGGTTTTGAGAAAGGAAGCCAATTCAGTGAGAGCGGAGAAGAATCCCACGAGAACATCTTTTAGGCTTTGTGAATTGGAGGAAAAAACGTCTGAAGACAGCTCGTCTATTGATTTCTCACAAAACTGAAGCTAATGATGAGAAGTGTGGAGGGAAATAACGTTTGCAGAGAACTGACTGAGCTCTTCATACTTTCTCTTGTCCAGAATGATGGTAACATTTTCTAATCACAACATTACCAAAAAACAAACCTAGAGACGACTGGTTGTGGTCAGGTGCATCACTTTGCGGTAGATTATCGCTGATCTCTTTAAATCACAACATAACATCATAAAAACTGGAATCGATAGTAATACCGTAGTAATTGGAAATTTGAATAACTAAATCTAAAGCATGTTTGATTTTGTGGGATAGAGAGAATATACTGTCTGTATGTAGCTGCTTTGAAAAAGCCAAGATTGCAACTACATATCTGGTCATATTGAATATAATATTGCCTAGAAACGGATCCTATACCCTCATAAGATGAAGAAACCAAAAACCTCGTTTGGATTGTCACCACATAGTCTAATAATCATCTCTTGTAATTTCCATGTATTTATTTTCTTGTCTGCGTTCTCCAGAATCTATATCAGAAGAATCAGGGAACTCTTACGTTTAATAGACTATTGTAACTTTGGTGGACATATCCCTGTTGTGCTATAGCCATTACAATTACAAGGAAAAAAACTCTGTAGACTGGTCATAATAGCCAAATCCCCGTTATTGAAATATGCAAAGCTTATACTGTGTGTAGATCAAAGTTTGGTAATCTAGTGAGCGATGGGTGCACAAAAAGTGAAATACATATTTAGAATAATTGGGACGTGGATGCCTTAAACATATTCTGAAATTGGGTATTGGTACCAATCAAATTAGAACGGATTAATGTTATCTTCACCAAAGGAAGATTCGTAAATTAATAAGCTCGTGTATCTTAGTTATTGATTAGCCATTAATTATAGGCTGGTTTTGTGATGAATAAAGTGCCGTTGGGTAATTCTATATTGCGATATTTTAACATGTTCTAGAAGAGTCTTGTGTAGACAGGGTGGAGAATAGATCATCTGAGACTCTCAACTGTGAAAAAGCGAAATCTTACTTTGTTCTTGAAGTTCGAAATATTCCTGGCGGCACAAGCAAAGAAAAGATTGAAGAATTCTTTTCAGCGATAGCACCAGTTTCCGGGGTTATCATTGAGCCATGTGCCAACTCAGATAGTTGTTTGCGCTTCTTTTTATATTTTCATATGAAGGTATCTGTTATCTATTTATTGACAATGCTACTGTTGCCTATACTATTATTGATACCTGTAATAGCAAAATTCCTTTTGAAAATGTATGTCGTGCTGTCGCTCCACCATTCCTAGAGTGCTAAAAACCTTGTTGTGAGCTTTTCAGACTTCTTTCACTCCAGTCCTACGAAGAATAACACTCTCAACGCTGCTGATGTCTCAAGTCCGGGGTCCTACAAGGATAGTTCTCCTATCCCTACATTATCTCAGTACCCTGTGTGGTAAGTCCTTTCTTCCTCCTCCTCTTTTCTCACGCCCAGTGGATATAATACATCCCCCTCTTGTTTGTCTTTTACCTCATCGCTCTCCACCCTCCCCACTTCCCAACCCTCCCATTCCATCTCTTCCTCCGTCGCTCCTATCGCTTCTATCGCTCCTGTCGCTCCTGTCGCTCCTGTCGCTTCTGTCGCTTCAGCTGCATCAGCTGCATCAGCCGCTCCTGTCGCCCCAATCGCTTCAGCCGCTTCAGCCGCTTCAGCTGCATCAGTCGCCTCGGTCGCGGAGTGCCAAGAAGAGCCTCCCGAGCAGCTCCATCTAAGCCAGATTCCCTCGACCGACTCTCTGGACGCGCCCTACTTCTCGCAGGTGTCTCCGAGCGAGCAGTGGGATCTCGACGTGATGACGGGGTCGGACAAGGTGAGCGGAGCGTTCCAGGAAGGCCCGGAAGGCGCGAATCTGTTCGTGTACCATCTCCCGCACGAGATGGCGGACTCCGATCTGACCACGCTGTTCGTTCCGTACGGGACGATTCTGAGTGCGAAGGTGTACGTGGATAAACAGACCGGAGAGAGCAAGGGGTTCGGGTTCGTGAGCTTCAACTCGTTCGAGGCGGCGCAGGAAGCGATTCGACATATGAATGGGTTTCAGATCGACTCGAAGCGGCTGAAAGTGCAGGTGAAGAAGAAGAGGGTGGGGGAGGGGAGAGGGGATGAGGAATAGAGCGAGCCGATGTTTGAATGAGGAAGAGAACGGAATGCGAGTGATTCGGATGGGATGGATGGATTGATAGATGATGGATTGATGATGATGATGATTCGTCTTGGATCAGACTTATGGATAATTCTTTACCTATTTATTTGTTTCCTCTTTATTACTATTTCCTCTTTGTCTATTTGTCTATTTGTCTATTTGTCTATATGTTCATTTGGACGTGCTTGTTTTAATACGCAAATGCCAGGGTTGGGTAATTACCGGGTGTTTGTTTTTCACATTCTTTTTCATGGAGCCGCAGGAGTGGGAAACGAGCAAGGAAAATGTTCTCCCGCTCAGGCAGGGACGCTCTGCGAACACACTCAACCAAGCATTGCAAAATGGAACACCTCAGAGGAATCCGATCGTTGAGAAGAAAATCAGGTTCGACAGAGCATAACAGGTCAAATGTAGTGAATTTGAGCAGAACATTCTCGATTATCTGGGAAGTGACCCCATTTCACCCTGGATTACGTAGAGAGACTCCTTTTTAATTTTACTGTAGATATATTAAATGGATGAAGGAAAATAACCCAACGGACGCCACGGCCTCGATTCGAGTCATGGAACGGTGTTTGCAGAAATTTACCGATTGCCCTCTCTACCTTCAGGACGCCCGCTTCCTCCAAATCTGGATTTTGTACATTAACACACAAGACTATCAAAACGGCAAGCAGACCTTTGCCTACATGCGATCCCATAAAATCGGAACAAATCTCGCGCTTTTCTATTTAGCGGAATCCCTTCTCCACGAAGAGAACAGCGATTTCGAAACTACCGAGCATCTTTACCAAGAAGGCATCACCAAGTGCTTTTTCCTCCCCTCCCATCTAATCGTTAGCTGTGCCCAGCCCCTCGACGTGCTAAAGCGGAATCAGCATCAATTCCACCGCCGAATGCGTCGAAAGTGCATCAATCTCTGCAAAGAGCAGCGTGAACGTGGCCAGCTGCCCGACCCTCTGCTCTCCCCGGTGGAGAGCGACGGGCTGACGATGGCTGCGATCCGCCGACTGGAGCAGATCGAGAAACAGAGCAAGCAAACGCCGTCGAACCGGAATTTCGGAGTGTTGCAGGAAGTGCGCGCAGATGGGAACGGAGCCGTGTTAGCTCCCTCCCAAGGACTGAGCGGGGTGTCGGCGATGCCGACGGCGCAGCCGGCGTTTTCGATTTTGCGCGATGAAGAAGCGGAGGAAAGAGAGACGACGAACAATGTGCCGTGGACGAGGATGGACGCGTTCGCGGCGCAGTCGAAGGAGAATGAGCGTTGGTTGAGGTGGCGGGCGGTGAAGTGAAGGCGTGTCGGAGAGGTGGAATGATGTGCGGTTGAGACAGAAGCCGGGATCGGTGAAAAAGCGTCCATTGCCGTTTGTGGTGTATAACGAGGTATGCAAAAACCGCTTTTATTTTTATAAAAATAGGCCAGTGAAGAGAAGAACGGTAACGCAGATCGTCTGCTCGCCAAAGAAACAAAGTAAACACGCGCCACGCTGCTTTATTGTAGATGCCCCTTCGCTTTCCAGCGCTCTCTCTTTCTGAAGGGGCCTCGCATCGGAGACGAGCTTTCCTTCGAGGAGTTCCGCGCGTCTTTTTACTCCGTTATCCCCGCGGAACCCGCCGCACGCCCAGAAACCTTCCAAACCCCGCTGAAAGCGTTTCCCCGCGGGGCGGAGGATTCCAAAAATCGGGCCGAATCGGAATCGACGCCAAGAATGCGGCGATTGGTGAGTGACGACATGACCGTCAACACGCGCGGCGTTCTGAACGAAATGTCGGATATTTTTGGAAAGTACAAAATCGGGGGTATTTTTCATGCAGCAAGGATTGGTCGAGTAAGCACGAAATCAAGCCGATTTTTGACATTTTGTCAACGGTGAAGAAGTCGCAGAAGCGACCGGAGAAGGAGGTTTCGTTTCCGATTTACCAGCCTGAGAATGCGAGTGAGGACGAGATGGATAAGGAGAACCAGCCGATTCGGGTAGAGCGAAGTAATGATGGGCTGCATGGTGATGGCGATGGGAGAGAGGAGAAACGAAGAGCAGTTGTGGAGGATATTGAGATGGACGAAACGGGAAGCATAACGAGGCGTGACTCCATCAAGATCCAGCAATTACTGTCGCAATCGCAGAGCGGGCGATCGTCGATCGCAACGAATCAAATTAGCGATATAGATGAGTCAGTGCCGTTTATGAATGGGTCTAGAGATACGGCGGATGAAGGAATCTTGATGGGGATAACGGATTTGTATAATAAATATTGGAGTGTTTGTTGGAAACAGAAGGGTGGAAGGGAATGGAGGAGAGGATTCGAGTGGTGGGATGAATAGATTGGAAAGGGAGGGCAAATAAAAGGTTTGCGTTTGTGTGAATTCTATTGATGTTTGGCTCGGGAAGGAATGTTGATGGGTCGTTTGGATCGACTATCGATGTAGAAGAACTCCTTGAAATACCCAAGAGCCAGCTATGGTTCAAAAAGCAGCGAGTATCAATGATCGATCAACAGATTCAACGCATTCAATTAAAGATCAATGCCTTGAATCATTGAATCATTGAATCATTGAATCATTGAATCATTGATCAGTGCATTCTTTATTGATCAGTGCATTCATTGATTCATTCATTGATTTATTGATCCATTCATTGATTCATCGATTCATTCATCGATTCATTCATCGATTCATCCATCCTTTTCCTCTATTCCGTTTCAAACAAACACTCCACGCAGCAACATACGGATTCGTCGGCGATTCCTTCCCCGACTTCGCTCCCTGCTCCGGATATCTCTCCTTAAACACCCTCCACAGCACTCCCAGACACTCCTCCGCCTCCTCTTTCTTCCTCCCCACCAATCCTTCCAGCTCTTCTCTCCACTCCGGACTATTCCTCACTCCTCTCTCTCTCTCTCACCTCACACCCGCAGCGCGCCGCGTCGCTGCGATGATCGCAACCAACTGAATCGACGGCGAAAACGTCGAAAACGACGGCGAAGCCACCGACAGACACAGAAAGAAGTGGAGAAACTCGGTCACATAGCGACGCGTCGAGTCACGGATCTTATTCCCGCGGTAAGAGTCACCTTGGAATAATATTCCGATCGATTCGAAGAGTTCGGTGTAATGAGCGACAGTGATGGCACCGAAGTCCCAGCGAAGGCTGGGGAGGAGAGAGAATAGAAGGAATACGCTTTGATGATGGATTGTTCGTAAAGAATCATTTCTTTCATGTCCTTAAAGAGGGATGTCGAGTGCTCGCAGAAATAGGAAAAGGGAGGCGTGTTAATTTCCTTTTCTTCGTATTTAGCTAGGGTAGAGAGGGAGGCAGAAGCGTACAAGCTAGTAAGAGACACATTAATCCCACTTTGCCTTGGGATTTCACGTCTGACGGGAATTCGTGCGAAATCCGGTCAAAGTAACTGCATTACAAGTTAACAAAGCGACTACTTCATGGCAGTGAAACAGGTTGTGGAGTGAAGACTAAACCGTTCCGTTATTTCTTGCATGTAGCTCAGAACGGATTCACGTTTGCGCAACTCTTTTTCACCTGATGAAGGTGGAGCTTCTTCCATTTGATTCACGAGCTATATCCCTACGCGTCTTTTCTTTCGATTGCATCACATGAAATTGCTTAAGCAGATCCACTCCAGCTTTCTTATTAAGAGCATCCTACCCACTGAAAACGGATCAAAACCTCCTACAATATCTGTTAATAACCCTTTGATCATAGGAAATCTTCTTTCACAGATATGAGGGGAAACAGTTCCCAAAATAGGCAGATAGGTTTATAGTAACTTCTTAGGACTCTTGGAAGTAAAAAACTTCTTTAATCACTTAGTAGATACAAAGAGTGATTCAAAAACCGAATGAAACTCCCATTCCCGCCAATCCTTCACTTGGAGATAATCACGTTTTCGGAATCAGGAGATGTGCTTTGGAAAGGAGACGTTTCCAACCATGTTTTGGGTTGGTTTCTATCCTGGAATTATGCAAGTGGAGTGAACTTTATGAGGATGAGGATGAGGATAGTGTGCTGTCGAAAAATGATAAACTCGTGTTTTATACATTGTTGGTGACGAATCGTTAGAGTTTGCTGTACAATTCCTGTGGAAGCAAAACATTGTAAGAGAATTACAGAGTAAGCAATCTAATCTAAAACGGAATAGTAGATTATCTGAAGTAAAACCAAATTATCGAACTTGTAAAAATAGAACGAATTTAGCTATGAATCCAGCCATCTTCAGGTGTCTACAAGAATCGATAACTTTAGGAGTGATGTGAAACTACAATTACGGAGAACATTGCCTAACACTCCATATTATGCCATGAAAACACTTGTTTCCTCCTATTCTACATTTTTCTTCACTAATAAAGTAGCCAACCCACCAACAGAAACAGTTCAAGAAAAACAAACAAAAGACGTTCTCTAGCCAAGAAATGAGAACATCCACGAACCTAGAACAGTTTTTCATCTACAAACTTGCTGCCTTCATACGAAACGTCAATTATAGCAGACCTAATCATTTGTTTGTAAGCTTTACGACTCTGTTATCCAATTCAAGCAGAATAAAAAGTGATACATATACAATTGCGTCCAAACAATTGGCTTTTCACTTCCCCCGGTTTCCCTGTTTCTCCGTTCTAGAAAATTCGACATGGCTCGTTGTTGTTTCTTAAACTATTTGTATACATTACTTGAAAACAGTACGAATTATTTTCTCTCTCCTCACCGAGTAGAATGCAACGTGTTGCTAGCAGAGGTTCGACCCTTATCAGAAGATGTTTTGCTACCGGAAAGGAACTCAAGTTCGGAGTGGAGGTGCGTATTCCAATGAATTTCCTAACGCGTAGGCTCGTAACGCCATGCTTCGCGGAGTGAATGCTCTTTCCGATGCCGTGGAGACGACTCTGGGACCGAAGGGTCGCAACGTCATTATTGATCAGCCCTACGGTGCTCCCAAGATCACGAAGGACGGAGTGACTGTTGCCAAGTCGATCGAGTTCGAAGACCGTTTCGAGAACATGGGTGCTCAGCTGGTTCGTCAGGTGGCGAACAAGGCCAACGAGGCTGCTGGAGACGGAACGACGACCGCTACGGTGCTTGCCCGTGCGATCTACGCGGAGGGCTGCAAGTCGGTGGCTGCGGGTCTGAACCCGATGGATCTGCGCCGCGGCGTGAACATGGCCGTGGACGCGGTGGTGGAGGAGCTGCGTAAGATGACGAAGAACGTGAGCTCGAACGAGGAGATCATGCAAGTGGCCACGATCTCGGCGAACAATGACCAAACGATCGGCAAGCTGATCGCCACCGCGATGGAGAAGGTGGGCAAGGACGGCGTGATCACGGTCCAGGACGGCAAGACGCTGTCGGACGAGCTGGAAGTGGTGGAGGGCATGAAGTTCGATCGCGGCTTCATCTCGCCGTACTTCATGACGGACACGAAGACGATGAAGACGGAGATGGAGGACCCGGCGATCCTCCTCTACGACAGCAAGATCTCCACGGTGCAGTCGCTGCTGCCCATTCTGGAGAACATTGCGCGCGAGGGTCGCTCGCTGGTGATCATCGCGGAGGACGTGGACGGCGAGGCGCTCTCCACGCTGATCCTCAACAAGCTGCGCGGCGGACTGAAGGTCTGCGCGGTCAAGGCGCCGGGCTTCGGCGACAACCGCAAGAACACGCTGGCCGATCTGGCGGTGCTGACGGGCGCCACGCTGATCTCGCAGGAGACGGGCCAGAAGCTGGAGTCGGCGACGATGGACATGCTGGGCTCGGCGAAGAAGATCACGATCACCAAGGACGACACGGTGATTCTGAACGGCCAGGGCGCGCCGGAGGCGATCGCGGCTCGCTGCGAGAACATCCGCTCGCTGATCTCCACGACGCAGTCGACCTACGAGAAGGAGAAGTTGGAGGAGCGTCTGGCGAAGCTGAGCGGCGGCGTGGCCGTGATCAAGGTGGGCGGCGCCTCCGAGGTGGAGGTGGGCGAGAAGAAGGACCGCATTGAGGACGCTCTGAACGCGACCCGCGCGGCCGTGGCGGAGGGAATCGTCGTGGGCGGCGGCGCGGCGCTGCTGTACGCGTCGAAGGCGCTGGAGGGCCTGAAGAGCAAGGCGGCGAACTTCGATCAGAAGATCGGCGTGGACATCATCGAGAAGGCGATCCGCGTGCCGTGCGCGACCATCGCGAAGAACGCCGGCGTGGAGGGCGCGGTGGTGGTGAACACGCTGCTGAGCGGCAACGACAAGGAGATGGGCTACAACGCCTTCACCGGCGAGTACACCAACATGTTCAGCGCGGGCGTGGTGGATCCCACGAAGGTCATTCGCACGGCGCTGGTCAATGCGGCGGGCGTGTCGTCGCTGATGACCACCACCGAGTGCATGATCGCGGATCTCCCCGCCAAGGAGCCTGCGATGCCGGCGATGCCCCAGGGAATGGGAGGCATGTACTAAGGGAGCGAAGGAGCGAGGGAACGAGAGTGTGTTATTTTAAGCGGGTGATTGCGGTTATTACACGTTGTTTGTTCAACACACAGAGCAAAAACTAGCAGAATTGGAAGAAGAAGAAGCGGGAGCAGGCGTCGCTCCCTGCGATTCGCTGGTCGATAGCGCGCCCGATCCCATCGCTTCGGACGCTCCTGCCGGCTCTGAAGTCCCCGCTGGGCCCGTCGAAGGAGCGGGCTGCGGCTGCTGAGAAGCGGCTGCGGGGGTGCTGGACTGCATCGCGACCACCTCCGGATACACTTTCTAACAGGAACGAATCGCCGCTCGCGGCCTACCTGATTGCGGATCCAAAGACCGCCTCGGACGGGCTTGGTGGTCTGCCAGGGCTGCAGGAAGGAGATCGTGGCGCTGCCGCCCTCCACGTCGATCCGCTGCACTCCGAAAAACCCCTTTAAAGCGACGGCCACGTCGTCCTGCGTGGCTCCCGCGGGCAGCTGCGCGATGCGGATGCTCCGCGGACGATTATCGATCTCGTACATCGCCGCGCGGCGCTTCTTCGAGAACCCAGACGCGCCCGCGAAGGGCCGTTTCGAGCGATTGAGCTGGCGGTACTGCTTCTCGAAGATGGAATACAGCCGCGACGTCACCGCGGTTTTCAGCTCGGCAAACAGCTCCGAGTCCTCGAAGAGCTGGAACACGGCGGACAGCAGCCGCTTCACTTCGCTCTCCGGCCCTTCGCTGCCCTCCTCCTTGATCCCCGACGTCTTCAGCAGCTCGTACAGCGCTCCCGCCTCCTGATAAAGCGGCTCCAGCAGCTGGCTCAGACTCGTCCGCAGCTTGGGCAGCTCCGCCGGCGCGATCGTCTGCGCCAGCAGCGCGTATTTCTGCAGCAGCTCCAGACGCTTCTGAATGCTGGACCGGATCACCGCGATCTCCTCCTGCTGCAAGTGCTGCCGCGTCGCCACCAGCTTCATCGCCGACTCCGAAGACTCCGAAGGCTCGGAGAGCTCTGAAGGCTTCGAAGAATTCGAAGGATCTGAGGAAGACGCGCCCGGTTTCGATGAAACGCCTGCACCGGATGAAACGCCCGGAGAGGAGGCGCGGGAGGGGTTCGGTTTCCCCTTTTCTCCGCGCTTCCGCGGGAGTTTTTCGAAGGTGGCGGGGTCGTTCGGGTTGTACAGTGGTTCCACGATTACGAAGCGGTTCTTGAACACGGCAGAATGTGACCGCAGGGCGGCGTAGGCGGCTTTGGAGTGCTCGAATTGGACCACGGCGGAGTGTTGAGCCTCGTCGAGAGTGATGTTGGTGATGTCGCCGTAGTATTGGAAGTGTTTCGCGAGGGAGGCGATGCGGAGATTTCCCGCGGGGATGTTTTTGACTTGGACGCAGCGGAAGGGGGTTTTGTTCACTAGATGAGGGGCAGAGAAGAGGGGTACTGGAGAGGAAACGGAAATTGAGTTCGGCTTTTTGGAGGGGAGTCGTCTGCGGAGAAGCGAGCAGCGAGAAAATGCGCATCGACTCTTTGATGTAGGCCTCAGTTCGCATCATGCGTCGAGGACGTTTTCGGGATTTTCTAAAGGTTATGGATTAGAAAGAAGAAGAACGGAGGGTGGACTCGCGGTGTTTCCTAAGATTAAGAGGAACAACAAAAAATACTTGTGGTTGCTCTACTTCTTTGACTGGTTCTTCCTTTGTTTTTTCTAAATCACCATTATCTTCTGAAACGTTCGACCCCTCCTCCTCCTCTTCCTCCAATGACTTTTCTTCTTCCTCTTCTTCTTCTTCTTCTTCTTTTGCACTTTCTGATTCGCCCTCTGTAGCTCGGGCTTCATGTGTATTTAGAGAGTGCAAGTAATCAAACAAGGCATCAATGATTCGGTCCGTATCTAGTTCCTTATGAATCCGCATAGTCTGTACCTTCTGCTAAAAATATACGCATTAGGTCTTTGATACTTGACCTGCTTGCTTCATTATCCTCGTATGACTGAGTGAGAACAAGCATCAGATAAACAAAAACAGCCTCAACATCTACTTCCTCTCTACTGTTGACACATTCCCAACTCACCTCACTTGACAGTCCCAAGTAACCTCCGGATTTCATTCTCTACGGACTGCTTAATAGCGGGATCACTTAAGCAGTTCATTTGTTGTGTAGGTAAATACTGCAAAAACGTGAACCAAGGAATTCCAAAATTTTAGCCGATTTCGCCAGTGTGTACAAAAAGAAATCCCGCAGCTTTATCACTTCTCCGTTTTGATTCAACATCTTCTGTAACCAGCTGCTAGCATTGCTGCATTGTTGACTGTGGTTTTTCTGTCAAGGCAACATGGATAATGATAAAAACGGGACTCTTGTAATTTTTTGTGTAACATCTCATATTTAGAATAAGATATCGTTGTTGTTACAAAAATTGCAGCAGGAATTTGAACAATCACTGTATAAGCACGGTATGGTTTTGAATTGTAGAACACCCGAACAACGGCAATTTATCATCGACGCGGGTGGTGATCTTTCTGTATTCTTGTCTCGTGACTTGTGAAATCTAGCCTGTCAATCCCTCTCCGCATAGTGTCGATGACCAAGACGAGTTCATCGAAGACCATCCAACTCCTCCGGAAGAAGAAAACAGCGTTGATACCACGGTTGTTATTGATGATCCGTCTCCAAGGCCCCAAACATCACCACACACTTTCTTTTCACAAAACGACCCATCCACTCTCTCTCGAAAGCGATCCTCTCCTCGTTCTCCCATTCCATATCATCATCATCTCATCCAGCAAGCCAAAGTTCGTTTTTCTTTTCTTTTTTTATTATTCATCCAGGTGCCGCGTTATTCCTTCCCTGGCGATCTGGACGTGAAGCCGATCTCTCCTGGGAAGCTGGAGGAGCTGCTCGACGACGCGCGCTCTCAGTTTTTGTTTGTTTGTTTGTTTGATGCACAGTCCCTTGAAAACAATCGTACTCACATCCTCGGTTCGTTCCCAAAACGACGCGTTGACGTCTCCCGTTATCGAAAAGAACGAAATCGAAAGCGAAACAACAACGAATCTGAACGAAATCGAGCCGATTGCAACCCCCGAAAAGGACAGTTTCGCATCGTTTTTGTCCCAAAACGGGTTGCAAGACGCCTCGCTAACCGAGGAGGAAACGAGGGATCTGCAGAAGTTATCGGCGCGATCGCGGCAGCGTCATTTGAAGAATTTGCACATACTGAATGAAGATAGTTTGATCGATGAGGAGCTGAGCGAATCGGTGGCTCACGTCGATTATTTTAGTGAAAGTGTGGACGAAGAAGACGAGGGAGCGGAGGGAGCATATCATCCGGATGAATCGTTCTATCGCGAAGCGTTGCGGCAAGAGCCGCTGCCGTTGGAGCCTGTGGAGCCATTGCAGCCGAGGGGTTCGTTGTCTCCGGAGAAGGAAGAAGTGTCGAGCGTGGAACAAACGATCGAATCGGACGGAATTCCGTTCCTGGAAGACTCGATTGGATAATAGAAAAGGAGAGAAGGAGTCAATGAATCATGGCCTAAAATAGTAATGTCACATAAATAAATAAATGAATGAATGAATAAATGAATCTACGTATTGATGAAAGACTCAATCGATCAATGAATAATTTGCTATCGTTTTGTTTGTTAAAAAAGAGGATAAATCAACTATTCACTGTCCTGAACGTGGATAATCTCCGCTGGAATCTCCGGGCTCTGCACCGCTTCCTCTGTTTTGTCTTCCTGTACCGAACCCGCCGATTCCGACTCGCCCGACTGCGACGGCTCCACAAAAACCTCGCTTGCAGCGACGTTCTCCTTCTCTTTCTCGTCCACTACAGCGATCGCTTCGCCCTCTTTGGATTCGTTCGACTCATTGGATTCATTGGACTCGTTGGATTCATTGGATTCATTCGACTCATTGGATTCATTGGGTTCATTGGATTCATTGGGTTCATTGGATTCATTTACTTCATTGGATTCATTTACTTCATTCGGCTCATTCGACTCATTCAATTCATTCGATTCATTGGACTTTTCTTCAACGATCGGCACTTCGATCGCTTCGTTTGGATTCGTTTCCACCGACTCCTTCGATGAATCCACCGTTTCCTCACGCGGTTTCTCCATTTCTCCCGCTTGACTCTCCACTTCTCCACTCGGTTTCCCCGTTTCCCCACTCTGCGCCTCGGTCCTGCTGGCCGTTTGTTCATTCACGCGCTTGGTTTCGTTGGGAACTTCTCCCTTCTGCATTCGCTCCAAATCCACGCGGATCGTGGGACAATAGCTATCCAGCATCGTCATCGTCGCTTCCAGAGCGTTCTGCTCGCTCACTCGACTCATCGTATCGAATCGTTTCTCCACGATCATCACCAGCAGCAAGTTCTTCAGTCGCTCCGTCGTCGTTTCGCCCACGCCTCCGCCTTGCGACACGAACTTGCACAGCACGTCGATCACGCGAAGCCAGAACGAAGAAAACCCGGGCTGCAACGCGAGCGTTTCGCTGCTAGCGAGCAGCGTCGAGATGAACACACCGATGATATACCCCTTTTCGCGGTCGCTGGTTCCGTAGTGGAGCATTAGCGGCATCATAACCGAATCGAAGCATTTCAGCAGAGCCATTCCGGAGGGAACCGAGTTGCCTTGGCGAAGCAGACAGCGTTGAAGGCGATCGATCGCGGACTCGGCGAGCTCGGGGCCCATCGCGATGCTGCCGTCCGCGAAGGAGCGCAGCATGTTGATGCTCTGGAGCCAGCATTGATCGAGCGAAGGCACGTTCTCGATGCCGGTGAGCTCCGCGTGGGAAGGAGGCTCGGGAGCCGTTGCGAGATACGTTGTGAGGGCGTAGCTGTGTGTGAGAAAAAGAGTAAAAGAAAGAAAGAAGTACAGGAACTCGATGACTTGATGCGCCCACTGCGGATCGCGATAACCGTCGACTAGACGTAAAGGGGAAACAGAGAAGAAGCGCACTGGTCTGCAGACAGCATTTGAGAATCGGCACGAAGTTGATCGTGGAGATCTTCTTCTCCTGCAGCAGCTGGCACAGCGTTTGCCACACCAGCGGCCGCGCCAGGTCGTTCCGCGCGTCTTTAAGCAGCAAATCGAAGAGACTGGTCCAGCGCGACGGTGAGCGAAGCGCGGGGTCCAACGCGGGGAGAAGGAAGCGAACGCCGGTCACGCGGCGCGTGGAGATGCAGGGATGGGGCGGAATGGGCTCGAGAAGGGAGAGAAGCGCGAAGGCCTGCTCGCGAAGCTGCGGCTTGCTGATGATGATGGAGGTGAGGTTGATGATTTCGACGACGAGACGCTCCAGAACGTATTGGAAGTCCATCTCGACGGCGGTGCCGCGCACGCGCTCGAAGAAGGAGACGACGAGTCCCCAGACGAGCCCGATTCGGTCGGTGTTCTTGCTGAGGAGCAGCACGAGCCAGTGGAGCTTGGTCTGGTACATGGAGACGAGGCGGCCGGGCGATTGGTGGCCGGAGGAGATGCGAAGCGCGTGGTCCGTGGAGAGAAGCGACTTGAAGAGAACCATCCAGCTGTTGACGTGGATGCGGTTGCTCCGCGTGAAGAGCTCCTCGACGCCGCACTCCTGGATCACGTCGGACACGCGGGACTGGAGGTCTTCAGTGAATCCTCGCTCGCCCTCCCCGCCGAAGAGCGAGCTCAGCGTGGTCCAGAGCCCGCGCTCCTCGCTGCGGTGCGCCTCCAGCGAGGCGTGGCAGGACGGGAACGGCGTGTTGTCGGGGGAGGTGATGTCGAGGAGCGTGGGGGAGGGCGGGAGCAGGCAGCGCGCGTCCAGCCAGAAGAGGAAGTCGACGACTTCCTTCCATTCCTGGAGTGGAGAGAGAGAACAAGGAAGACTTTCTCGAGGAAGGTGCTGTACTGCGAGACCGACTGGAGAAGCAGACGCAGCGAGTTGAGACATTTCCAGACACGAATGTCGTTCTGGAGATCGCCTTCGAGCGGAGAGAGCGGCTGCTGCGAGGAGGAGGAGCGCAGCGAGCTGGCGGCCTCGAAAAGCGACGGCGTGACGGAGCAGAGATAGGAAATCGCCGAGGCGAACTGCGCGCGGAGATTGAAGAAATGGGCGATGTGCAGATAGTCGCGCATCGCGATCACCGCTTTCTGGAGAAGCTGCTCGTCCTCGCTTGTCACCCAGATCATCTACGCCTCAGAACGGAGAAACGGGGAAACCTTCATCGCGGTAAACACCTTCTCTTCGATCAGCGTGAACATTTCTTTCTCGCAGTCCCCCGCGTTCCCGGCCTCTTCTACACTCAAACCCCGATCGCTCCCCCACCGATCCCGCGGGAAAACGCGGCCTTGGTGACCTTGTTGGCTCGATAGGTGATGTCCTGCTCCCAGTGCGAGAGATCGAGACTGTCCGTGGACGAGGAGAGCAGCTTGATCTCCTGCGTTTTGATGCTATCATAGAGATATTGCAAATAGTCCGTAGGCAGGTCCTGGCCGTCGTTGATGCCCTTGTTGTTGCGGCAGAAGTCGCTGAAGGTCATGCGGTTCTTCACGCCCGGGTTATGGAGATCGGTGTTGAGCAGCAGGCAGGAGAAGAGAAGCGAGTAGAGCGCGTCTGCGGAGAGGAAGGGGCCCGGATTGACGTCGTAGACCACCTTGGAGAGATCGGCCATGATGCGATCGATGACTTGGGCTTCGCCCGGAATGCGGAACGTGCCTAAGAACTCGCGGAGAATCGTGTCGAGAGGGAGATCCGTGAACGAGAACGTGCGAATGAAGGAGCCGCGCAGCTTGGCGAGGAAGGGGTTTCGCTCCTCGCTGAACGACAAGGCTTCGCCGAGCACGGTCTTGTCGATCTCAACCGACTCGCGGAGCAGCTCGGCGATGGTCTGCACGTCGTCCTGCCCGGTAATGAGCCCTTCTTTCTGGGAGTGAGAGGAGGAGGAGAAGGGAGAGACGGTGAGGTAGGCAAGCCAGGCGTCCGATTTGAAGTTGGCGTTGAAGAGCTGGGAGAACTCGTGGAGGATCTTCTTCCGCTGCCGCTGCTTCAGCACTTTGGTGTGCGCACTACATCGAAAAAAGCACGCAAACCGACTGCTCCACGCGCGCGGAGTCGCTGCCCTCGGGCTCCTGGTTGATTCGGCATCGCTGCGCGATGGAGTGCAGGATCTTTTGTTCATCCGCGATTCCTGAAGCGTACAGTGATCAGCCCCTGGAAGGCAAGCGTGTGGATGCTGGTGAGCGGCTTCTTCTCGGGCGGCATGGCGTTGCGGTAGAGACAGTCGCAGAGACGCTCGAAGAGGTTGGTGCACTGCACGTCGCAGTCGTACTACGCGTCAGTCCGCTGCGCGAGGCCCACGTTCGTGTAGAGATCGATCATCACGGTGGGCTCTTGGCAGAAATCCAGGAGACTTTCCAGAGACACTTCTTTTGGGAGGAAGTCGTGCGACGTGGCGGGCTCTCTAGGGGTGAAGGCACCGCGGGGAAGGGACGTGTCGGCGAGGCGGATGTGGACGGAGGTGATGAAGACCTCCAGCTGGACTTTGAGGAAGGATTTGAGGGACTGGAAGAGGTTGAAGATGACGCGGAGCGTGAGAGAGAGCGTCTGGGTGTCTTCTGCGCGCGAGTTCTGGATCAAGTACTTGCAGAACACGCCTTGAAGAAGGGAAATGAGGGATTGGTGGGAGGCGAGAAGATCGCCGTTCATTTCGAGGAGCGTGTTGATCATCGACAATCCATAGTTGAGGCTCGCGATGTGCACGCTATTCGTCAGTCCGAAGCTCTAAACGCACTTCGTGGGGTCCGCCAATTGAATCAGAAACGAAAGGATTTGATGCAGCAGCGAGATATCGTACGGAATCAGCACTTCTTCCGCCTCTTCCGATTCCTCCGCTTCCTCCGTTTCCTCCTCCGCCGGCAATTCCGAGTCTTCGCCCGCTTCGGGGGTATTCGAAGAACTCCCGGGCAGTTTGATTTCGATCCGGTGGTTCTCCGGTTCCACGGTTTCCACCATTGCAGGAACCGGTTTCTCGGATTTCTCGGATTTCTCGGATTTCTCGGATTTCTCGGATTCCTCTTTTGCAAGTTCCGGTTTTGGCTCTTCTCCGTTTCCACTGTTTCCACTGTTTCCACTGTTTCCACCATTTTCATTGGAATCGGAGGGTTTTGAGGCATCCATTGTTCCGGATTGTGTTTCGACCGTTTCATCCTTCATTTCCACCGAATCATTCGAATTCGAATTCGAATTGGCTTCCGACAGTTTCACTTCGCTCATCACCGCGGTTTTCTCCTCCTTCGTCTCCGCGTCCGCCACGGGAACCACGGGAACCACGGGGATGGAGCCGAGGGAAACCGCGGGAATGGGGGAGGGGTTGGACCACCGCGGAGAAAACGAGGGCGAATCGAGGGAATAAACGACGGCTTTGGGAGACGGCGGCGCCTCCATGACGCAGTTGAAGGTCTCGGGGTGGCGAAGACGCGCGAAGAGCGTGAGGATGATGTGTGTGAGCGTGCTGGCGGCTGATTTCTGGAGTAGCTGGACATGAGAGATGGGATGATGGATGGACTGGTGTCACGCTCTTTTGGAAGGCCATGGCGTAGACGGTTTCGAAGAGGTGCCAGACGCGCTTTTTGGTGAGTAGAACGCCCGCATCGCAGCGAATGCAGGTGAGAATGATGTCGAGAAGGTTCTGGTAGACGGATTCTTCTGTGGTGGTGTACGTGCTTTCGAAGCGGCAGTTGCACAGAGAGTCTGCAATGTTGTTGATGACGGCGATGGCATCCTGGGACTATTGTAAAATGAAAACAGCAACGCGTACATCTTTCGTCACCAGACCATAAAGAAGGAATTTGTCAATGGAAGACAAGGCAACCGACGTGAGGTCGGCGCTACCAGTCAAGTTGTACAACAATGCATACGGTGTTTCCGGGTTTTCAATTAAATCAAGAAATGCACCAAAATAGTCCATAGGATTTAGACCATCGAGATCGGTATGAACACTGATTCGTTCATGGAGTGACTTAAACGTTCTCATTAGTGGTGTTTCAGACTATGGTTTCAAGTAACCCAATAAAAATAATACGACAATCGGTATCTCCTTGTAAAAGCGTTGGTTCGAGGTGTACCGAGTACTAAGCTTCATTTGCACCAGAACTGCATTTATTTCACCTGTAATGCAGTGGATGTAATTTGGACCTCGCATGCGCTCTCAGATTGAGAATACCGAAGAAAGACAGAAATCAGCCCGATTTCTGATTTGGGAGGGGTGGGAACCCACGAATTTGGTATCGAGGGCGTTTTCATAGTTTGAATAGTGACTTGTTGACATTATTCGGGGTATTCCAGAGCTGAAATCTATATTTCTGTAATGGAAGTCGAAGAAACGCCAGCGGCCACGGAAGTAAGCAAAACGCCAGAGTTGGATGCGGATCTTCCCAAGAAAGGAATCCCTCGACTAGTAATTGATAAGCTGGTGCTCGAAAATTTTAAATCGTATGCCGGGGTCAAGGTGGGTGTTGATTTGGAAATAAGGAAGGTGTAGGAGATCGGGCCGTTCCACAAGAATTTTACATCGATTGTGGGACCGAATGGAAGTGGGAAATCAAATGTAATTGATGCTATGCTTTTTGTATTTGGAAAGCGTGCTTCCAAGCTGAGATTGAAAAAGGTATTTAGTAGCTTGTTGTTTTTGATTGTTAGGTATCGGAGCTGATTCATAATAGTGCAAATCGCGCGCCTGCTTCCTTTGCCCGTGTCTCTGTTCACTTTTTAGATATAATTGACATTGATGACGACCAGTATAAATCCATTTTTTAAATTAGCGTAATATTTAGCTATGAGGTGGTTCCGAATTCCTTGGTGGTGGTGAGCCGCGTGGCCTACCAAAACAACACAAGCAAATACTTCATAAACAACAAAAGCAGCTCAGCGAGCGAAGTGACCTCGCTCCTCAAACAACGCGGCATCGATCTCGACAACAACCGCTTTCTGATTCTGCAGGGCGAAGTCGAGCAGATTTCCCTCATGAAGCCGAAAGTAGTTTCTTCACCCCTTTCCTCACGCCTAGCGAGCGAACGAGAGCGAAGAAGGCTTGCTGGAATACCTGGAAGACATCATCGGCACCGCGAAGTACGTTCCGCAGATCGAAGCCAAGGAGGTGGAGGTCGACAAGCTCAACGATTCCCGCGGTGAGGTGCTGAACCGCGTGAAAGTGGGGATTTGGCGGGAGCTCGAAGGCAGATCGTGGAGAAAGAGCGCGCGACGCTGGAGATCGGGAAGAAGGAAGCGGACTTGTATCTGCAGAAGGAGCGCGAGTTGGCTCGCGAGCAGTCGCTTCTCTACCAGTACTACTGCTACGAGAACGCGAAGGAGGAGCGCGAAGTGCGCCGCTCGATCGAATCCGCGACGTCGCGTCTGGAGGAGCTTCGCGTTTTTTTCTCTCTTTTTAAATCGATCATAGGCGTCTCTCGCCGCCTTTCTCGCGCAGCTAGCGCAGCTGGAGGCCGCGCAGCGGACGTGCCGCGGGGAGAGCGGGAAGCTGGGGGAGGAATTGGCGCGGTGCCGCGCGGAGTACGAGGCGTTCGAGCAGAAAGACATCCAATACCACGAGAATCTGAAGGCGCAGAAGGCCAATCTCCGCAGAATGCGCGACCGGCGCAAGCGGAACGTGGAAACCGTGGAAACGAAAAGTGCGGAACTGGAGAAACTGGAGGCGTCGCTGACGGAGATGCAGGGAAACGTGGAAACGGCGCAGGCGCGACGCGAAGCGTTGGAAGAAGAGCTGCAGAAGCTGCTGCAGGCGCATAAAAAAGAACTGGACGCGCTGAAGGAGAAGCGAAGCGAGGTGGAGGTAGAAACCGTGGAACCGGGTGAGAGGCAGGCCTCGATGCGGCCGCTGCAGGAAAGCGCGGCAAAGGCGAGCGCGGCGAAGCGCGAGAAGAAGACCGAGCTGGACACGTGGACCGCGCGGAAGGCCCGCGCGCAGGGCGAAGAAGCCGCGCTCCGCGAAGAACTCCGGAAGAACCGCGAGTCCGTGAGGCCTCGGAACATTGTCTCACGCCCAGCTGGAACACAACCAAGCCGAACTCGATCGAACGGCCGCGCTTCTCGCTCACACCGTTTCCCCTTTTTCCCCTTTTTCTCCCAGAAATCCGACCTTTCTTCGCTCCGCGCGCGGGAAACCGCGGTTGCCGCCGAATTCCGCGCCCTCGACGCCGAGCTCCGCCGCCAGCGCGACCTCGTTTCCCCTTTTCCCCGTTTCTCCCTAGTGCCACGAGAAACGCCGCGTGCTCTCGGACGGCCGTTCGCGTTCCGCGGTTCTCTCGCGGTTATTGGCGGCGCACGCGCCGGGCGGGGAGCTAGAAACCGCGGGACTGCTGGGACGGCTGGGCGACCTGGGCGCGATCGACCCGCGGTTCGACGTGGCGGTGAGCACGGCGTGCGGCGCGCTGGACGATTTGGTGGTGGAAACGGCGGCGGACGCGCAGCGCTGCGTTGAATTTTTGAAGCGAAGCGGCGTCGGACGCGCGCGCTTCCTCATTCTGGAGAAACTCGAGTACGCCAATCACGGCCGTTTCATCCAGAGCCTTGACTCCCGCCATGGACGCTCCTTTCGATCCCCCGCGGGGCGCGGAGCGGCTCTTCGACCGGGTCACCGCGGGGAACCCGCGCGTGCGCTGCGCGTTTTACTTCGCGCTGCGCGACACGCTCGTGACCGATTCCCTCGACGCCGCGCGCGCTATCGCCTTCCGCGGGGATCGAGGCGATCGTATGAACCGCGGGGATCGCGCGGCGCGGCGCGTGGTGACGCTGGACGGAATGCTGATCGATTCCGCGGGGACGATGGCCGGAGGCGGCGCCGCGCCGCGTCGCGGACGCATGCGCCTCGGAAACGCCCCCGAAACCGCGGGGAACGCGGGAGAGGAGGCCGGGGAGGCGGCAGTGAGGGCGCTGGAGGCGGAGGTGGAGCGGTTGTCGCGGGAATGCGAGGAAAAGGGGCGGGAGCGCGCGGAGCTGCGAGTGAGGAAAACCGCGGGGATTGAGGGGTAGGAGAAGATCCAGGCGGTGGAGGAATCGATTCCGCGGCTGGAGGTGGAAACGAGGAAACTGGAGATCGACGTGAAATCGCTGAGCAATGCCCAGGAGGCGAGAAAAACCGAGTTGAGCGTGGCGACCAATGAAATGGCGGCGATCGAGAAGGAAACGCCCCGGATGGAGGCGCTGCGGAGGGAGGTGGAGTCGATTGAGGGGCGGCTGAGCGGACTACAGGAGGAAATGAAAGCGTACGAAGCGAAGCTGCGCGATCTGGATGCGATGATGAACCAAGTGGGCGGGAAGGCGATTCAGAGCAAGCGGAATGAAGTGAACGAGGTAACGAAGAAAGCGGCCAATTTACAGAAGGCGCTTTCGTCGGCGCGCGTGCAGATTCGATCATCGACGAAGCTGATTGGCCAGTTGAAAGAAGAGAACGAACGCATCGAAAAAGACATTGCGGATGCGGAGCAGGCGATCCAAGCCGCGAAGGTGCAGTTTGAAAGGATCGAGGAGGAGGCGAAGAAGGTTTTGGTGGCATTTGAAGAGGCCAAAAAACTGATGGAGGCGAAGCAGAAGGAGCTGGAAAGCATCGAGAAAGAGCTGCAGAAAGCCAAGCGAAGCAATAGCGAGAAGGAGAAAGAATTGGGTCAGTTTGAGGAGAAAAAGGCCCAATTCGAAAAACAATTAGGGGTCCTCAATGAGCAAACGGCGATTTGGACCTCGAAGATCGCCGCATTGCGCAAGAAAACATGGGAAAACACGAAAGAGCTCGACGAAGAGCCCGAAGCCAACGAAGCCAACGAAACGAACGATGCAGAGAAGGATGCAGAAAACGATGCGATGGATGTGGAGCCTTCTCGCAATATCGAGTCGGAAATGCTCCGAATCATCCCAAATGTGAGCGAGGATGAATTGCAGTCGGTCGATAAGGCGCGCGTGGAGAGGTCGATTCTGCGATTAGAATCGGAACGCGACCATCTCAAAAAAACGGTGAATTTGGGTGCAATCGCAGAGTTCCGGCAGAAGGATAAGGAATATCGCAAGCGAGAGAAGGAGTTGGATGCAATCACGAATGAGCGGGATCGCGTTCGAAAAGAATTCGACGATCTTCGAAAGAAGCGACTCACCGAATTCATGGACGGATTCAACACGATCACGCTCAAACTGAAAGAGATGTACCAGATGATCACGCTTGGAGGCGACGCGGAGTTGGAGCTAGTGGATTCGCTGGATCCCTTCGCCGAAGGAATCGTTTTCAGCGTGCGGCCGCCGAAGAAGTCGTGGAAGAACATTAGCAATCTCAGCGGAGGGGAGAAGACGCTGTCGTCGCTCGCGCTGGTGTTCGCGTTGCATCACTACAAGCCGACGCCGCTGTATATTATGGACGAGATCGACGCTGCGCTCGATTTTAGGAATGTTAGCATCGTGGCGCACTACATCAAGGAGAGGACGAAGAATGCGCAGTTTATCGTGATTTCGCTGCGGAATAATATGTTTGAGATGGCGAACCGTCTCGTTGGGATCTACAAGACCGATAATTGTACGGACTCCGTAGCGATCAATCCGCAAGAGCTCGGAAACCAAATGTGATTGATATGTGTGTTTGTTAGAAGAAACAAGGGCGGCATTAGAACAAGATGTTCTGGTAAGGATAGGAGTTTAATTCAGCTGCAGTTTTAGTGCTGATCAGTTGCTTGCTCTCAACGTGGAAATCTCCACTGAGATCCTTGGACACGACCACATTGTGGACCTACGATTTGCATTCGAAAAAAGAGCGTACATAAGCCGTTCTGGTGGTGTCCTTTCCGTAGAGGCTCAGACCATACAGATCCTTATCAACTGAACTGTCATGCATGCATTTCAGAGAATGGTCAACGTGGTACGTTGCTTCCTGTTGCATTAGCTTTTTAAGGTACTGCTCGGCTTCCTAAACCGTGATTTGAGCTCAGCAAACAAACGTAAATCGCCTTCACAACATCTTTATCAGAGCAATCAATTTTGCTCCATTCTGCAGTAGCAGAAGCAAAAAGTGCAACAATTAGAAAAAGAATTCTCCAGGCTTTCATGTCTTACAAATATGAAAAGGAAAAATTATTAGTATTATTGTTCCTCACCCATATGTGAAATGATGGAATTCCAAAAGTTTGGGCGATTTGCTTTTTTTCGGGGTGAACTATATGGACTTTCTGCTTCTTTCGTTCCTTCATTTATTTTAATCTTAAATGGAAGAACAGGTTCCTAAAGTCAATTCTCCAGTAAGGAGCTTCTGTTCGGTGTTTAGCAAGTAGTGTGAAAATTCTGATTTGGAATCAATTATTGCATCATTCGAGGAGGGGAGTATCGAATTATGAATTAAAATGACTGTGCAGAGCTTGAGATTGACTGTTTTGTGTCTCAGATGCGTGAATGCAGCTCAGTATTGGACGATCCGATGAAAGAAAAGTTTCGAAACGCTCTACTGAAGCGTGTAACGAGCAAGGCGGAAATAACGGCTTTTCTAGATACATTGAAAACAATAGATAATGTGGATGGTAGAGATTGGTATACTGCGTCTGAAGTAGATATTTATTTGGAATTAATGTCTGTGTACAATGCTGTGTTACGAGCGCAGTTGCAATCGTTCCCCTGTTTTCCGGTGGTCAATGGAGGCATTTTCCTATCTGCCGTGACCCACCAAAGACAATCGGAGTCCAACTCGCTGTACCTCGCGCAATTGGAATTCCCCGACAAAACCCCGTACGTACATTTAAAAATCGCGTGATCGGCAGCGTGAACATCCAGTTCTGGCTGGTGATCCGCGGCTGGGATGAATCCACGGTCACCGAGTCCTCGGAGTACAGCGTGGCGCTTTTCTCCTGCCAGAACGCCAAGTTCAAGATGGAGGTCTTCCTGGTGTTCCCGTCGCTGTCCTCCAAGCAGACCTTCCTCTCCGTCTCCATCTCCACCAAATCGCGGTCCTTCCGCCACTTCCTCCCCATCATTTTCCCCTATTCCCGCGACCTCCTCGCCTCCAAGCTCGGCAAAGCCTACCTCTTCACGCTCTCCTTCGAGCCCTCCCTCCTTTCTCTCTTCATCGACTCCTCGCTCTGCTGCCAGGACGCCGTCGAGTTTTCCTTCGCCGCTTCGCCCACGCACTGCGCGCTCGGCGCCGCTTCCTTTGCCGCCCACGACGCCACTACCTCCTCCCCCGCGGGAATGATCGACTTCTTCGAGCACCGCGCAGGCGTGCTCGTCGCGGGGTGCCTCATTACCGCGGGGAAGATCGACGAGCGCGAGCTGGCCGAGTGGACCGTCGACGGCCCGCTGCGCTGGCTGCAGCGCCTCCCCGCGGGGATGCGTCGCATGCTGGGGGTGGACTGCGCGCGCGCCTGGGTGCTCACAAGAGGGTTTTTTTGACATTTAGCCGGACGGGCGTTTCAAAATGGAACTCGGCGCCATGGAATCGCGGTTCTTGGCCGTCGGGCCCGTCCCGCGGTTCCAGTTCCCCTCGCAGGCGGCGGTGGTGTACCCGCGGGAATGGCGGGCTGACGGGTAGGCTGGCGGCGCGCGCGCAGCGGCGGTTTCTGCACGACCTGGCCTTGCTGGCGTCCCGCGGGGACGCGCCCGGTCTGACGGCGCGCTTTCTGCAGCGGTTTTTCGAGGCGCTGGACCTCCTGCTGGGGCTGGATCCCGCGGTTATCCGGAGCTTCGAGGGGGACGCGCTGTTCCTCCGGCTGGCCGCGAACTTCCTGTCGCTCCCCGCGGAAGAGCTCACCGGCGCGTTCATCGCCGCGCTGGTCTCGCTGGTGGGCGTTTCTCGGGCGTTTCACGCAGAGCTACCGGCTGGTGCTGGTGGACGGGACGGGTCAAATCTTCGCGGACTTCGCGCGGCGGGTGTTGTTCCTCCCCGCGTTTTGGGAGAAGCTCCCCGCGGAACGCGCCTCGGCGCTGCACGCGTCGTTCCTGCGGCTGCTGCTCACCTCCGCCGAGTCCGCGCAGTACCTCGCCTGCCTCACCGCGGGGCCCTGGGGGCAGTCGCAGCGGCTGGCGGCGAACCGCGGGGAGATCCGGTCGGTGCTGAGCGCGTGCGCGCAGCGCGAGCCGGTGTGGGAGTTTCGGGAGAGCGTGTACACGGCGGTGAGCGAGAGCGTGCTGCAGAGCGGGGCGCTGCGGTTCGCGGAGTGGGGGCGGGGTGCGGATTTGATGCATAGGGAGATGCTGGGGTTCCTGGAGGCCGGGTGGGAGGGCAGCTTCGCGCGCGATGGCGCGGAGCATCGCGCGGGCGCGCTGGGACTGGTGGTGCTGGACCGCCTCGGCGAGGGCGCGGCCGACTCGGTGGGGAAACGGAGAAGCCCTGACGGGTAGAAGCGGCAGGGACTGCGGCTGCTGCGGTGGGTCGCGGGGCTGGTGCAGGCGGTGCGGAGCGGGAAGAAGCGGAGCGACGCGGTGGGGTCGGACCTGGTGTACAACGCGATGTACCGCGTGCTCGAGCGGTTCGACGACGCCAACTACGGCGATCCCGCGCAGCGCGCCGCCCTCGAGGCCCTCCCGCGCTCGCGAAGCCGCGGCTCCTTCCAGGCCCCCGCGGGACCGACGGGACCGATAGGATCCGCGGGACCGATGGGACCGATGGGATCGATTGGGTCCATGGGATCGATGGGACCCATCGGACTGATCGGGCCCGTGCAGCGACGTGGGGCCAACGGAGCCAATGGAAGCAATGTGCCGCTGGCGCTGCGGTCGAGCGGGATCTACGCGAGCTTCGACGGGAACCTGCTGGCGACGCCGACGCAGAAGGAGGACGAGGTGTTCAAGGAGTCCGCGCTGGACGAGTACGCGGCGCTGGCGGGGCTCTTCGAGCGCTGGCTGAAGGGGAAGTACTACGAGGAGCCCGACGCGGACGGGAATCTGCTCACCGGGTCCGTCCTCTACACGCACCCGAAGCTCCTGCCCCTGCTGATCCACACCTTCCGCTACGTGTGCGTTGCTGCGGCCCGGAATGACGCGCAGAGCCACCTCCGATCGACTGCTGGAGTTCCTGCTGGAGCTGAAGATCTTCGTCGCCGAGGATCTGGGCAACGCCCCCGAGGAAAACGCGGGCATGCGCGGACACAGCCTCGTCGGCATGCAGGCGCTTCTCAAAGAGCTCGTGCTCCTCCTCGACCGCTTCGCCGACGACGAAAGTGGTTCCCCGTTTCCCCGATGACGCGTAGTGCTGGTGCCCATGGTGCAGGAAGTGATCAGCCTGCTGCTGCTGGCCGATCTGCGCTACAAGTCCTTCCTCAGCAGCCTTCTCTACTGCGCGGCGTTCGCGTTCTTCCACCTCGCTCCCGAGACCTGCACGCGCTTCCTCAGCGCGCTCGTGACCTCCATCATCGCTCGCTTCGTGGCGCTCGACCAGCCGCCCAACGACGTCACGCTCATCAACCTCTCCGCGCTCGTCGCCTTCGTCAACGAGACGCTCAACCAGGAGGCCGAGACCTCGCAGATCCTCCGCCAGTTCGTCGCGGAGCGCGTTCGCCAGCACGCCGACGGCGCCGAGCTCGCGATCTCCGCGGAAAGCCAGTTCAATCAGCAGCTGAAACGGCTCTCGCAGCTGTCGTTTAAGCAGCTTCGCCAAGTGACCGGGGAGATCCCCGCGGGAACGGAGGCGATGCTGTCGTACCCGAAGATGCTGCTGGCGAAGTCGCTGCAGGGCGTGGATGTGGTGGACACGATGGTTCCCTTGGTGGAACTGCTGACGAAGCTCCCGCTGATCGTGGTGCAGAACAGCCACATCTATGAGCTGCTGTGCGTGGTGCTGTCTCGACAGCTGTACTGCGAGTGCTTTGGCTGCGAAAACGTGAGCGAGACGGATCTGAACCGGCGCATCACGCGCCTCACGACGCTGCAGCGCACGATGGACCACTTGATCACGGCGTGCCACGAGGACGGGGCGCACACGCAGCTGCTGGTCTCCGTGTATTGGGTGGTTCTGCACGACTGCTACTGCGCGGTCAACGGGCAGACCGACAACGGCGAGATCATTCTGCACCTGCTGCAGAGCGAGTGTCTGCAGCTGGCCGACCAGCTGGCCTTCGCTTCGCCCAACCGCAACGCCATCGTGCCCTCCTTTGTCGTTTCTCATCGTAGGAGCAGGAAGCGATCTTCCAGAGCGTCGGCAAGCTCTCCAACATCGATGCCTCGGTGATCCAGATCGCTCGCGCCTTCGGCGAGGCCGCGCTGAGTCTCCGGCCCCTCACCGACTTCGTGCTGTCCCAGCTGCACAGCCAGACCTTCGCCCTCCTCTCCAACCGCGAGTCCATCGTCAAGCAGGTCACCGGCAAGCCCTACGCCCAGGCCATCGCCACTGCGCGGCTCGACTGCGAGCAGCGCGTCGCCGCGGCGCGCATGCAGCGGAAATCGGAGACCGGCGCCGCGCTGCAGGTGGACCAATCGCGTCTGCAGGAGTGGCTGAGCGAGCGCGCCGCGTTCCAGGAGGACGAGCTGAGCTCCAAGCTCTTCTATCTGCGTCGCTGCAGCTATTTCGTGATGGATCCCCACATGGACGAGACCGGCGTGCGCCGCAAGCAGCGCAGAATCCCTCCACCGGCGCGCGCTTATGAGTGTGCGAGGGACTGGCGGGAGCGGAGCGAGGAGTCGGCAGCAGCAGCAGCAGCAGCGAAGGGTCCTGCGCGCGGAGCGGCGTTCGGGGAGTGGGAGTGCCTGCAAGTGTCGGTGTTCGACATCCAGTGGGGCGTGGTGGCGTTCCACGACGACGTTCTGCAGTTCACCGTCACGGCGAAGCCCGCGAGCATCGACGAGGTGCCGGTGATCCCGGAGATGGAGCCGCTCTGCCCCATGCGCGGCGTGCAGCGCTACGCGTTGCGCGCCATGGAGGCGCTGTACAAGCGAACCTATCGCTGCCAGCAGTCCGCGCTGGAGTTCTTCTATCGCGACGGAGGGTTCCGGAACAGCGTGTTTCTCTATTTCCCCGAAGAGGTGGGGAGAAAAGAAGAAAGAGACTGAGGCCTAGGCGAGTCGGAACGAGGTGTACTCGAAGCTGGCGAAGGGAATGACGCGACCGCAGTGCCGCGTGCAGCAGCTCAACGAAACGGCGTTCGAAATGATGCAGCGCGAGGGACTGGCGGCGAAGTGGGCGGCGGGAGACATGAGCAACTTCGCGTATCTGATGGAGCTGAACGCGATCGCGGGGCGCAGCATGCAGGACATCACGCAGTACCCCGTTTTCCCGTGGGTCTTCAACAACTACGCGACGATGGACTTCGACGTGGCGTAGCTGGCGTTGCGGTGGACTGAGGAGCAGGTCGGTGAAGCACACGCGCGACCTGAGTCTGCCGATGGGCGCGCAGAACGCGCAGCGGCTGAACCTGTACATCGACCGGTTCGAGAGCTGCCTGGAGAGCAACGACCACAGCAAGGAGCTGTACAACGAGCTGATGGAGGACCCGGAGCAGACGGACAAGGCGAACGAGGTGCTGGAGAGCATCATTCCGCCGTACTACTACGGCTCGCACTACAGCACGCCGCTGGGCTGCGTGCTGTACTACCTGCTGCGCGAGGAGCCGTACACGTCGCTGAACGTGCGGCTGCAGGACGGGCACTTCGACGTCCCGGACCGGCTGTTCCACTCGGTGTTCGTCACGGGACGGTCGTGCTACGAGAACCTCCCCGAGGTGAAGGAGCTCACGCCCGAGTGGTTCTTCTCCACCGACTTCCTGGTCAACCACAATCGCCACCACTTCGGAGCCCTGCAGGGCGGCGCGGAGGTCGACGACGTCGCGCTGCCCACGTCGCTCCTGGGCCCCGTCACGCCGCAGGCGTTTCTCTCGCGGCACATGCAGGCGTTCGAAGGGCCGGTGGTGTCGACGCTGCTGTCGCAGTGGATCGATCTGATCTTCGGGTTCAAGCAGCAGGGCGAGCAGGCCGTGAACAGCTACAATCTCTTCTACTATCTCACCTACCCCGACCAGGTCGATCTCTCCTCCGCCCCCGACTTGGAGACGCGCAACCGCCTCATCACGCAGGCCGCGCACTTCGGGCAGTGCCCCGCCCTCGCCTTCACCGCGCCGCACCCGCAGCGGCAGCTTCGTCTGCGCGCGGCGCGCGATCTCCGCTCGGTCCTGCTGGAGACCAACCGGATGAGCATCTATCTGAAGCACTCCATGGAGGGAATGGGCGATCGCTGCCGAATCTGCCGCGTCAGCGACGTGGACCCGGGCGCTCTGTCGATCCTGCCCTCCTCGGTGCAGCGCATCCTCGGCAATTCCGAGTGCGTCGACAACGCGGACCGGTTCTTCGACCCGAGCAGTCCGGACTGCGCGCGGTCGGTGGAGGGCGCGGCGTCGCTGCCGCTGATCCTCTGTCCGGAGCCCTGCCTCACGTGGCCCGCGGACTGCCACTACCCCTGGATCGTCGAGATCGACTGCAACGAGTTCTGCGTGGTCACTAGTTTCAAGGTGGTGCTCGCCGACCGCTACGACGGCGCGCCGCCCTCCGCCGCCTGCTACGGCGTGGAGTTTCTCGCCGAGGACGGTCGCTGGACCGCGGTATCGAAGCGTAGGCGTGGCCTTCGAGCGTCACCGCGTAGCGGAGGAGGTTTCGCAGCGCGCCGAGGGCGGGATCGTGACGACGGTGGTGTTTCCGCGCACCACGGCGCGGTTCTTCCGCCTGTCCATCTTCGACATCCCCTTCTCGCCCTTCCCGCTGCGCGACCGCGTCGTCGTGCAGGCCGACTACACCTGCGGCCGCGAGGAGCTCGACGCTCCCTTCATCCCGCGCACGCAGCGCATTCCGCTCCCCGGACCCCACATCACCCACATCGACGTCTTCGGCATGCCGCTCTTCCCCCTCGTACCGCCCTTCCCCGCGGAACTCGCGCGCTCCGAAACTCCCGTACGCGCTCTCAGCGTCTGGTCCGCTTGGCGGGGCGAAGTCACGTGCAGGGACGGGCTGGCCGCGGTTCTCGTCAGCGCTGCCGCGCCGAATCCTTCCATGGAACTCCGCATCTTCAGCAGAACCGCGGAACCGCCGCGCGTCGTCTCGCTCGACGTCCTCGCGCAGAACCACTTCCCCGTTCTCGCCATGCACCCCGCGGTACGCTCCCCCGCGGTTCTTCTCCCTAGCGCCCGCTCCTGGTGGCCGACGACGCTTCGCAGGGCGGTTTCGTCCTCGTGACCATCGATGAAACGCCCGTCCCGCGGTTCCGGCGTGTCCCCTGCTTCGCGCAGAGCGCGGTGCGCGCGGTGGCGGTGGACGGGTCGCTGCTTGCCGCGCTTTCTTCGTTTGATTGGGGGAGAGTTTCCACGTAGCGACGGCGAATTGGTCGTCTGGGCTCTCGACGAAACGCCCCGGCAATTGTGTTCCGTCTGTGTTCCGCCGGGCGTTTCGGTGGGCGCGCTGGCGCTGTGCGCGGCGCTGGACTGCGTGGTGGCGTTCCCCGCGGGGCAGGAGGGCGGGGAGCTGCTGATCTACACGACCCACCTGGAGCTCCGCGGGGAAGCGTCGGTGGAGCGCGCGCTGCGCGTGGTGCGCGTGGAGGCGACGAACTTCGGCGTGGTGGCGGTGTGCGCGAAGGAAGACGCGTGCGTGCTGAAGAAATTCGACTTCTGCGGCGTGCCGACGGGCGTCCTGCGTGTGGAGGAAGTGGTGTAGGAGGCAGGGAGGCGTGACGACGAAGAAACTGCTGCGTGTTGTCGCGGGGAAGAGAGGTGATGCTGCTGGGAAGCGATAGCGAAGTGGTGGCGGTGGACATGCTGATGATGATCGTGCTGACGGTGATTCCGGACGATTTGGACTTCCGATGGATCGCGATGGACGGGACAGGTAGGATTGAGGAGGGCGTGGGAGAGTAGACACTGGGTTTTTTGCTGTGACGGACGAGATGAAGATTATGTATCATTATTTGAATAACCAGATACCGGACGAACCCGTAGGAGAGAGAGAGGAGAGAGGGTTGATGGGTAGAAAATGGTGAAGAAGGTGCAAAAGAAAAGTTTACTACAGTCCATGTTTGGATATTAGCGTGTGGATGTTTGTTTGAATCGAGACGAGAAAGTTCGAATAGTAGAGAAAGGAATCAATGGAAAGCAAACAAATACATCAACATTATAATGAAAAATTGTAAAATAAAAAAGAAAAAGAAGAAGAACGAAAGTGAGAAGAAAAATAGGCACATTTTTTGGCATTCTATTTGTTTTCAAAAAAGTGGTTGTCAAGATGTCGATGGATGTAAACACATCTCCGACCAATTTTTCGAGGAACAACCTCGTGGCAGGAGACTTGGCTCTCCTGACTACCTCGATTTGGTCGGAAGCTATTTCCGGGAGAAAGGTAGATAATAAGGAGTTGGCTCGGAGTCACGAGCAAATGAAAAAGGAGTATATCAAGGCAATCAAGAGCACGAGAACGAAGGAAGAGCTCGAAGTATTCTTTTTTGTGGTGTGCTTATTTGTAGGGTAAACGGAATCGCATCGTGTGTAGTCGCTGTGGTAAAGGTGGCCATATGGCGTTTCAGTGTTTTAACTTTTTGAATAAAACTGAAGAGACCAATACCGATCTTAACACTTTAATATCCTCTGATAGCGACTCAGAAGAAGAAGAAGAAGAGCAGCATGCCCGTTCACGAAGTCGGTCGCGAAGTCGACAGCCTCGTTCTCAATCAGAGCGTTCTGAGCGTTCTGAGCGTTCTGAGCGTTCTGAGCGTTCTGAGCGTTCCGAACGATCCGAGCGATCCGAGCGTTCTCAACATTCTCAGTAGGTTTCGTTTCTTTCATTGAATCTAGTCGCCATCACCACCACCGTCACCACCATCACCGAAGTCCTTCAAACTCGTCCAAAGACTCCCGTCATCATGGACGCCACCATCAGGGCAATGAAAACAAATAATCGATTTAGTGTAATTTTAACTCTTCTTCTGTTTGTTTTAATGTTATGGGATCCCACAAACTGAATCCGCTGACTTTTCAGTTCGATTCATAATATATGTAATGATACTATTCTCGTTCTGTTTTTTTGTATGCACGAAAATTAAACATCACAATTAGATATTCCTATACACTTTTGTTGATTCGCACAGTTGCCAGTTTTCTAGTTTACTATTTCTACACGTTTTATTTCTAGGTGTCTATTCTGGTTCCTTATACGAGAGGAGTGACTATCAACTACAATTAGGATATGCCGCAGAGATTTGCCCTTTATTTTCTTCAACAAACCAAACATGGTCTGTTGATACAAGTAATCACTTGGAAGAGTTTTGTTAATCAGGTTTTCCTCCAAGTCTGTCGTTTGAGAATGGCATAATCAGTGGCATTCCAGATGTAGTCACTGACTTGACTTCCTACACAATCTCCGTAATGGACTCGAATGCGAATATGACGTACTCTCAAACCCTTCGTATATCCATATCGTGTAATTTTCGTGTGTATCGTGTCATTTTTCATAGCGCAGTTTTGTTCGGTCGATGGAGATTGGCCAGAAACGTATGGCAACCGTTCTGTAGCGCTGAGCTGCTCTCTCGGTCTTGGAGTGCGCATTCGTCAGTGCTCAATCAGTTTGTCTTGTTGCCATGCATGAACCGGTAGATGTGTGGTCGGACGAAGTAAACGACTGCAGAGAATCGCTTTATTTCATTTTGGCCGTTGCCGGTTCCATCGTGGTGCTCATTCTTTACCTCATTTTGTGCTGTAAATGCTGCAGAAAGCGGAAAGAAAAGCCGAGCGATGTCGAAAAATCCCCCCAAAATGTGGAAATCCCAAAAGTGGAACCCCCGGAGAAACCCAAAGGCGAAGATTCCTCCGCCAAATCTTCGCCTTCGAATTCTCCCGCGGAATCGGGAGGTGAAACGCCTCCACCTGTACCGAAACGCCCCACAGTTTCCCGCGGTCTCCCGCCCGCCTTGCCCTCGGCGCCAAAACCGCGGTTATCGCCTACCACCCCGCAGAGTGACACTTCCCCGCGGGTAGAACCGGAATCCAATCCCCCGGCCCCCAGTTTCCCCTATATCTCTCTTTTATCGCGGGAAACGGAGGACCACGAAGAACCCGCCAATCCAGAACCGCGGGAACCACAGGAACCACAGGAACCACAGGAACCGCGGGAACCGCAAGAGCCTCAATCCGTCCCAGAACCGCGGGAAACTTCGGCAGTTTTTCCGTTCCCGCCCGTTTCACCGCCCAATCAAAGCGACCCCGTTTCTGAAACTCCTCAGATGCCGCCAATTTTGCCGCCAGAAAAGCCTACGAGATTGCCGCCAAAATTGCCGCCAAGACCGAAGAACCGCACCTCGACTTCGGGTTCGATAACCGCGGGAATGCATTCCTCCACCAGTGGAAACAGTGGAAACAGTGGAAACCTCACGAATGAAATCAACGAGGCGATCTATCCGAAGCCCAGTCGGCACGTGGAGGCTCCCGCGCGGCACGTGGATTTCCCTCCCAGTCACGTGCCCGCGGCCAATGAAATGATGGCGAGTCCCGCGGAAAAACACACAGCGCCGTGGAACGAATCGAGCGTTTTCTTGAATCCCGCGGATGTGACAATCGCGGGAAATCGATGCACACTGCGGAATATGGCGTACGAGATGGACGTTGTGGAGATGAGCCAGGTTCCGCGGTTATCGGAGGCGCAGTTGTCGCGGGAAAAGGAGTTTTGGAGTCAGTTGTACCATCCCGGAATCGTTCGAGTGCCAAAAATCGGGGGGATTTCACGTGTAGTTTATCGGGTTTGTGAAAACCGCGGGAGAGAGCAGCATCGTGCGTGAGCACGCACCCCCGCGGTTATTGGATAGTTTCCAGAGCGAGCGATTGACGTAGGAGTGTTTGTGGGGTGTGAAGGCAGAGACGAAGCGCTGCGCGACGTGGTGAGCAGCGTGCTGAACGCGGTGCGCTATGTGGGAAACATGGGCGAAGTGTACGGGTCGCTGAAGCTGGGAAATATTTATTGGAACCCGGAGAACGGAAGCACGAAGGTGGAGCTGCCCGAGATGCGATCGGTGGTGGAGACTCGGGGAATCACCGCAGAGGACGATCTGCGAAACCTCCGCGAAATTCTAAAGACGTGCAAGAGCGCGGCAAGGTCGGAAGCGCTGCGGACGGCGTTGGAGGGAGCGGAGGAAATCTGCGCGAGACAACAAGAAGTGGGAAAGAAAGAAGGAAGAGGATGATGGATAGGGAAATGCGGTGTCGGAGTGCTTGGAGTTGATTCAGAAGTCGTAGATTGGATTATGGAGCTGTTTGTTGAGGAATAAGCATGTGGAGGATTGTGTGGATTCTTATTTTGTATGAATTAAACCATTTGAAAAAGATAGAAATGATGAATGAATGCTCTTTTAAGGAATTCATATCATACATTACTTTTCAATCCCTGTTTTGTAAGCATAGAACCATTTGTAATAAAACTCTTGTGATAAAAAATAGGTTGTTGAAGAATAAACATCACAAAGGACTATTCAAATACTTGTTTTATATGGATGGAACCAATATGAAGAGAGTCGTCAAACTTGCCCTGAAATGATTCACAGTGTGGATAAACATTCTTTTCCACTTTCGTCACCTTCTTCCCATTTGTGTTCCGCAGGTCATTCACCTAATTGTCATGCGATCTCCCAATCGTTACATGCTCCCAAATTTCTTTCTGAGACATATTCTTAACGCAAACTTGGCGGCTCTGACCATTTTCTATAACTAAAAAGCCGTAGAAAGAAAAAAACTGTATTCAGCAATCAAGATGGGATGACGATTTGGTAAATACTGTGTCTCGACCTTGAGCTGTGGGTTCTTCTTGGAGAAATCGATTAAGTTCTTCTGCATCCACTCTCTACAAATGAGTGCATGCCCGAGCAATTCAACCTTATAGGCGCGCTACTGCCTCCATTTTTACAATAACGGAACACTAATCTATCCAAAAAGTAATAGCCCTTGGAACACATAATCTTTTTTTAATAAGTTCGACATTTATGCTAATAAAAATAAATACCATTGTCCTTCGCATTCTGCATCCCCATATCAATCCCGAAGAGATATAGTCATGTTGTTGGGCAGTGTTTTCCTTTTTCCTTTTTTGGCTGTGACCGATGGATATATCGCCTTTCAATTCGATTGATGTATGAGTGAAAGCGAATTCCTATCTAGATCGAACATAATTCTTTATGTCATTTTTCACAAGAAAACTTTCCGTTTCAATGGATGGATGAAGCAGCAGTAGGCGCTGCACATCTTTCGAACGAATATTTGCTCCATCCCTCCTTCGATGATTTTGGAATGGGTTTATGGAGTGATGGTTTTTGCTTAAATCAGGATAATTTGTCTCCGCGATGTATCACTCCTTCTTCTAGACGTTGTAGTTTGACGATTGAACCTCTTGGCCTGGATCCTTTTGCCTGTCCTTTACAGGATAAACAAATCAGTTTGGAATTGAGTTCAGATCAGAAGTCTTTGGTTCTACCACTTTCAATCGATGGGGAAGTCATTCATCCTGAAGCGACCTCGCTAGAAATGGATATGAACATGGATTTGTGGATGAATAATATGGACATGAATATGAATATGAATATGAATATGAACATGGATATGAATGGTAATACAAATACAAATACGAATATGAACATGGATATGAATGGTAATACAAATACAAATACGAATATGAACATGGATATGGCTTTGAATATGAATATGAATATGAATGACAATACAAACAAAAATATGAATGAAAGGAGGAATCAAAACATGGAAATCGAAGGAGAACTCTCTGCAGATTCCACCCATTTTCAAATAACTACCAACGACGAAGACAGTTCGTACAAAGACAACGACGACGATTGCGATAGTCTCCCAACACCTCGTCATAAAACGAATCACACATGGGAAGAAACTGCAAAGCAGCTGCAGCTCAACGTATGCGTCCCGGAAATGAGCATGTACAACGTTCCCAGTATGTGTTAAGCCTGATATCTAAAATAGATCAGTGGCTTTCTGCAAATGAGTATTTTGAATTGTTGACTGCAATGGAGAAAAACACTTCCGTTTATCCGTTTTATGACCTGGGGTATGATTCTCATTGCGTCTCCTATCATCCTTCGTTCATTTATTCGAATCCCTGCCCATCGATTTATTTCTTACGATGTGAACATTTGAAAAATGGAACTCCCAAGTTTGGGTTTCCTCGAATCAAAAACGTATCCAAAGAATACACTTGGAAGAAGCAAGGATTCACAACGGCCATTCCCAAGCGCTGTCCCTGCGTGAGATACATCACTGCGAACTGTTATCTCTGTGGGAAAGGACGGAATCGAGTCCATAATGGGATGGAAATTGACTGTAGAATAGTATCTTTGCTGCTTTTTCTGGAAGAGAGCCGGTCCTGCGAATGCACGCGGTGATGAAAATTCAATCGTACTGCACGCGTGGAAATACGGAAAAGTACCAGAACGATAATTACATCGACCAGGGTGATTACGGAAAAACAAACTGATGGATAGGTCCCTATGTTTTAATTCATATCTTAAAAGGTGGTAGTCAGGCTTCTGCGAGTAGTTTATAGTTTGATCATTGAATTGTTTGTTATAATGGTTACCTGTTATATTAGTTTTCAAAAAGGAGAGATAGTGTTGTCATTGAAAAAGAACGATGAAATCACTGTTTTGAAACAATCCAGTGAGAAGTGGGGAAAACCTCTGGATATTATATTTTATAATCGTGGAAATATGTTTATAGATTGTAATGATGTGAGTAATATCGTGAATAAGGAATCTCTTGATAATTACCATCTTTTGGTTCGATCTGATATAGCTTTGTCATTAACTCGTTATAGTGATTGCAGAGGAATAACAGAGGGGGAGGAACTTTCAGTTATCAGCCAAACTGAGTCTACGTATGAATTGATTCAGTTGGGTAATGTGATGAATGTCATCTTCAACGATATTTTCAAGACATTATCGGATGCTAATATTGATCCAGACGAGTTCTTTTTGCCAGTTTCCCATGATTGCTCTGTCTATTTTTATTCTCTCATTAGAGAATGGTGGTCAAACTCGGATCTACATGCGAAAAAACTCAATTTCATAACACTCGAAACAGCAATTGCTATGGGTTTTATGAAAGAACAAAAAGTGAATTTGCCTGTTGTAGTAATTGATTATGATTATATGAATGCGAAAATAGTGTGTCTTATACAGGATGATAATGGCTCTATGATGGAAAGAGTGGAACATCTGAATATTACTTTAATCGATTTGTATGATAAACTTATTGAAATGTGGAAAAAGATGTACAGTTTGGAGATTCAAGATGAATCAAGTACAAACTTTGTGTTGTATCATATTTGTAACTTCGTGTTTACTACACTGACACGTTACTCTCAAGCAGAAGTGGATTTGACTTTTTTTAAAGAGAACTTGAGACCGATTATCACAAAGCAGAAGGTAGTAAATCTATTAAAAGAGAAAGTGGAAGAATTAAGTCACAAGATTGAAAAGTTCATTTCTAAATATCCTGGATGCAAGGTTATAGTGAATGGAGGTAATTGTAACGTGTTCGCCATTTTCAACAACTTTTTTCTACACATGAATGAATGGATATTCGCTGACCATGAAGATAGTGTGGGGTGGGACAGTGTTCAAGTGATTGATTATGAGGTCACACAAGGTGTATTTATGAGAAATAGTAGCATGAGATTCAGTAGAAATTCGGCACACTTTGCATATGATTCTTTCGTTACTTTCAATAATAGTCTTGATTCATATAACAGCCAGAAATCGTTGGATTATCCAGCTGATAAATGAAATGGTAATAACCATGGTAATCAATAGAAAACGTAAAATTATTGTAGATTCTGTTTGTTTTAGGAAATGTAAGAATCTAGGGGGTGGATATGAGCTGAGGGAAATCTGGGGAAACAAATTGCTAGGGGCAGGGGAAAGTGTTATATCTGTAATTATCTCTATTGCTGTAGGATTTTGCTTTTTTGAAAGCAATATTTTGGATAGTGTCCTAACCCATTTCGTTTAGATATAAAAATACGATGATCAGCGCGTTGTTGTTGATTGATGCAAAGGGAAAGAACATCGTGTCTCGTTATTATCGGTATTTTGCAGTATCCTTCTTTGAGTGGATAGAAGTGACGTGACAAAAGAGAGCGCCGATGCTTTCCGAACAAACGTTATTGCAAAGAAGGATACTGGAAGCAATCCTCCTATTACGTACATTGACGGAACGACCTTCATCTATGTCCGCAACAGTGACCACTACATTGTCGCTGTAACGAAGAAGAACGCTTCTCCCGGTAAGGACGCGGTGGATCGGGATGACTGGCAGGCATGATTTTCCACTTCCTTTTCCATCTCGTGAAGATGTTCAAGAGCTACTTCGGCGTGGATTACAAGGCTGTAGGCGATGCAGAAGCGCGGATCTAACATGCAGGACGACCTTCGTGAGAAGTTCTCTGTGGTGTACGAAATCTTCGATGGTTGATCTTCCCTCTTTGCGTAACATGCAGAAGTGCTGGACTACGGATACCCGCAGAACTGCGCGATCGACCTGATGAAGCAGCTGATTCGTCTGGGGAAGGCGAACGACGCTGTGGAGGAGGACGCGAGCAGCATTACCTCGCAGGTGACGGGAGCGATCGATTGGTAGAGAAGGGGGATGGCGTTGAGGGTAGGCGTCGCGAGGGCATCACGTACCGCAAGAACGAGATCTTCATCGACACGCTGGAGAGCGTGAACCTGCTGATCTCGCAGACGGGCGCGGTGCTGCACAGCGAAGTGGTGGGCAAGATCGTGATGAAGGCGTACCTGACGGGCATGCCCGAGTGCCGCTTCGGCCTGAACGACAAGCTGCTGATCTCGAACGAGAAGAAGGCGAAGGGGCAGCGGCGCGGGAAGGGCGCGGGCGTGGAGATCGACGACTGCTCGTTCCACCGGTGCGTGCGGCTGGGCCGGTTCGACCAGGACCGCACGATCACGTTCATTCCGCCCGACGGAGAGTTCGAGCTGATGAAGTACCGCGTGACGGAGAACATCAACCTGCCGTTCCGCATCCTGCCGGTGTACGAGGAGATCAGCGGGACCACGCTGAAGATCAACGTGAAGGTGATCGCCAACTTCAGCAAGCAGGTCTCCGCGCAGAACGTGGATATCAAGCTCCCCGTCCCGCCAAACACCGCCAACGTGATGCCCAAGGCCGCCTTCGGCACCGCCGCCTACAACGCCAAGGACCAGACCATCGACTGGACGCTGCGAAAGCTCACCGGAGGCCAGGAGGTCACGTTCGCCGCGGAGGTGAAGATGCTGAAGATGACCACGGAGAAGGTCTGGTCCAAGCCGCCCATCAATATCATCTTTGCCGTGCCGTCCTTCACTGCGTCCGGACTCCATGTCCGATTCTTGAAGGTGTATGAGAAGAGCTCCTACCAGACCGTCAAGTGGGTCCGATATATGACGCGGTCCGGAGATTACCAGATTCGTCTCTAAGTTGTTTGCTTTTGGGTTGTTTGTTTTTTAAAATTAATGATGAGTGCGTACATGAAAGAATTACGGGTTTCCGCAAATTGGCGAGCGGCTTATGCGACTTCTGTAGCTTTGTAGGGCTTGGGACGTGTTCCTGTGGTGATTGCAGAACGATCGTTTTGCAAAATGCTGGGATATCGCGAACGGCTAGTCTGCGTAAATAAAATTTGGGAAATGGCAGCTGGTCGAAAAACAGGGGGAATAGTATGAGTAGGAAAAAAACAATCGCGGTTATTTCATGCATAAAGCAAGATTGAAAGGGCGTTTCAGCCAGCTGTTTGAGAGAAGGAGTTTCATTGGAAATCTCTTTTGAATTGTCAGTAAGACTATTTAGTAATAGTCATTCTTCGTAAAGAGGAATCTTTAGGTCGGTATACTTTATTTCTAAACTTGTTTTGGCGATCGAATGGCTGCTCTTTAAGCACCCCGGGATTCGATTTCGGGCAAGGGAGGTGCTTCGGTATTCTGCCATGTGACTGTGTGAATATAGACATGTATTTTTCTAACTGTGTATAGATATTTTGTCTACACGAAGTGTTTTTTTGTGGAAGAGACTAGTTGCAGGCTCTTTATAGTTAATTGGGTTTATAGAGTGTAGATATGAATGGCCAAGTACGCTATTTTTTGTTTTATGAGCTTTGTAGAATTTGAATTCACAAGGAGGCTATGGGTTGCTGCAGCCATCGATGCAGCAGATGGGGCAGCCGCAAATGCAGCAAATGCAGCAAATGCAGCAAATGCAACAGATGCAGCAAGTGCAACAGATGCAACAGATGCAGCAGATGCAGCAGATGCAGCAGATGGGACAACCGCAAATGCAGCAATATATGCAGCCGTCACAGTCTCAAGGGCAGGGCGTTCCGATGTCTGGCTACTCACCCACACCCACGCCAGCTCCCACGCCGGCACCTACACCTACTCCAAACTATCCACGTGTAGCTCCTCAGCAATACGTAGCCCAACCCCAACAATTCCCACCGAACCAGGTCCCGTTCGAAAAGAGTGCGGCGACAGCAGTAATGGGCATGCCAAACAGCATCTTCAAGAAGGTGAATCCGCAGACGGGAAACACGGAATTCTACCAAACGCAGGTAGTGACGGTGGACATTCAGCGGAACGAGTACGGCTTTGGAATCAATCTGGGAGACAATGATGGCGTGGTCCGCATCCAGGGCTGTCGGTCGAATCCAGACGGAACCCCTTCTCCCGTGCAAATGAACCCAAATATCCGTCCTGGCGATGTGATTTACAAGGTCCAGGACAAGGTTTTAACGGGAAGTAATCCGCTGGGGCTGGTAGGCGAGGTAACGAAAAAAGGCTGAGAGATAGGCGGTGGATACGATGCGGCAATGCACGGTGGTGAAGTTGACGCTGCTGAGGCAAGTGGTGATTTCTCCCGCTGCAGCATCGAGTATTCTCGCAACGCAGCGATCGAAGATGCAGGAGAAGCAAGTGTTCTGCAACATGCTGCAGAACCAGCAGACGCAGCTGCAGTATCAAATTATGGTGCTGAAGTACTTGCACTCGCGCCGAATGCCGGATGAGATGGTAGGAAAGGGGTGTGGCGTCAATGGAAGATGATCAATAACGCGCTGGGCGTGGCCCCGGTGTACACACAGCATCGACCGAAGCCTGTGGGACAGGGAGAGCGGAGTGATGTGTAGATGAGTGGGGCGAAGAAGCACCGAAAGACCGATATGAATGATAGCGATTCGGATAGTGATGACGACGATTATCGAATCTATGTGCCTTTAACGGAAGTGAGGGTCTGGAAATGCGGTGAGGAGTAGGTTCCGAAGCGGCATCTTCGCGAGCACATCAAAAGGAGATACAATTTCCAAGAGGACGAATTGGAGCGCGAGGAAGAGAAGATGAGGAACGAAATGAAGGAGGCCAACGAGATACGGAAGGACGAGAACGAGGTGCTAAAGAAGATCGAATGCGTGGTGGGAGCTCGGTATCGACCTGTGAGTCGTTGAGAGGGAGAGTGAAGTGTAGCGCATGGAAGGAGAGGAGGAGCAGGAGCTGGAATTGCTGATTAAATGGACGAACATGAGCTACTTCCACTTGGACTGGATCTTCAAGTCGGACTTTGAGTTGTTGGGACAGGGAGTAGGTGCAAGGAGCCATGGAGTTGATCGTAGGCGGTGTTCCGCTATCGACACTATGTGAAGAAGAATAGCCAGCAGATCGAGCATTTCAATACGAACGAGGAGCTGCCTCGTGACGAAGAGTACTACGACTCCGAGCTGGCGTCGATCGACCGCGTGCTCTGCATCCACAAGGTGAAGAACAGCGAGAACCACGCGACTTCGGAGTATCCTCCGGACCTAACCACCTACCAGAAGGTGAAGCTGATTCTGGAGAGTCCGCTGGTGAGCTACTTCTACACACCCTATCGCATCTACCTGATGCAGAGCTATATCAAGGGCGTGGACGACCTGAACAATCGTCGAGCCGAGTTGAAGGCCTCCGTGGCGGGATCCAACGACGATATCTCTTCCGAAATGCACCAGTATGACGAGCTGGAGAAGCAGTACGAAGCCAAGCTGCCGCCCATGGTGCCGCTGCCGAAGGAGCAGACCTTGGTGTTGGTGAAATGGAACAACCAGACCTACGACCAGGTGACGTGGGAGCTGGAGGAGGACGTTCAGCAGGAGCAAAGCAAGATCATTATTTTCCGACGCAACGAAACGCCTCCAGATATCAAGAGCATCGTTTCGGTCTCTACGTGGGCGGTCTGAGGAAACCTGACATGTGTAGGGATAAACGGCCTCCACCGGAGAGCTACCGCCAATACAAGGATAGCATGCCTCTGAAGAACGGTGTGGTTCTCCGAGAGTACCAAATCGAAGGTGTGAATTGGCTGATCTTCTCGTGGTATCAGCGTCGCAACTGCATCCTGGCCGATGAGATGGGACTGGGGAAAACCTTGCAGGTAGGACTTGGGGAAGGCGGCTTAGACGCAGTCGATCGCGCTGCTGAACCACTTCTACACAGTGGAGCATATCCGAGGTCCGTTCCTGGTGCTGGCGCCGCTCTCTACGCTGGGTCACTGGAAGCGAGAAATCGAGAACAGCACGGACTTGAACGTGGTGTTGTAGGGGCGAGACATGGTTGTGAGGACTAGTTATCACTCTCCGCATGGCGGTATTGAATCGAGAGAGCGAATCCGAGCCTATGAGTTCTACTATCCGGGGTACGAGAACTCGGGAGTGTACAAGTTTAACGTGCTGCTCACGACCTACAACATTCTCATGTCCGATCTGGAGGTGCTGCAGGATATTCACTGGAAATATCTGATCATCGACGAGGCGCAGCGCGCGAAGAGCCAGAGCACGAAGTTGTTCTCGGCCCTGAAGCAGATCCGTGCAGACGCGAAGCTGCTTCTGACGGGAACGCCGCTCCAGGTAAGGATTCAAAGAGGTGTGTGAAGGGCAGAACAACATGAGCGAGTTGTGGTCTTTGCTGAACTTCATCGAGCCGACTACCTTTTCATCGGAGATGGATTTCATCAACCGTTATGGCAATCTAACCTACGCAAACCAGGTCGCCTCTCTGCATCAGCTGCTCCGTCCCTACTTTTTGCGTCGCGTGAAATCGGATGTGGAGAAGAACATTCCTCCCAAGACGGAAACGGTAATCGATGTGGAGCTAACCATGCTCCAGAAGAAGTACTACCGCGCCATCTATGACCGCAACCGAGCCTATCTGGAGTATGAGGGCAGCAGCATGGCGCAGCTAGTTAGCATTGTGGTAGGCGAAGGGGTGGCTGGCTGACCGATAGACGGAGCTGCGAAAGTGCTGCAACCATCCGTTTATGATTCGAGGCGTGGTGGCCAAAGAGACTCACGACGATCGGTTTCTCTATCAGAAGCTGCTGGTGCAGGCGAGCGGCAAGTTCGTGCTGCTGTCCAAGCTGCTGCCCGAGCTGCACCAGGAGCACCACCAGGTGCTGATTTTTTCGCAGTTTATCACCACGCTGGATCTGCTGGAGGACTTGCTGGCGCTCCTGGAGTTTTCGTTTGACCGGCTGGACGGGAGCGTTCGGGGCGATCTGCGTCAGCAGAAGATCGACCGGTTCAACTCGGGGAAGGTCTTTGCGTTTCTGCTGTCCACGAAGGCGGGAGGCTTGGGGCTGAACCTAACGGCTGCGGACACCGTGATCATTTTCGATAACGACTGGAACCCGCAGAACGACGTGCAGGCCGAGGCCCGCGCGCACCGCATCGGGCAGCAGAAGCCCGTGCAGGTGTTCCGTTTGGTGACGAAAGGAACGTACGAAGAAGACCTGTTCAGCCGAGCGAGCAAGAAGCTGGGCCTCTCTCAGGCCGTGTTTGAATCAGGAGGCATCCAGTCCCACTTCCGCGGCCCCACGCTGGACAACACGAGCAGTCTGCTCGACATGGATGTGAAGAAAATCGAGCAGCTGCTGAAGTTTGGTGCCTACGCGTTCGCCGATACTGTGGACACGGAGAACCAGATCAACACGCTGGACTTCAAGGAGTTCATGAAGCGGAACAGCCGAACGTATGTGATTAAGGACACGCCGAATGGGGAGGAGTCGACGCAGATCGAAGGTCCGCCGGAGGAGGATAGCGCGAGGAAGCTGCGATTCAACCAGGCCTACTTCGTGCCTCGAAACAACAAAGAGATCGATTTCAAGGACCCCCAGTTCTGGGACAAGGTGTTGGGTCCTCGGATGGGTGAGCGATTGTTCCGGAACTTGGAGGTAAGCGCGGGAAGGAGGAGTGACGGGTAGCACATTCTGCAGAGCCACGATTTGGGGGAGATCCGCGACTATTTGATCGATTTGAACACGCTGTTAGTGGACGTGATCAAGAAGAAGATGGGCGGCAACACCCACCACGACTACTCGAATCTGATGAATCTGCTGCACACGCTGGCCGAGAGCAAATTCTTTTTCGGCGATGTGAACATCAGCGAGCTGGCGGTGAAGTGGAAGGAAGTGGTGGAGATGAAGGGTCGCCAGCTCCGTCGGAAGAAGCTGGTCCAGGTTCCCTACACGGTGGACGGCTACACGGTGGAGCTGACGGACTTCGCGGACTCGGAGGCCATGTCGCTCCGCCACATCTACACCGACACGGAGAGCGATTCGGTGAGTCGTCGCACCACCAAATCGCGCGGAGCCAAGCGTTCCAGCGAGGCGGACAGCGAGAAGACCACCAAGCGTCGCCGCAAGCGCGCTGCCGCGCCGCCCGTGTCGGACGAATCGCACTTGGCGGTGCGTCTGAACGTGCAGCAAGTGGACGGGCGCGCGGTGTACTCGTTCAGCGAGGTCGTGGACCAGACTCCTGTGGTGACGAAGACGCGAGGCCGCAAGCCGCGCGTCGCAGCGGAGGAGAAGGACTTCGCCCGGAAGGTGAAGAAGCCGCAGTTCGAGGTGTACTTCGACCTGAGCAGCGAGATCAACAAGATGAGCTACAACATGTATCGGGAGAATTGGCAGAACTACCCCCACGAAAAGTGGTACTGCTGCGTGTGTTTCGGGGATGACGACATGCCGCAGAATCCGATGCTGCGGTGTGCGTGCTGCGGATGCATCGTGCACAAGTACTGCTATGGAGTGGACCCGCTGCCGAGCAATCCGAGCGAGTGGCTGTGCGACTACTGCCAGTACGTGAAGGACAACGGACTGACCTGGAAAGGACAGGAGCTGGTAGGGAGCTGGATGGGAGGAGGACTGACCGGTAGGCCTGCCCGCTGTGCTACTTCACCGGAGGGTGCTACAAGAAGACAGTGACGAACAGCTGGGTGCACGTGCTGTGCGCGGTGTGGGCGAGCGAGATCCGCTTCGGCGATGAACTCCACATGCGCAACGTGAGCGGCATCGAGAGCATTCCCGACAACATGCGGAAGTACAAGTGCTTCTTGTGCCACAAGACAGGTAGCTACGTGCTGACGGTAGGAGAGAGAGAGGGAGGGCTGTGATGCGTAGTGCATGCACCCGGTGTGCTCGAAGCACTTCCACCCGGTGTGCGGAAGAAAGAGCGGGTTGCGGATGGAGTGGGTGGCGAATGAGGGGTTACAGGCGTTCTGCGACAAACATGGGAAGAAGAAAAAGACACGATCGGCGTCGACGAGTACTACTTCCCGTAGGACTCGGGTCATCACGTCGGATCGTGAGGATAGTTATCAGGACGGGGAAGAATAGTGTATTTCGTTTAACTTGTTTTTTAAGATACAAGATGTACAGTGGTTAGCATGATCTACTTTCTTGATAATCAAGGGTAATCCAATATCACTCGTATCAACTCATTTCTTATTATCTTGAGTTAATAATGCGCGTTATTCCGTATATTGTGCTGCTCAGCGTTGTTCTGGCAGATTGGTGCAAGCCCACCTTCTCAAATATTCCTTATGACCTGACTAAGCTTCAACGTAGTGACAGCGATTACTATGTAAAACTTTACAGTCCTGATGATAGCTGGAACAGAACGTAACCTTGTTTGACTGGAAAATCAGAATTAGGATCGTCTTCAACGTTTGCCGTGATACTGTTTCTATTCCTCGCGATATCAATGGAGGAAATGGATGTGATGAGACTCCTCACACCGTTGATGGAGACCAGGCCATTATGACATCGGAATCGGCCCCTGCCTTTTTGATTGAGAAAAAGGGTGCCGCGAGTGCTGCTTGCTACAGATTGGGTCTCCAGGCCAATCAGCAGAAGAACATGGACGTGGAGCTTTACGATGTTACCGATCCTGCGATGGGCGTGAACATCAAGTACACGGAGGGAGATTACTGCTGCCCTTACCATCAGTGCGAGAGTTATCAGTACCGCCAGAAGTCTCTGACCGTGTCTTTCCGTTGCGCGGATGCACGAACTGATATTCCGACGATGTCGAGCATCGAGACGAGCAACAACGAGTGCGACTACAAGCTGTACTTCCTGAACGTCAATGCCTGCCCGACGAGTGGGGGATGTGTGGAGAGTGTGAAGATGTAGACTGCCCTGTGGTAGATAACAACGTGTGCGGCTCCCACGGCGTGTGCGGTTACGACTCCAATATCAAGACCACCCGCTGCTTCTGTACTATGCAGTACACTGGAGCAGATTGCACGGTCTTCCAGTACAAGAGTCTCCTCAGTATGAACACTTTGGTCATCGTGCTGACAATCGTTCTCACCCTGGTCACTATTAGCACGATCTTCTATGTTTGGAATAAGTTGCGGAAGATCAATGTGAACCCGGATGCTTTCGAGAACCTGGAGAATAAGTTCAATGAGCTTGGACAGATGGCTTATTAATCTCTTGTCACTTATCGCTATTTCGTTCTCTTGTTTGTTGGAAAATGATGGCGAGTTGCCTATTGAGTAATGAGAAATACAAAAAGTGTGAGAATTGTTGTTACCCCGATAGACGACTTGGCTCGGTGATTGCGCAGTCCTTGCCTTATTTCATCGAGTAAAATGGAGAGACCCGAAATCAAGGTGAATCCAAAAGTTACCAATGTGCTTCTCTGTAGTAAGATAGTGTGTGGTACATCAAAATTACACATTTGGCAATCGCTCTGGCTCTCTTTCGATATTTGGTAGAAACGTACAGTGATTCGCATTGTTTGATCATCAATGAATCATTGTTCATGTGGCATCTTTCAGCTTTTTGATACTGTTCGTGTGAATTGTAAGAATTGTTGATCAATTCGTGTTTGTTCTCACTTCTTGTAGAATCAAATATGGATATTTGGGATTGTGTTGGTGATGAAAATGAGGACGAGTTTGGATTCTCTCGATTGCTGATTGGATAGGCCTATTGATTCTCTCCTTAGCGCCGAGAACGTTGACTTGGATGCTGTGATCCGCAGTCCTGACCTTATTCAGGAGATCAGTGGATTGAACGCTGATCTGATCGCTTACCTCAAGAAGCCAGAGATCATGATGTCTCTCTTCAAGTTTGTTACAGACCCCGCTCCTGAGAGTGACGAGTTCGGACACTACAAGGTCCCCTATCAGGCTGCAGAGAGTATTGCGTGCTTCCCTGCCAAGGATCTTGTGGAACCTGCGCAGAACGAGGAGGTGATTAAGGCGCTCTTTGCTATGTTCGAGGGCCAGACCATCCGCAAAACGTAGTTCTTGCTATTTGGCTCCGATCTAGTGAGGCTGGATACATTTCCAAGATTGTGTCCGCGTACATCTCCGCGGCTCCTTCCCAGATGTACGCCTACTTGGCCGCTCACTCGGAGTCGGTCCTGTCGAGCCTTGCCAAGAATTTGATGCACTTCGGCACTTGCGATATCGTCCGTTTCCTTCTGGACGTGCCTCTGGAGAACGAGAAGCCCTGGTGGGGCGAGAGTGCTTCTTTCGTTGAGCCCTTCCTCGAGTGCCTTGCGAATCCCGAGATGACGAGCTACGCTTCGCTTCTGTTCACATCGATCATTCAGCGCGCCACCGTCTTCGTGTAGGTGTTCGCATGAGTGTTCATCGCAGCAAAACGGAGGCTCCGCGAGCTGCGGGCACGCTGATTCCCTACCTGCTCTCGAGCGCCACGGCGGAGCGTCTGCTGAAGATCGGCTTCGAGGCCACGGACCCGTTCGTGGGGGGCAACACCTTCGCGGTGCTGTCGCGTGTGTTCTGGACGAAGCTGCCCAGCGGTAGGTTCGCGAGGGAGGAGGACTGATCGCAGAGAAGTCGGGTCTGGGCGGCGAGGACAACGCGCTGCTGACCGAGGGCGTCGATGACCGCGAGCGACTGGAGATGGGAACGTTCAAGATCCCCGAGACCACGAAGGCGGTGCGCGAGGTGCTGCTCGCCCATGCCGATGACTTCGTGCAGCTGCTGCAGCGTGCGGCGGAGGGCGAGAAGTGTGTGAAGAACGTGGACGATGTGGAGAGAAAGGTGTGCCCGCAGAGCGTGATGCTGCTATCCGAGATGTTCGATCACTTGTTCGACTATGCTGAGCCCGATCTCTTCGTCCAGGCTCTGCAGAAGGGACTCATCAAGCAGCTGCTGGAGACCGTGAAGACCTTCTCGTTCAACACGTATCTGCACTGCCACGTGTTCGGTATTCTGCGCAGACAGATCGAACGCGGCGATCTGCAACTCACGAAGCAGATCTTCGATGAGACGGCTCTGCTGGATATGATGAAGGAGGGTGTGGTATTGGTGGGTTTGCGAGTATGCTGTGACGCATAGAAACGCCTCCCTCTGCGCGGCCAATACAATCATATGGTGGTGTTCCTGCGCGACCTCGCCAAGAGCAACGCGGAGTTCAAGGCGCTGCTGGAGGGCTATGCACAGTGGAAGGAGATCGAGCAGAGCATCGCGGTGGATGACCTGGAGATCATTCTCTTCGACGTGGGCAGCGAGGCGCAGACCACCGTCCCGGTGAGTCTGACCGATATTAAGATCGACGACGATGTGGAAATGCCCAAAGCCGCCAAGGTGGAGAAACAGCCAGAGCCGAAGCTCGAGGAGGACGACTTCGACTTTGACGAGCCCGCAAGCGCAGAGCCTGCTGCCAAGGCGGAGAAGAAAGTGAAGAAAGTGAAGAAGGTCAAGAAAGTGAAGAAGGTCAAGAAGGTCAAGAAGAGCGAAAAGGCGGAGCAGGAGGATGAGGACTTTGGAGATGAGGACTTTGGAGACTTTGAGGAAGCTCCGGCTCCCAAGAAGGAGGCCAAGAAGGAAGCGAAGAAGGTCGCTGATGACGATGACTTCGGAGATGAGGATTTCGACTTTGATGAGGCTCCGGCTCCAAAGAAAGCTCCCAAGAAGGAAACCAAGAAGCCCGCTAAGAAGGCAGCAGAGATCGAGGATGAAGATTTTGACTTTGATGAGTAAAGGAGACAAGCCATTCGTTTGTTTAAAAAACAATGCAATAAGTACCCCTTTTAACTACTATACCACATACTGATAAACTGGAAGAGAGCTAGAAGTCAATCCCTTTGTACAAAAATACTGGAACCAACAATCACGAAAGCAAAGAACGCCATAGCCCAGGGACCCACAGGGTACTTCGTATCCTCCTTCTAAAAGTGAGATAAAGTTTCAGTACGTACCTTTTCGACTACATCGTGCTCAATAGCCTTCTTGGTGAATTTGGATGATCTCTTAGTGATGGTTCTCGATTCCTATATGTAACCTTATAACGGGAGTAAACTACGGGCATTCTGTTATACAATAATAAATGACAATTCCATGTGCACAAAATAGATATCATTTTCGTACAACGACATGCATTGTTTCGAACATGATAATAGCAATGAGCTAGTGAACAAACAAGCAAACAGTGAAATTAGGGAGAAAGGGCGATGGTTTGTCTGGGAAAAAAGGAAGAAAGGGATTTACAACACGTCAAGCTATAATAGTGGATAGTGGGACAAATGAATTGGTAAGCAAGCAAGCAAGCAAGCAAATACACAAATAAAGATGCAGACAAACAAACAAACAAACAAACAAACAAACAAACAATTATTTATCCTTTGATTACAGCAATCGGTCGGAGCTTCAAGACCTTCTTTGAAATACCCGCTTCATGGCCTATCGTTCACTATCCCTCCCTTCCATACAGGTATTGCAGACGTCTTCAACATCCTTATAACTCTCTGGTGCTTCCTCCATCACCAACTTTGGAGAAGCCATGCGGATGGTAATGTTCTTCTCTCGCAGTCTCTGGATGACTTCCTCGTATGTGAGCTCCCTCCTACACATCAGGCATCGTCTCCGATCCGACCGAGCCTTGGAGCGGCTGAGAGCTCGTCCTGCGCCATGGCAAGTGCTTCCCCAGGTTTCTTTGAACCCTTTATCGGTGCCCACCAGCACGTAGGAGCACGTTCCCATCGATCCTCCGACGAGGACGGGCTGTCCGGTGAACTGGGCTGAGAGAATCGCATCGACTCCTACCTGGTAATCCACGGGGATCAACGGGTGGTGCGGCGGGAAGGCGCGCGTGGCGCCCTTGCGGTGAACAAGCAGCGTCATCGGCTTTCCGTTGACCATGTGCTGCTCGACCTTGGCGATGTTATGACTCACATCGTAGATAACGTGCATGTCGAGATCATCGGGACTCATTTTGAACACTTTGCTGAAGGCCTGGCGCGTTAAAAACGTCAGCACGGACCGATTCACCCACGCGAAGTTCGCTGCCGCGGCCATACCGCGGAGATAATCCTGGCCCTCCGGGGACTGGATGGGCGCGCAGGCGAGCTGGCGATCGTTGACCTCGATTCCGTAGCGATTCATGACTCTCTCCATATCGACGAGCGAGTCCGACGCGACTTGATGTCCCAATCCCCGGCTTCCCGAGTGAATCATGATCACCACTTGTCCGCAGAACTCGATTCCCATTTTCTTCGCGGCCACTGCGTCAAAAATCTCGTCCACCACCTGGATCTCCGCGTAGTGGTTCCCTGCGCCCAGTGTGCCCAGCTGCGGTTGGCCGCGGTGCTGCGCGCGCGCAGAGACTTTGGCGGCGTCCGCGTTGAGCATGCGACCATACTCCTCGCAGTGCTCCTTGTCCTCGCTCCAGCTGTAGCCTTCGCGCAGACACCAGTCCATTCCCAGAGACTAGATCGTCATAGGTTCGGAATGGTACCAGAGCGTCCACGAGGCTTTGGTTCGTGATGGGAATGATGCCCTTCGAACCGACACCTACAGGAATGTGATCGTAGAGGGCCTGAGCAAGCTCTTCTTTCACAGGAAGCACGTCCTGCTCGCTGAGATTCGTTCGGATCAGACGAACGCCGCAGTTAATATCATAACCCACACCACCTTCACGTAACCGAAGAAAATTATAAAACAAACCTGGAGATACGACGGCCTTCGGGTCGTTCATATCGAAAGCAGCGATATTTCCAATAGCAAAGCCATAACCGCTGTGTGTGTCAGGAGCTGCACAGACGTGCTATGCATAAATAGAATGCATAAAATGCACATCAACAACTCCAGGAAGAGCTGCAACATTAGCGAGTTGCTTGACTGCTGGAATAAATCCACCACTATTTCCCTTTCTATCTGTATACTGTCTTAGTTCTTGAAAAAGTAGCTCTCGTAAGTTTTCATTTACATATACATATCCAGGAACCTAAAACTCGATCCTGTGTTAAGGTTTTACTTTTTGATTCTTCACAAACCCCTTATCAATGCGATACCGGCAAACACCGTCTTGATGAATGTACTTCATTTCCTAGAGTTCACTCTTTCAAGATGAGCTACCTCATCGAAAGTACGAACCACAGATCTTGAATCAGTGACAAAATCTTGCATAGAAACTATAATGTTTGTTCTAACAAATTATGACAACATAATTGGCGATTAATAATGAGAGTGTCGGTGGCGATGAGAGTAGGAATGAGAGCGTGATCGAGAGCGTGATCGCGATTTAGAACGACTTCGGTTTCCCCAACCCGATCGATATCTCGATCGCTCCCTGTGTTTAAAACAGAAACTATGTATACAAATAGCCTCTTCCTTTGTATTCACTGCCATCTGCCGATATCTAGATCACCAGGGAAGCATCGCATGTACATGATGATAGGACCGAGACTTCGAAGCATCCAGAGAATTTGACAACTCCGTATTTCCGTCGTTCTACATTACAATGAAATCGAAATCGAAATCAAAACCGAAACCGAAACCGAAACGCCATTCACCACTGTCACTTGTTCCCCTCTTTTCTCAGAATCTCTTTCTCCTCCTTTATCTTCGTTCTTCTCCGACTCCTTCGACTCCTTCGACTTCTCCGACTTCTCCGACTCGCTTAACTCGCTTTCCGAATGATGCCCATGATGTCTGTGATGGCGATGGCGATGATGTCCGTGGTGGCCACGCTGCTCCGCATTTCCGCTAGGAGATACACTTCTCTCCTTTATCTCTCCACATCCAATCACAACGCAGTCCTTCAGAGGCTTGTCCTTCGCATCCGTTGGTTGGTTTTCTATTTGCCGAACAAGTTCCATTCCCGCGATTACCTCTCCAAACACAACATGTTTGCCGTCGAGGTGCGGGCATGGAACCGTTGTTATAAAGAACTGAGATCCGTTTGTATTTGGGCCGGCGTTTGCCATGGATAATAACCCAGGCTTGGAGTGTTTGTACTTGAAAGACTCATCAGCAAACTTTTGCCCGTAAATACTCTCGCCCCCTGTTCCATTCTACGTTGAAATCATTAAAGTTGTATACAAATCGTGTGAAATCACCCCCTTGGATCATGAAGTCCTTTATCACGCGGTGGAATACAGAACCGCGATAATGAAGTGGTTTCCCGCTTCTTCCATTTCCCTTCTCCCCTGTACATAACGCTCTAACCGAAAGCCATTCAATGTTAAGATATACCTAAAATTCTCAACTGTTTTGGGAAGATCCTGTGCTATTACTAATATGGACTATAAATATACCGGATAGAGCTGGAACACGATGCGACCCACTAAAACATATATGTCGATAGTTTTTCCGTACTTTCCTTCCCTCCAATAGATATATCAAAAAAGCACTTTGGTCCACTCATACTTTTTTAAAAATGAGTTGTCAGAATAGTTATCCAACTCCTCCTTCATATTATAAAGACTTTGGTATTCCAATGCTACATCCATTTTGAATGATAGAGTCCTCTGCAACTGCATTACCCCCACCTCGCCCAATTGAAGGTGAATTCTGGAGCAATGGGTCTGTTCGGTGTCGTGATGTATTGAAGCCTTGATATTCTCGAATGTAGATGCCAATCTTTGAAACTGTAAAACCTGTCTATAAACAATTGTACGATGAAAGAAAATTTAAAGAAAATGGTGATGCCAAGGCAGAAGCCGCGTATATGTAAGGACTTCTTGAGGCTTTCATGAAATAGGCTTTTAAATCAACTCATGTCCTCATTTCTCAGGTTATTAGAGCAAGCAAACGAAACAAGCAAAGATTCATTAGAGTAGTCGTTATTGAGCGTTTTCTTAGAAGGCCATTGATGAAAGAAATTGAATGCATTGTAATGAATATAACGCGCTTGCTGAATTACATTCGTCCTTATCAGTTACGGGAAAATCTTATTCGTAAGTTAAAACAGCAGGTAGAACAGAAAGAGAAAATGCTGGGAGAAATCAAATCAAAAATGGAGGAGTTCAATGAGCATATCGCGGAATGTCACAAGGCATTGGATTCCAAAGATAATCCTTCGGAAGTTGAATCCATTCGACAAAGACTGGAAGCATTAATTCAACGAGAAGAATCATCCCCTAAGATGGATGAAGAGTTAATTGTTTTATCGAACAAACACTTCACAGCCTCACATAGGACTTGAGAATCCGGAAGATATCATTAATAAGGCCGATCTGCTCTGCGCTATTTTCACTAACGATACCTAGACATCAATGCAATAATGGCTATAACTACTGTAAATGTGAATAGCTTCCAACTTGAGAAGAACTTCATCGCGGATGATGCGATGAAGCAGCTTTAAGTTATCGAGCGAAAATTTCACATCTAGAATCAATCCGACCCTTCAAAGCAAACAATCAAAGGTCAAATCTCGAAGATTGTCAAGGTGATGTTCGTTGATTGCTGTTAATACAACATTGATCTGCTCCTCCGTCATTACCGTTCCTACAACTAAACGATTGGTTTCCTCGTGTACGCATAAAGCTCAATTCTTCAATGTTGTGCATGTTTTCGCATTCCATAAAGCGTTTCAACACATCACAATTCACTCCCGTCAGATCCGTTTCTATAGTAGAATCCATGTCTACCTTGCGTACGACAAATGCAGAGCGTGTTAATGTTCCGGCAGTTAGCAGTGATGAAGGTCTCCATGAAAAGCTCCATTATTTCTGGTAAAATCGAAAGATCTAGACTAACAAAAGAGAATCGGGTCGTACTGATTCGAATACTTAAAAGACCCGATTGATCGAGTTTCAAGTCTTCGATTAGTTGGAGAATTGCAGGCAGAGATCCCTGCAGAACATTATTCCGGTTGATATTTCGGTGCTGTCGCTGACGATACGTCAGGTCTTCACTGCTCGTCGGCAAGTCAACGAAAGGCTTCTGTCCCCACAGTATTACTGGCTAGCGAGAGTGATCCTTCTCTGGGAAGATTGAGGAGACGAACGGCTTTGCGTTGGGATTCAGAGATGAGTGAAGCGCTGTTAGAGTCAATTGCTTTTTTTGCTTCTTTGCCCTCTTCGCCTTGCTCGTCTTTTTCGCTGTCTTGGCTTTTTGTGGTGGCTTTTCTTCTTCTGTGTTCTGTTTTGCTCCTTCATCTTTTTCCTCCTTAACAGTCTTTTCTCCCTGCTGCTGCTGTTGTTGTTGTTGTTGTTGTTGTTGTTGTTCTTTTTCTTTTCTCTTTTCTTTTTGTTGTTTTTTCTTTCCCTTCTGCTTCGGTTTTTCTCCTTGCTGCTGTTGCTGTTGCTGTTGCTGTTGCTGTTGCTGTTGCTGTTGCTGCTTTCCCTTTTCTCCTCCTTCGGCTGCTGCAGATTCTTTCTTTCCTTTGTTTTTTCTCTCCTTCTTTTTCAGTTTGGAGTTTCCTTGAGAATCAGGAGATGAAGAGCCGCTCGTATCTATATTGTTAGTAGCATTATCTATCATTGTGCATACACTTAATAGTAATGTCTTGTAGAGCAGGGAAAAATCCCTCGCGAATAAGACGTTCTAAATGGTCCTTATTGATTGCTTGTCTACCTACAGAGAGACCAATATGTTAATCCTCACATTCAAGACACAGATGTTCTAATTTTGGAAACGGAACGCTTCTCATAGACAAAAGACACGAACTAATATGGTCCTCAGACTCTTTGGTTAATACCAATGTAAGGTTTGTATGTTCTTTGAAGCAGCCATCCTCAAGAGCTTTACCAAACTTCCTTTTCCACACACTCAAATCAATAATATCTTGCTTCTCCAAAACCACAGATCGATCAACTCGAAAAACCGGAATTATATATCCCTTCGTGATAGAAAATACCTTTTTCCCGGGTTTAATTGGTTTAATAAACGATTCTGCCTGAACATCGAGGTCAGACGGAAAAACGCTCAAACCATTCTTGTTTAGGCACTAAAGTTAACAAAATAGACTTCATAGCACCTGAACTATAAGATTTCTCAGCCCTTGCGTTCCTATTGTCTTCTTGACGTAAATTTGGTAATCCGTTCCTTGATAACAAAAAGTGACATTGGGGATTCCCTTTTTATTCGATTTTACATCACTGCAAACTATCTATTGCTCAAGCTACCGACAATAACCAACATCGCTAGTTTTGATTACTTCCACATTCACAGATTGCTTTCCTTCCTCCTTCTTTTGTATTTCCTCAGTCTTGTGTTGGTTTTCCATTTCTGCTGGAATTACACTATCTCTGGTTATTTCAGAACCAGATTGTTTCTCTTCATGGCTGTTATTTGTGTTGCTCATTAATGGATCCTTACAGAGTTTTTATGAATCATGAGTGGTAGTTTCATTGTAATGTAGAAACAAATGTTGATTGTAAATAATGGAAATGAAATACTCAGAGCAGAAATATCATAGAAATTAATTCAATTCAATTAATCATTATTATGAATGAGAATATTTATACTATTTCACTTTTGAGTCTGTTGTGTAAATTCATTATTAATTTGTGAGAATATTGCTGATAATGTAAATATTGCCCATTCTTTCAATGATGATAAATACATAAATTTCTTTTGAAATAATAGGTATTAATTAATATTGATGTATTCAATGGCCACATTAATTCGATTCTTTTAATTCATAAAACAAACAATCCTTATTCTTTCAATTTAGCAATCTCCCCTTGAACATTCTTCAACTGGCATAAGAACAAGTAACAGATATCACAGAAACGCTACATGATTACTCCATCTATCATAAAAAGGTACCTTGTCTTCTCCGATCCTATCGACAGTCATGTACTTGTTGCAACATGCAGAGCAGAACACTTCACCGCAATATCGGCAATGACTACATATCGAAGATGATTCAATTACCCTACTGTCTTCTTCTGAATAAGGTAAACGAATTGCCACAGTTCATACAACTATGGACTGCCTTGTCAGGTATGGGTGGGAGCGGGCGAACATGACTATTTATAAGATTCAACTGATGCTGAAGGATAATAATGATTGATTTGGATATTGCAGATTCATAAGGAGAGCCTTGAGTAGAGGTAGATGATAAGAGAAGATTTAGGGATTTAACCATACTTTCCAAATTAGCATTAAGTGTTCTAGGATTACTACCAGCTTCTTGAGGTTGAATGGGTTCTGGAGCAGTGATTGTGACAGGTAATTCCTTTTCAACTATCTTCTGTTCTGCTGGAACTGATTCCGTTTCATCTTTATGTTGTAAGGCTGCTTTCTGTTTTAGAGACACGTTCTCAGTCAGTACTTGTTCATAAAGATTTTGGAGGGCATCAACTTCAGCACAACGATTCTTCAGCGACTGATGTGTTATTTCTTCAGCTCTTAATTGGGCTTGTGTTTCCTTGAGTTGACTTTCTGCTTGATTCAATTTCTTTTCTAATTCCTTCATATCTTCCACTTGTTTAGCAGAATGCTCAAGTAATTCATTCACTTCCTCTTCTTTCTGAGCGATACGCAAAGTCATTTCTTTATTCTCTTTCTCCGCGTCTTCTAATTTGCTTTGTAGTTGAGAGACTGAACTCCTTAAGCCCATCACAGTTTCATCTAGTAGTTCAACACGAGTTTTCAGATCATCCGCTACGCTTTCTTTAGTAGCAAGAGTAGAAATTAGTTCTTCTTTCTCATTCTCGCTCTCCTCAATTGATTTCTTCAAGTCTTCAATCTCATTTTCTTTAGTAGCAAGAGTGGAAATCAGCTCTTCTTTCTCATTTTCACTCTCAACATTCGATTTCTTCAAGTCTTCTATCTCTTTATTCAATGTTGAGTTTTCCTTCTTTGTATTGATTATACGAATAGCATAATCCTGAACTCTCTTTTCTGATTCAGATAACTCTGATTTCAATCGGTTCAATTCTTCAGTTTCGCTTTCTTTGATAGCAAGAGTAGAAATCAACTCTTCTTTCTCATTTTCGCTCTCCTCAATTGATTTCTTTAAGTCTTCAATTGATTTCTTCAAGTCTTCAGTTTCGCTTTCTTTGATGGCCAAAGTAGAAATCAGCTCTTCTTTTTCATTCTCACTTTCAACATTCGATTTCCTTAAGTCCTCAATTGATTTCTTTAGGTCTTCAATTGATTTCTTTAGGTCTTCAGTTTCGCTTTCTTTAGTAGCAAGAGTAGAAATCAGCTCTTCTTTTTCATTCTCACCCGCAACATTCGATTTCTTTAGGTCTTCAATTGATTTCTTTAGGTCTTCAATCTCTTTATTCAATGTTGAGTTCTCCTTCTTTGTATTGATTATACGAATAGCATAATCCTGAACTCTCTTTTCTGATTCAGATAACTCTGATTTCAATCGGTTCAATTCTTCAGTTTTATTTTCACCCGCAACATTCGATTTCCTTAAGTCTTCAATTGATTTCTTCAATTCTTCAGTTTCGCTTTCTTTGATGGCCAAAGTAGAAATCAGTTCTTCTTTCTCATTTTCGCTCTCCTCAATTGATTTCTTCAAGTCTTCAATTGATTTCTTCAATTCTTCAATCTCATTTTCTTTGATGGCCAAAGTAGAAATCAGTTCTTCTTTCTCATTTTCGCTCTCCTCAATTGATTTCTTCAAGTCTTCAATCTCATTTTCTTTGATGGCCAAAGTAGAAATTAGTTCTTCTTTCTCATTTTCGCTCTCCTCAATTGATTTCTTTAGGTCTTCAATTGATTTCTTTAGGCCTTCAATTTCTTTTTTATTCATAGTATTGCTATCACAAAGTTCTTCAATATACTTATCTTTCTTTGATATTTCACTTTTAAGAGTAGTGACTTCGACATTATGATTATATATACATGAATTAAGAGCTGGTAACTCATTTTCATAGATAGCTATTCTACGTCTTAATTCCTTAATCTTTCTGTTTGCATCATTCATATCATTATCTTTATTAGAGATAGATAATCGTAAACTACTAATTTCTGAGTCAGATGCTACAAGTGATAATTGCATGTTTGCAAGGCTGCTTTGTAAACTTAATAACTCTGATTTTAGCTGTACTATAGTCTGATTCATAGTCTCCCTTTCCTTCTCGAATGATTGCTGAAGAGCTAATTCTGAATCTTTCTTCTGCTGTTCCATATTGGATATAGCTGCAAGAAGAGATTGCTCTTTTTCTTCAGCTTCTTTAAGTTTTCTCTTGTAAGCTTCATGAATTGGTTTAAAGCTGACTGTTGATTCTATAGAAATAAGGGATCTATCCTCGTGGCTATTACACAAGAGTGTTTGACCTCCTGCACCCAAAGTTGACACAATCCTATTTTTCAAAACTTCCAATCGTGATGATAATTCCTTCACAGATTGAGTTTTGTATATATGTTCATTGCTGTCTAAACACTGTACTGATAATGTTTCCATTCCTATACCAGTATTCTGTGCCTTTTTGAGAACATTATTACTTGATGACTCGAGACTTTCAGTCGATTTCTTTAGGTCTTCAATCTCACTTTCTTTAGTAGCAAGAGTGGAAATTAGTTCTTCTTTCTCATTTTCACTTTCCTCAATTGATTTCTTTAAGTCTTCAATTTCCTTTTCTTTGATGGCCAAAGTAGAAATCAGCTCTTCTTTCTCATTCTCACTTTCAACATTCGATTTCTTTAAGTCCTCAATTGATTTCTTCAGGTCTTCAGTTTCCTTTTCTTTGATGGCCAAAGTAGAAATCAGTTCTTCTTTCTCATTCTCACTTTCAACATTCGATTTCTTCAGGTCTTCAATTGATTTCTTCAGGTCTTCAGTTTCGCTTTCTTTGATGGCCAAAGTAGAAATTAGTTCTTCTTTCTCATTCTCACTCTCAACATTCGATTTCTTCAAGTCTTTAATTGATTTCTTTAGGTCTTCAATTGATTTCTTTAGGTCTTCAGTTTCGCTTTCTTTGATAGCAAGAGTAGAAATCAACTCTTCTTTCTCATTTTCACTCTCAACATTCGATTTCTTCAAGTCTTTAATTGATTTCTTTAGGTCTTCAATCTCTTTATTCAATGTTGAGTTTTCCTTCTTTGTATTGATTATACGAATAGCATAATCCTGAACTCTCTTTTCTGATTCAGATAACTCTGATTTCAATCGGTTCAATTCTTCTTTCTCATTTTCGCTCTCCTCAATTGATTTCTTCAAGTCTTCAATTTCCTTTTCTTTGATGGCCAAAGTAGAAATCAACTCTTCTTTTTCATTCTCACTTTCAACATTCGATTTCTTTAAGTCTTCAATTGATTTCTTTAGGTCTTCAGTTTCGCTTTCTTTGATAGCAAGAGTAGAAATCAACTCTTCTTTCTCATTTTCGCTCTCCTCAATTGATTTCTTCAAGTCTTCAATTGATTTCTTCAGGTCTTCAGTTTCGCTTTCTTTGATGGCCAAAGTAGAAATCAACTCTTCTTTCTCATTCTCACTTTCAACATTCGATTTCCTTAAGTCTTCAATTGATTTCTTTAGGTCTTCAGTTTCGCTTTCTTTAGTAGCAAGAGTGGAAATTAGTTCTTCTTTCTCATTTTCACTCTCCTCAATTGATTTCTTCAAGTCTTCTATCTCTTTATTCAATGTTGAGTTTTCCTTCTTTGTATTGATTATACGAATAGCATAATCCTGAACTCTCTTTTCTGATTCAGATAACTCTGATTTCAATCGGTTCAATTCTTCAGTTTCGCTTTCTTTGATAGCAAGAGTAGAAATCAACTCTTCTTTCTCATTTTCGCTCTCCTCAATTGATTTCTTTAAGTCTTCAATTTCCTTTTCTTTGATAGCCAGGTTAGAAATCAATTTTTCCTTCTCACTTTCATTTTGTTGCTTTAGCTGACTGTTTCTCTGTTCGAGTTCGATAATATACTGCTCGCATTTATTCAAATGATCCTAAGAGTAATCCAATAGATGTAAGTCAAACAGCATCAATATTAATACCAGAAGCAGAAGGATCTACACATTCGCTACTTTGAGAATTACTTGGATTCTTTGTCATATTTAGAAGTGGAGATAAATTCTTTCTAGATATTATTTCCATAATGCTGTCAAACAGAGAACTTAGGACAATAGAACTTTCAACTAAGGAGGGTAATATTGTAGAATAAGATGGTTTAACATCCTCTTCTTGGAAATCTTCGTTTCCCTCCCAGGGATCTCTATTATACCTTACAATAAAACAACACCATAAAGCCTACATCTTCCTTAACTTCAAAAAGAGTGATTTCTCGTTTCCTTTGTATTTTTGAGTAATAGTTCCTACCTAATTATAATAATTCAGTACAAGTAATCACCCAACTAATCATAATAGGGTCTACTTCAGTATAGAAGGAAACGAGTTGTTCTTCGATATCTGGAGGAATATAAAACGATTCCTCTCTAGAAGTCACCAGAAAAATAACATAAGTACTCATTCTTACTGACTTCATTCGCTGTAGACATGGCAATAACCCTAAGCTATATTTACTCTCAAGGATATAATAACAAAACGCTAACTTATCACTAATAAGAAAAATAAGCTTAGTTAATTGTATATTCTAGTCTATTCAAAAGTGTATCGAGAAATGATACACAAATTTTTGGAATACCAAATATATTGCCATATTCTATTATTGGTATTAAGCATTATTTCTGGTGTAATGACTTATTTTTCCTATATCTGTATATTCACAATAATCTGTATGTAGCAAGGTACTTTTCTAGTCATAGGTTGCATTATAACTACTGGATCAGCAGCAAGTTTATATACTGAAAACGCAGTAAATGAAGAAAACTATAGTAAGATCTTAACTTTGTTTGTAGAGTTATGCGTGTAGATTCTGCTGTAGACCACACTTCCATAGAAAATTCGGATTTTTCAAAGTTTTATGTACGAGATAAGTTACGTAGTCTGAATTTGGCTAACTTGGATTTGAGTGATAGTAGTGCAAATAATAAGATTTCAAGGAGTAAAGAAAATAGCTTACATGGTTTAAATAATGAAAATACGGCCAAAGAGGTGAATGAGTATACAGATTTGAGTATACCTTCTATAGCTCTATCTCGTGATACAGAACGTAAGCTTCAGGATCATAAAGCACACAGTAAGGTTGTGAAGCATAGTGTTATATTACCTCTTGTTGAAGCTTATTATCCTAAGACTAAAGCTGAGGCAGAGGAAGGTTCAGCCAAACTGAGCTCTACTGATGTTAGTTCAAATGGTCCTAAAGATATAACTACTGATGGAGTTGCTAATACTAATGTAACCTTCACGACGAAATTACATAACGACACTGAAAACAAGGAAGCTGTGGAACAAAAAGAGGAAAAGAAAGAAGCTGTGGAAGAGAATGAAGAAAAGAAAGAAGCTATAGAAGAGAATGAAGAAAAGAAAGAAGCTGTGGAAGAGAATGAAGAAAAGAAAGAAGTTGTGGAAGACAATGAAGAAAAGAAAGAAGCTGTAGAAGAAAATGAAGAAAAGAAAGAAGCTGTGGAAGAGAATGAAGAAAAGAAAGAAGCTGTGGAAGACAATGAAGAAAAGAAAGAAGCTGTGGAAGAGAATGAAGAAAAGAAAGAAGTTGTGGAAGACAAAGAAGAAAAGAAAGAAGCTGTGGAAGAAAATGAAGAAAAGAAAGAAGCTGTGGAAGACAATGAAGAAAAGAAAGAAGCTGTGGAAGAAAACGAAGAAAAGAAAGAAGCTGTGGAAGAGAATGAAGAAAAGAAAGAAGCTGTGGAAGAGAATGAAGAAAAGAAAGAAGCTGTGGAAGAGAATGAAGAAAAGAAAGAAGCTGTAGAAGAAAATGAAGAAAAGAAAGAAGCTGTGGAAGAAAACGAAGAAAAGAAAGAAGCTGTGGAAGAAAACGAAGAAAAGAAAGAAGCTGTGGAAGAAAATGAAGAAAAGAAAGAAGCTGTAGAAGAGAATGAAGAAAAGAAAGAAGCTGTGGAAGACAAAGAAGAAAAGAAAGAAGCTGTGGAAGAAAATGAAGAAAAGAAAGAAGCTGTGGAAGAAAACGAAGAAAAGAAAGAAGCTGTGGAAGACAAAGAAGAAAAGAAAGAAGCTGTGGAAGACAAAGAAGAAAAGAAAGAAGCTGTGGAAGAAAATGAAGAAAAGAAAGAAGCTGTGGAAGAAAACGAAGAAAAGAAAGAAGCTGTGGAAGACAAAGAAGAAAAGAAAGAAGCTGTAGAAGAGAATGAAGAAAAGAAAGAAGTTGTGGAAGACAATGAAGAAAAGAAAGACAGTCAAGTGATGGAACAAATCACTAGCACTAACAAGAGTCAAAAGAGGCGAAAAATCCATAAAAGAAAGTCTTCTCAAATAAACCAAATGGTTGTCTCACCAACAACTCAAGATATGAATCAATCTTCTACTAAGGAACCTAATACTAACAAGGATAGTTTATATATCGATAATTTAAAATTGGATAATATTAATAATATTGCTCTAATTAACACTAGTTCTCCCCAAAGTACTGAGGTGCATCCTTCCTCCACAGCATTACCTGTCATGCCCGATGCAGTATTGCTATCGAATAAAGATAAGGAACAACATAAGCAAATCGAAGCCATCGTTTCAAAATCCAATTCTGTTCCTGAGTCTATTGCTAAGGATGCCGTGGACCCTGGAAAACCTGATGAGATGTCAAGCCCATCTATGAATTCAGATTTATCTCATCGGTCTCGTGATCCAGTCCATCATCCAGAATACCCCTATGATAGACCGTATCATCTTCGTTCAAGTGAGGGATATCGAGGCAGACTACGCTTCAATGCGAAGATTATACGAAAGAATATTATAGAAGTACAAATTTCTAGTCATCAGGACGTTTCCTGTTATATTATTGGTCGTTCAGGCCAACGTTCACCCAAGACCACTATCTATTCTACAAAGGGGCGTACTCGCCATATTCACCTATCTTCTTGGTTTACTCCTTATCAGGTAGAATGTGGAGACAATGATGTCTGTACGGTTACAGAGAGGGGCTTGATGAGTAGATGGATGGCATAGAGTATCATTGCAGGATTCGGGATATTCGTTCAAAGCCAGACTAGTTGTCTTGGTTTTATTTGTGTCAGTTCTGTGTTTCTTAACTTTCTTGTAGGAATGGCTCGCTGTTTTAAACGTAGAATCTACTATTTCTTGACTCAATCTGTTCTGGAAGATGGTGAAATCGAAGAGGAGAATACTTTACTTGACGAGTCTTCTCATTCCTATTCGGAATCCCACCATCAAGATGGAGAAGAATACAAGCAGGATCTTATTAGTAAAAAAGCCGGCAATGGTAAAAAGGGAAGAAAGTCCAGAGATTATTTTCATTTGAATCCTTATGTCAATTGCCCACATTGTAGGCCTTTTCTATTTTTATGATATTTAGGTGGGTACCAAAACAATCGGAATGCAGTGGTGTGCCTTAAGTGCAACAATATGTTAGGACAGAGAAAATATTGGAGTGTTTGTTGAAATTACTATTTTACCTACAATAGGAGGAAAGGAGATGCTATCGTTTCGGAACATAAAATACACACAGTATCTCATTAGAAAAGGGCTTTCTGTGTGTTATTCGGCCCCTTTACGTATTTCAGATTGTTATTTTAGATTCTAGAGCTTCCTGTTGTTTATGAGCCAAAAGACACAGAACCAAAATGGAATGCCTTTTGGAAAACAAGTGTTGACTTAACTCCACATCCGGAGTCAAGCAATATTTTCACCATGGTTTGTTATAAGGGAAGGAGTTGTTTTTTAGGTTTTGCCTCCACCAAATGTAACTGGACATCTTCACCTCGGTCATGCGCTCACAGTAGCTATAGAAGATGCGGCTGTGCGTTTTCATCGTATGAAAGATCAAAATGTGAACTGGATTCCTGGAATGGATCATGCCGGAATAGCCACCCAAGCACTATTTGATAAGAAGCTTGCACGCGATGGGAAAAAGCGTGAGGACATGGATAGAGAGGAATATACAAAGCTTGTATGTAGATGGTAGGACTAGTAGTGTGTAGTTAATGGAATGGAGTCAAGAGCATCGAAATCACATACGAGGACAACTGCAGTCCTTAGGAGGATTGCTGAATTGGGATCAAGAGGTGCTTTTTTACATAATGCCTATAATTACGTAGTTCTATACATTAGATCCTGATTATCAAAAACTTGTATCAACTAGTTTCATTCAGTTGTTCTCCCAGGGAGATATTTACCGAGGGGAGAAGATGCTGCACTTTTGCCCGACATTACAGTCCGTTGTCAGCGATATTGAGGTCGACTGGATTGTATTCTTGATTCGCAGCTTGATGAGTGGAATAGGACATTTCAAAACGCCAGACAATCAAACTCCCATCAGGAAAGCAGACCGAGGTTGGAGTGATATATGATCTGAAGTATCCTGTGAAAGGAAGAGAGGGAGAGTTTTTGACTGTCTCCACCACACGCCCAGAAACTATTTTTGGGGATTGTGCTGTTGCTATCAATAGTTCAGACCCGCAATCTATGGCAAGAAGATCACTTTGTATTACATATAGTAGAAATACAAGGGCGGAGAGGCGATAAACCCCTTAACTGGAGAGGCGATGCCAATCATTGTGGACGATATTCTGGTAAATCTTGAATCGGAAGATTTGGGAAAGTGTGTTAAGGTGACTCCATTTCATGATTTCGATGACTATGCTTTTGGTGTTCGGCACCATATTCGCGGGAGATGCGTGATTGATGCATCTGGACATCTCTGCAACAGTGGAGAATATTCTGGAATGGAGCGGTTTGCTGCACGACAGTCGGTAATCGAAGAACTCGATAGGAAGAGTCTGTGTGCTATTGATGGATATGATTCTTATTTTATGTAGTCTTCTCAATGCACGTTCCCACAAAATGCGTATTCCGTTATGTTCGCGTACCGGAGATGTTTTGGAGCCGCGCTTATTAAACCAGGTGGGAACTATTTTCGTTTCGTTGAGACACAGTGGTTCTTCAAGACGGGAACTGTCTCTTCCACCGTGCTGTCTGCCTGCTCGGATCTTGTGGAGAAGCAGCGTCTGCGCCCTTCTTCATCGCTGCACAATCTGGCGCAGTATCTGAAGGCTCCGGAAGATTGGTGCCTGTCCCGTCAGCTGTGGTGGGGCCACCGGATTCCTGCATTCAGAGTGAACACGAAGCAGCCACTGTCGGCACTTCCGCCATGCGGTCCTCATCACTGCCAAGAGAAAGGGGAACTATGGGTGATCGCCTCTTCTGCGAGGGAGGCTTCAGCTATAACCGAAAAGCTAGGAATACCTGCTGGAAGCTACACGTTAGAACAGGACGAAGATGTTTTGGATACTTGGTTTTCTTCGGGTCTTGTTCCCTTTATTATTACAAAGGGGAAGAGTATTTCGCTGATGGAGACAGGAAAGGATATTCTGTTTTTTTGGGTGTGCCGAATGAGCTGGCTCTATGAATCTCTCCAGCATTCGTTCCCATTTGACGCGATCGCGCTCCATTCCATGGTAGTCGATCCTTCTGGGAAGAAAATGTCCAAATCCCGTGGGAACGTGATCGATCCGATGGATATAATCAATGGCCAAACCTTACCGAATCTCATCGAAGCAATTACTGCTCGAAAAGAATTGAGTCCCAAGGAAAAATCCGTGTCTGTCGCAAGCATGAAGCGTTTATTTCCTAAAGGAATTCGGAATTATGGAAGCGATGTTCTGCGCCTGGCTCTACTCAGGTATCGGTTGATTCTATGTTGTAAGTTTTAGCGAGGCAAATCGGATCGGAGGGATAAAGATTAGTCCGGTAAAGCTGGAGTATGGCCGATATATTTCGAACAAGCTATGGAATTTGTTTCGTTTATATGTGAACTACTCGCAAGATGTGAGTGCTCCAATCCATAGTGTGACTCAAGGATCTACCTTGGTCGAGAAATACATTCTGAGTAAATGTGAAGCGGTCGCTCGCGAAATGGAAGGTGATCTAGACATGTATGATGTGGAGAAAGCGTGCCAAAAATCAACAGACTTTTTACTAAACGTGGTTTGTGATTTGTAAGAAACCCTCTTTGCACTGATAAATTAGTTTTGTAGAATTTGTCAAGGCTGATCTGAAAGGGAACTCGGAAACAAAGATTCATTCTCTGGGTGTCTTCAGAACCGTGCTTTCTCATGTATTGAATCAGCTTCATTTATTCCTCCCCCATGAGACAGAAGAGATCAATTCCCAGCTGTCTCAGCCGTTTTGCTCTCTTCTCGAACAGAAATACTTTACAAAAGACAATTTATTACGGCATGGCGCAATCGATCCTGACGCAATAAGCAAAGTGGAAGTTTTCTCTCTGGTTTGCTGTGATGTAGGAAGGGATTTTACTGGTTCACGATGTTCGAAGTCTTCAGAAATTGGTAGGCGATCTTCATACAGATCGATCCAATCCTTCGATTCCATGTGGTTTGCTGTTGAATCAATATGCAAAAAATCTATCTGTTGACCAACTCACGATTGTGAAACGACTTACACGGGTCGACATTCAGATTATGCACAAACTTCCTGACTATTCTCAAATACATATGCCTTCCCAGCTCCCAGGAATATCGGTCCTGTTCGCGATTCCTGAAGAGCGGCAGGTCGGCGTTATAAAGCAACTGCAAGACAATTTAAAGGGCATAGAGAAAAAGATAAGGACCAGTGAGGCAAAGTTGGAATCGATTCGTCAGAATCTTAAAAATCCGATGTTTTTAGAGCGAGCAAGTAAAGAAGTTTGCGAGCAAACAAAAAATGATGAAAAAGTCGTTGAAGAGAATTGTAAGGTTTTACAAAAGAATAGAGATATTTTACTATCACTTATTCGAGAAAATTTATTTTTTGTTTGTTTGAACGAATTGCTTTCACTCTCAAAAGCACGTGAATGTGCTGAAAGTATATGTATTCTCAACACAATTAATATATACACATATATATATTGTGTTCTAAATAATATGCTCCAGGATAAAGCGACTGACAACAAAATTATGAATACTTGTCCTAATAATACTTTGTCCTAATTCTGGATGCCTGGTTATCTTTACCAATTAAAGGATATAAAGGTGAATCCTATTTAATCATACGATTGTTTAGAGGATGAGATCCCTAGTGTTGTCTTCATTATTGTCTTCATCAAAGTTATCTTCACTATTGTCGTCCTCAGAGTCGTCTTCATTATTGTCGTCCTCAGAGTCGTCTTCACCTCCCCCTCCTCCGCATTACAACTAAGCATATTATCGAAACATGAATATCAAAGGTATATTACCCAACACCAAACGACGACACACATTATCAACAGAGCTATCCTTCCTCTACATAACATGGCTTTTCGCTCATATTATGTAATAAAAAACGAAACAAAACTAAAATACAAAATTGAAAATAAAAAGTTCTTAAACTCAGCTTATCTCTTTCAATATAATAGTTAATTTTTGTTTTATGGAGTTTTCTAGCAAAACTAAGTTCATCAAAGACATTATAAGTCAATGCATTCCCAGGCTATTGGATCAACCCGAATGTTGTGGTATAGATTATCCTACTATTCCTATAATAGCTATATGTTATGAAAACAATTGTGATACCGGTATAAATAGTTGCATTCATCGTTTTTGTCATAATTGCCTTTATAGCTGCGTACAAATGGTATTTTTGATATATTTGATCTAAAATATAGAACAAATTCTCATGTCCCATATGTTCTGAAGCCTTTTCAGTAGTAATAACGGATAAAGTACTTTTGTATGGATGGAATTACTATGAGGACTATGAAGTACAACTTCAGCAAATTATTATGTCTGAATCTACTGTACGTGTATTCTTCTTTTTTACCTTATAGAACGTCATCATGGATATTGGAAAAGTGAAATACTTTACAACCGTAGCTGTTGGTGCTGTTTTGAACTTTAGGAAATCCGTTTCTTGTGTCTAATTCTGTCAATTGTATACAGGTTGCCAGATAATGTATATTTTGATCTGCGAATTGATATTCTAGGCATTCAACATCATAAGCTGCCGTATTAAGGAGTTTAATTTCGTATTTTATTGGTAAGGGTGGGTGAGGTTTAGGAACAAATCAAGCGGATTATAGACTCCGCAGAGAGGAAACTGAATCATGAATTAGCGCTTCTTCCTGATTCTGAAGTAATCAATTTGTTTTTTAATGCAAACTTTGTAAATGATGTAAATCAAGGTTTTTGGTTTATCAAAGGCTCTAGAAGTGACATGGTGAAAGCTTATTTTCAAAATGGAATTACTATTGAAGGAGTATTTCGAGATAGCATGCCGACTGGAAATTGTATTGTAACATTTACAGAGCAGAATGTGGAATCAGAAGTCGAGTTTAAGAATGGGAAACGAAGTGGTTTTGCCACTTATGATTATAAGAATAATGGGCTTTTCGTTGTTTGCAATGTAGCGGACAGATACTCTACTTTATGTAAATCAATCGTCCCTTATACTCGAAACTATTACAATCACTCAGCTCTTTGTATTGGCGATAATTCTTTCAAAATCGAGAGTATAAAGTGGAAAGGGGAAGAGCTTGATATGGGAAAGAACCCGGGGCTGAAATGGCTGCTTGAGAATTTTGATGTGGCTCAACGTCACATTCGATTCAATATGACAGGAAATTTGCGAAGGAGATTGCCCGAAGACTACCAATTGTGGGCTGGCAATAAAGAGTTCTCTCGATTGGAACATGTTACCTTATGCGCGCAAAAGATCATTAAGCGAGATGTAGTGAATTACTTGCTGCCTGCTGTTCAAAAACTCTCGAGTCTGAACACTTTCCTTCTTAGGAGTTCAGATCTACTTTCACAGCCTGCTATTGATACAGATGTAAAACTGTTCACGGAAAATGCTTCAATAATCTTTCCCATCCTACAATGTAGTCCATTCTTGAGGTTGCTTCAGTTCATTGCAGTTCCACGCTCTCTTCTGATCTTTGGAGACCCAAAGGAGGAGGAAGAGATGAACAGATTTTGCTTACACCTCAGCGAACTGAAGCACCTAACAGATTTGATTTTTGAGAGTAGGCATTATTATTCCTTTGGATTAGAATAAGAGTGTTTTTTAGTCAAAGACTTGCATATTAATGAGGAACTTCAATTAGAACGTCTGATCTTGAAAGGTAGGTCTTCTTGTTGCTCGAATGATGTAGAAATCAATATTGAAATGTTGGATCTTGTTTATAGTTGTACAAGATTGGAACTATTGCATATTAAGGATTGCATGAAAGTAAAAAGCATTTTTATTCATAATGGTACGATACCTAATTGTCAAGAACTGAAAATCATGAGTAGAACTACAAGATAAGCTTGAGCTTGTAGATTGCAATAGCTTAAGGGAAATCGTTATTGGAAGTGACAATATTTCGAAGGAAGATGCTAATGCGAATATTGATATAACTGATCTACAAAACTTAGAGATACTCAAGATCGGTTCGAATTCATGCAGAAATGCATTTCTCTTTCAGTTGAGTAGATTCTTGTTGTTTCGGATATTTGACGATAGATTTAATGATGTTGCGATCTTTTTCTGTGGGCGAGTTAGGGTTTTGCAACTGTAAATCGGTTCGATTTTTGAGTGGAGCTCGTTGCGATGTTTAATCATAGACACACCATATTTAAGCGAACTTAAGATAGGAAATCGGGCGTTTAAAGAGTCTACCTTAGATATAGCCAGTTGGATACGTTTCACGTGCCTTATATTTAGTGCCTCTGTTGTTTTTGCGAGAGTTTGTGATTGGAGACTCTTGCTTCACAAACACTAGTATATTTGTTCCGATGAGTGAGAATCACGATATCTTCCTTTACAAATTGTAGAAATTCCAAACATCGACAAGCTAGTAATCGGAAATAATTCTTTTACAAATACGCGCATTGCTCCAATTGCTTGTATTCCTGAATCACAAGAGGATCTAGACGAGAAATACAATAATCCGTTCGAAATAGAGAAGAAGAAAAAGGATATTGAGAATATCATGAGGAAGCAAGAACTATCTAAGGAAGACTTTACTTTGAATATGAAGTTCCGTAAGAAAAGGAAGGAAAGTGAGATAAAATGTAGCTTTTTCTTTATTGAAGGAGATTATAATCGGTGAGAAATGCTTTTACAGTACTGTTGTGTTTATGGTTCATCGTCTACACTCTCATACCTTTTCTAAAATCTAGATACTCCTCAGTTAGAATCAATAACGATCAAGAAAGGTTCCTTTCATGATATGCAGTCGTTAAGTCTATCATGTTTTTTTCTTTATGGAGTCAAGTTGAAATCTAGATTTGCCAAATTTGAAAGAGTTTTATATTGATCCTGAATTAAATAAGTCGCTTTACAACATTCGGATATTCAGTAGAGGTGAGTCAAGCTTGTAACAAGTAGAAGTTGAGCAATTACAAGGGATTGGATATGCAACAGCAGAGCACTCGATGATGGAGGTACTTGATTTTCCATGCCTTTCGAATTTTCTTTATAATGGTTTGTCTGGATGGTTTATGTAATCTGAATAGGAATCCATGAAGAGTTGTTGGCTTTAGCAAAGAAGCCGAGAACCATTGAAGATGAAAAGAAGCATCCTAATGACTATTTTGCTGGACCCAATGAATACAAAGGACATATATGTTATGAAATAAAAGAACTGACGGATGATTATATTGATTCCCGACGTAATGAGTTAAGGCATTCAAATTGAATTAGCTTGTTTCTTTGAAAATACAATTCTTAGAAAAAAGGATTGTATATACATATATATACATATATACTATGTGTTGCATACAAACATCCTTCAATAAATAATGCAAGCAATTATGATTCTATTTCTTCTTCAGTCGAATCTTCGTGATAAACGACATCAGTGAATTCCTCAGATACATCTATCAATGAGGCAATAAATTGATTTTTCAACTGTGAATATTAGTTACTTCTGTATATAAGAATGATTCAGTAAGATTAACGACATGAAGATTGGGAATATCTAGAAATCGTTACTCTGTTATAATCCCACTATTTAGGGTCACAATACGAGGATTGCTAAAACTGTTCCAGTCAGACGTAAGCACAGTAAGACTAGGAAGATCTAACAATGATGAGGATAACGGGAGTAAACCTTGCATAACTAATGAGCAGGAAGTAGAGTATTCTCCTTCCAACGCTGTAAAGCCCAAATTAACCACCGTGAGCGATGGTAAATCTAAAAAGTAGGAATTCATCATTCATCGCGTACCCTCAAACACGGTCGTTAATGAGTCATGAAAGGCACCATCACCTAGAAGAATATTTTTCAGGCTGGGAAGCGCTACACTCGATAAAAGAACAAGTAATAATACCTCTAGCAGTGAAGGAGGCAGAGTAAAAGTTATAAGAATCAGATCCAATTACTCCAATACTTAAAGATTCCAGTTCAGGTAGTTCTACAAGCAAAAAGGAGCCAGCATAGTCATTAAAGCTATATACATCAATTTCAATTGTTTTGAGATGAGTACAATTTTGAATGTGGAATATGCGATATGAGTCGCTCATGGTAGAATTCTTTTCTTTGGCAAAGCTATTCATTCCAATTTGAATACTTTCTAATTTATCCAGATCTTCAATAACAAATGAATCTGTATGTTTGAAATTATTATCTCCAATTTGAACTATTTCCAAATCATCATATTCATCAAGATCAAACGATGGGATAGTCTTATCGTTACATGCATCATCAGCCACTATGAGATAGGTTGAGTTTGTAGGATAGGTTAAGAATTCATAGCAGTTCTCAATGATGTCAAGCGGTAAAGGTGTAGGAGTTGAAGTGCCTTCTTCAGGTATAGAAGGATCAAAAGAGGGGTCAGGCGAATATTCAGGAGCTGACGTAAAAGATGGTAAGGGAGTCCAAGTAATAGATGGTGTTTCAGTAGGATAAGGAATGGGTGAGTCCGTGATAGATGGAGCTTCGGTGGGAGCTTCAGTAGGATAGGGAACAGGTGAGTCGGTGACAGATGGAGTTTCGGTAGGAGGCAAAGTAGTAGGTACTTCGGTAGGAGGCAAAGTAGAAGGAAATTCAGTAGGATAGGGAACAGGTGAGTCGGTGATAGATGGAGTTTCGGTAGGAGGCAAAGTAGAAGGAACTTCGGTAGGAGGCAAAGTAGTAGGAGCTTCAGTAGGATAAGGAATGGGTGAGTCGGTGATAGATGGAGTTTCGGTAGGAGGCAAAGTAGAAGGAGCTTCAGTAGGATAAGGAATGGGTGAGTCGGTGATAGATGGAGTTTCGGTAGGAGCTTCGGTAGGATAGGGAACAGGTGAGTCGGTGACAGATGGAGTTTCGGTAGGAGGCAAAGTAGAAGGAACTTCGGTAGGAGGCAAAGTAGTAGGGGGCTCTGGAGATAGAGAACTATCACCTGATGGAAGTAAAGTTGTAGGAGGTTCAGTAGTACCTACATCTTCTTCAGGCAAAAACGTAGGGAAAAGGGTTGACGGTAAAGCTGTGTAATCCGGATCCAGGAAATCCAGTAAACAAGTATAATTATTAGACTTATTGAAACAAGCGGATAGAATATCAAATCCCGAACTTGTATAGCCTAAATCAATTAGTGCTACATCGAAAACCTCCGTCCTAATATATCCCTTATATCCCTTTTTATCCTCAAACTCGTTTATTATCTTATGAATAACAGTGTAGTCAACAGCAGAACTTCTCTCAATCATCGATAACTTGTCTGCAGCATAATCTCCTAAGCTTAACTGGAATTCTGAGCTCAGATGATTCACAATCACCTTATCAAAATTGAGCAATGAGCCTTCCTTTAGTATATTCTTCTTCATCAAGGGACAATTAATTTCCAATTTTCCAGTCGCTCCATCATAAATAACTCCACCCATCCCTGAAAAGCATCCATCATAAAAAACAATCTCCTCCAACTCAGGTGCATCAATAATTAGCAAGACGGTATTTGCAAAAGAATTATTGCCAAATATCAAAATGTGAAGATGTGTCAAGTTTGTAATCACAACTTCCTCAGTACTATTGAACGAATTATCACTGAAAGTCAGTTTGGTTACCCAAGAAGGAATAGTACTCAGATCTACATAAGAATCATCCACCACTATCTCGGTTGGCAAGGGCTGTGCTTTGACAGAGAACGCATAAGCCGCAATTCCTGCATAATTGGCGTTTGTTTCACTATCTTTAACAGGAAGGTTAAGGTAAATGGTTTCACAAGGAACCACATTCAAGCTCACCATCCACTTGTTCGGGTCATATCCATAGAGCACTCCATAAACAGAGGGCTGGCTGGTAGCACCTGTGAAAATCTTATCCTCACCCACATTCGTCACAAAACGAAGACGAAGAAGATTCAGAGCCATGAGCACCACTACAGGATCTCCCTCCGCAACGAGATTCATCAGTCCACTCTTATTAGGAACTTCCGGACGAGAGAAATCAAATTTATAAGTAAATACAGGGGCTGTACAAAGTTCATCTTCCGCAAGATGCATAGCCATAGAAAGGCTAATTAAGCCATACTCCTTGACAAAATGAATAATGTCATTCGAAGTGACATCATTTGGACGAATTTCGTACAGCTCGGGGAGGCATTTAAGAAGATATGTAACTGATAACATATCCTGTCTTCCCACAGCCTTTAAAGCTGCTTCAGCAGCTGCTATTGTAGCAGTAGCCCAAGAAGTAGAAATAGTATTCGAAATTGAGTATTCAGCAAGACCGCAGCATAAGTCTCGGGTAACATAATCTTGGACAAAGGTCTCATTTGTAATCTCGACTGGTTCAAAATATGACCCTAATCCACTATACTTAACTCCAAGGTCCATCATCTGCTCTAAATCGCTTGGTTTAAAGTCTGACAATATGGAATAATCAACATCATAGTCTTTATATCCAAAAATCTTGTTAATCTTCAAACAAAAAGAAAGAAAGTCCTCATAATGCTCCCTAAATATTAATCGACGAACGTGACTACTCTGCGTATATATCACAATCATCAACTAGTTTTGTGGAGTAATGACTGAGATATGTGGCATACCCCAACTTGTCACAAGTATATGGATAAAGAGCCAGACAAGGGTATAAACAAACACTAAAAAACAAAAAAACGGATAAAAATAACATAGCACGTCGAAAAAAGAATTAATAATTACCATAAACCCAGCAAACCTCATATGTACCCTATTCATAATTATTGGGACCAGCATTGCTAGCAACATTTTTGTAAGAATAGAAGATTATATATACACATAGATACAATGTGATTTATATAAATATACGCAAATAACGTCCGCAATATGAGCAACAAATGCTATAATATGGTTGGACATGTAATAGGCTGAGCTGATACACCAATTAACCGCAGTGGTATGAATCTTAAGATCAGGAGTCGAATAGGTGATTCTGTTTGGAATTCTCATCAGGAGTAATTAGGAATAGTTATAAGCAAGAAATAATAGCTGTGTTTGGATGACCGATGGAAGAATATATAAAGACGTATGTTATTGACCTTGCATGAGAAGTCATGAATTACACAGCTTGGCATTTCACGCGTATATACCTAGTATCAATTATTAAAGCGAATTTTAAAACAATTTCTCAAAGAGCGATTTAGTTGATTATGAATCGTCCAACTTGCCTGTGAATACTAAATAATGATGGAGTAGTGAATAAGATTTTCTCAACATATTTGAAAATAGAGCCAATGTAATTCTTGCCATTCATGTGTTTCCTTTTGTGATAATAGGTTGAATATAGGTAAAAAAGCCATATTATATTCAAGCTAGAATAAAAAGGGCGAATTAATAATGGTTGATGAGGTTGCTTATACTTGGTATGTATTGTAAATGGCTAAAGCAATCTAAACTGTATGAAGCAGGAACTAAGATGAAAATAGCCTTCTGATGGAATGCCATAGGAAAAACCTAAAGTTTGGTGCTATTTTCTACTACCATATACATATATTATTATTCATTGCTGACACATATCGTGTATATAGAATAATATTGATGTTTGTCTTTATTCTTATTTTTATCTTGATATGAACTTCAAATGTATCTACACTATGTATCTTCTTACAAGGGATAAAATAAAAAAACTGATTGAAGTAGAATTGTGACAAACTCCTTTGAGATTGCGTTTTCATTCTTCATGTTCATTTCGTTAATTCTTGACTTGTATCAAATCTAGAGATTGTAGGAAATGTAAAAAGCATAAAAACAAGGATGGGTCAATGAAGAGAGCGGGAACGCTTTATCTGTCTGCATCTAAATTAAGGCTTGCATTCATGATGGTTCAAATCGCTGTTTCGGATGAACCGAGTCCTGGCCACTCTTATTCAAAAGGTGTTTATAGCATCAAGTCGTTTCATGACAGGTGAATCTTTACAATGATTATGCGATTGATAAAATCAGAAAGAAAGAAAGATAGATAGATAGATAAATAGATGCGATGAATGAAAAGCGACAATCGAAATTGGAGCTTTATCATGTGTTTCAAACACAGAAAACAATCAGAAATGAGTGAGACGCCCTCCAATTGGACGGATTATCGTTTCTACACCCATATAATTCGATCCAAACCCGATCGACAGCAATAACTCATGATTCTCCACCACAAATTGTGAAAATTGTAGAAACTGGTTGTGTAGTTGGAGTACTCGCTACGCCAATCAAATGTGAAGAACTTGTTTAGATTTCTTAGTGAAT